AATTACTGGTGTCTGGGAATGTCCCCCTTTTTTTTTTTCAGCAGCTGTACAGCTCCCTCACTTACTACTACTTAGATAAGAAACAGCGTAAATAATAAAATAAGCACGTGTAATTTTTTGTTCTGTTTACTCATCTACCGCTCAATATGAAGCAGGTCTGCATCTAGTCCTTCGTCCTCAATTAGGAAGCGTATAGAGCCCTTCTTTCGACGCCTTGATCTGCAAAGCCAGGAACTTGGAGTACATACGGCACAAGGCAAGATTACCTCCCATGTACCAGAAACCAGTATGGCCACTATGTCTCCAGATCTGGAACCTCAGATATTAGTTTGGACTTCGTGAAGACCAAGAATGGGTGACTTACTGCGTTGACCTCTCCTTCATCATTCAAATCCCAAACATCCAACAACCTGTTGGCAACTTTGTCTCCTAGAATCTTCCTGGCTGTTGTTCGCATGTTATCATATCCCGTGGCTAGCACTACCACATCCGCGTCAAGTCTCTTCCCATCTGCTAAAACCAGACCAGTCTCGTCAAATTCTCTGATGCCATCTACACTTTGGTGCACCTTAATCTTTCCGTCGATAATGAGCTTGGTGCATCCGACATCAATCGAGTAACCGCCGCCCTTGCACAGGTACAGTCTCGTCACACCGCTGTTGTCCACTCCAAAGTTAAGAGCGAAGCCTGCCCTCCGGAGACCATCAAGCTCTTCCTTCTCCGCTTCCGCAATCCGTGCCGTCTGATGAACTTTGAGTGCAAACTGCACCGACAAAGGTAGACTCTGATCATAGATGTCCGCGTCGTCGGTCGGCGGGCCCGTCTCATCGTATATTCCCCTGTGCTGCATGTGCACCCCCTTTTCTACACTGATGACGTATGTTCCGCTGCGCTGCAGCATCGTCACGTCTGCGCCGTTCTCGTAGAAGTTCTGGGAGATGTCGTGGCCGCTGTTGCCGGAGCCTACGACAACAACCCTCTTCCCTCTGACGGACGGGTCGTGCGACGCATCTTGGTGCTGGCTGGTATGGTAGACTGTACCGCGGAATTTATCCTGCCCATTGAACTTGGGCACCAAGGGCTCGCCGGAGTGGCCGGTTGCTAGGATGACGTGCTGTGGGCATAGGACTATTACCGGGCCGTCACCTCTAATAATCCTGACAGTCCATGATTTGGTCTCCTCGCTGTACTCGGCGCTCTGAATTGTGGTGCTTGTCCAGACATTGAGTTCCATGATACTAGCGTAGGCCTCGAACCAATCCGCGAGCTTGTCCTTTGGTGTGAACATTGGCCAGTTTGGAGGGAAGGGCAAGTATGGCATGTGGCAGTAGTTGACTGGGTCGTGCGTTACCAGTGTCTACCTAATGTCAGTGGTTATCCCTGGCCAGACTGTGGATTGCATCTTACTCTGTAGCGGTTTCTCCAATTGTCTCCAATACGAGGATTGCGGTCAATGATGAGAGTAGGCACGTCGAGTCGCCCAAGCCGAGCACCAATTTCCAACCCAGCTTGTCCTACAATTCATGGTAAGAACAAGTTTGCCTCAGAGTCGTGGAAGGATAGTAGCCGCCACTCACCAGCTCCAATGACGAGGACAAATGGTTCCGCGTCATTGAATTCCTTTTCTCTGTCCCTCCTCTCTTGCCAATTGCCTTGCATTGAGCCACCCTTGAGAGAATTGTTGCCTCCATGAGGCCGTCTCTCCTTGACGTTATCTTCGTGTCCCTTGAGCTCCTGTAAGGATAGGTTGAGGGCAAAAATAACGTTCTTGCCGGCATCGTCAGTTACGAGACGCACCATACCTGATCCCCTACCAATGTCTGTCTCGAAGTCGATCATGGTCTCCGCCCATTCCACACCCGCCGTTGGCTCCGGCTCCTCTATTTGCGGCGTGTATGCGCCACTCTTTCGCGGCCAGACATTTCGTAGGTTCAACCTCTTGGAGTTGACGTTGATGTATTCGGCTATATTGTCTTTGCCACGAATGGTACGGAAATCCCACGAAAGCGTGAGGAAGTCCCGTATCCATGCATCCTGACGAAAGAGTGCCTTGAGGGCGCCTGTATCGCCGCTATCAAGAGCGCGATTCAAACTCTCAAATACATCATTGACGCGATCGAGGTTGATTTGGTTTCCTTTCTTCAACCCTGCTGCAGACAGCCTAGGCAGCTTGATGGTGTGCTTGTCACTCGAGCCAATCGACATGGTAGGCGACCGTCTAATCTTGTAAATAAAAGAAGATTAAAGTACTCAAATTAAGATATAATGGACAGAAAAAAGTGATGGACGTATTGGCATCGAGATGGAAGACAGAGAAACTAAATACATGTAGAAAACGCCAATTGACCTCACCAACTCTCTCCGCACAGCGATGAGAGAATCCTACTTCACCCGCCGCGCATCTAGGCCGTCGTATCAAGATCACGCGAATTCATGAACCGCCATGTTAGTCATTACTATTGGGACTTCTCAGCGAATTGTCGACGAGTGAGCCCATGCCGAACTAGTCTGACTGTGCCGACCTGGAGAGTTTCTGGAGCTTCGCGCGTGACCACGGCGGCCCGCCTCCAAGAGTCAACATGTGGGGTTGAAGTCCTTCTGAATGCAAGATGAAGAGGGGAAATGTGCAAAGTGAGGGGACACAAGTGGAGTCCGTCTTCGTCTTCTCAATCACGAGCGTCGGCCCGCCGTTTTCACCTGATGAAGCCAAGCTGTATCCACTGACATATGTGGTAAGGCCCCGACCGATATCGGCTGCTTCTCACGACAAGTATGCTAAGACCATTCGACCACGTGTGGACAATATTGGCTCCTCTTGTGTTAGTCTACGTCTGGGGCTATTCCTATGCCCATTGCTGTTCGTACTGACTGCCAATATCGATTCTGCCAACGGGTGATGGTGACGCTTCTTAAAATTGCCATTGGCAATCTCAACTGTATAGCTCATTTACACCCTAGGATATGGTTCTTTGTAAATGACAAGAACTCTTAACTTTAAGATTGCAAGCGCAATGTATTATTAGCTTTGAGCACTAAAATATGAAATTCGATTCGAAGAGATCATTGTGAGAACATTGAAGCGCTCAGTCACTCGTGTGCCTAAGATTATGCATAAATAATTCTAAGAGAATATGAGGATGCTTTCCTTGCCAAAACATCGCTTGTCTATAGTTTACTAGGTCTACTCCAAACATCACTGCTTTCTAAGAAACCATGAACCTCTTCATCTCCCACAGTTGAGTTGCTCGTCATGATCCCAGCCTCTGGCGCTGAATCAGGCCCTGGGTCGTTGAATGTAGCAACTTCCCGGGTACGTCCACTTCCCACCTCGAGCAGCAGTCCCGCCTGCTTGTTCTCGTCTTCCACGCAGCTTAGCATCGCCTCAGCCACCTCCTCAGGTGTGACCCAAGCGTCTTTGGTCTCGTCCACATTAGCCAACTTCTCCGGATTCTCCGACCACAGCGGCGTGCGGACGACCCCAGGTGCCACGGCGTTGACACGGATGCCGTAACGCTCTTCCAGCGGCGCAATAGAACGCACGAATCCTGCAATGGCGAACTTAGACGCCCCGTACAGCGGGGCTCTGAACACGGGCAGGTAAGATGCAACAGAGGCAATATGAATAACGCGTTTTGGGTTCGAGGTAGAGACCTTGGCGGGACGCGGGAAGGGCGAAGACTGAGGCAGCTCACGAGGGTGCAGCCAGTTCGATATCGCCAGCTGTGTCGTCCTGAGGGGATGGGTGAGGTTGATATCCAGCAGTGCATAACGTCCAGAATCTTCAGCGTCGCGGCTTTGCTTTGAGCCAGGGGGACACCAAAAGTTGGACCAGTGAGGCTCGTAGACGCCAGCGCCGGGGCAGACAATGTCGACGTCGCCAAATTCACGGTAAGCCACATCGAACATTGCCTCCAGGGCGGGCCATGATGTCACATCTGTCTTGACAAAGACGGCGCGTGCGGTTGGCGATGATGATGAAGAATTGGTCTGGCTGTAGTGGGAGACGACTTCCTGAGCTTCCTGGCGAAGCGAGAGATCTGCCAAGACGACATTACATTGCTTCGATAACAGAAGCTTTGCAAAGCACAAGTTGATGCCTGTAAATTTTGTCAGTCTAATGTGTCCATATCTTTGAATCAAAGAGATCTTTGAATCAAAGAGATCTTTGAAGAGGGAGGGGCCTCACCTGATCCTGCACCAGTAACTATCGCCGTCTTACCGGCTACGGAGAAAGACATTGTTGTCTAAGCCCGATCAATGGATGCTGTAGAACATTCAATACGTTTCCTACATGCCGTAAAATCACGAAATAAAAAAGAGCAAGTAGTATAATAAGGACTCCAGGCCAAGGCTAAGAGCCCCCGTACCTCGCGACTCGTCGTCAAGGGGTCCAATGTTGGGGAATGGCTGGGGAACGGCTGGGGTAGGCGGCCCGCCCATTGCCACCTCCGCAGCAGATACTGGACGCCTGTTTTTGTCCCAGACTTTGCCGCCATCCGCCAAAGATATGGCACTAAGAGTGGCCGAGGCCGAATCCTAGCGGAGAAGTATCAATCCAGTTACCGTATGTCAGCGAGCAAGGTACCCCCATCTCCATAATACGCTAAGTTATGGTATGTGGCTCGTTTTTAATAATATTGAAGGAATGACTGCATCTAAAGGGTGTTAGTCTCACTATGCCTTCACCAGGGCCTCCTCAAGAAGCACTAAGAAGCCTGGATCAAAAGATTGAAAGAAAGTAGGATGCTTCAAGACGTTTGTAGATGTAGATTCACTGAGTCCGCTCGCTCCAATAATACGGGCGAGAACATTGGGTTTTACACTTGATCATGAATATACCTTCTACTGGAATATCTACAATCCCCTGCAATATAAGGTCGAGTGTCCGGCCTAGACAGGTTCTTCAAGTAAGCTCAGCCTTGGATTAAGTAGAAAGCACAACAAATAAGACATGAGACTCGGTATGCAATGAACAAGACATGGTCTAAATGTACATCCTAGCTGTCGAAATGCTGCTTTGTAGCAACCAGACAGGCGATTTCATATGCTGATTTAATACTTGTGTGCGGTTGAGCCCATGGCTTCAGGTGAGCGATCGTAACTTGATGTATGGTCCCAATATCTTCTGCTAGATGCTGGAGAGGCGGTGACCGAGCTGCAATGGAAAGTAATAAGGAACTCGTCAAACAACTACATTCCTTTCATTAGCAAAATTGATTTCTTAATTATGTTGAATACTCGTACTCACGCCATGGCACAGCTGTACGAGTATGGTGTTCGCTCATAGATGAGATGGCGAGCCGTCATCAGGTACATACGGCAGGCATGTAGGCACGTACCGCACATGTCGAGGACTGCCTGCGGGACAACCTCGCCATGCTCCCATGCCCGCGAGGTGACGTATATAAGGAACGCTCTGTATATGTTCTGCTTCGAGGACCAGTATCTGAGCCTCAGTAAGCACGCTTGCCTATTGCCTCTTGTGGCCCCCGTGAGCTCTGGTTTGACCTCTTCTGGCAGTCCGTCGTACCAAGCCTCCAGCTGTCTGCTGAGCTCGTCGCAAACACGCATATGAGAAGTATCGGGATTCAAGACTGGGAGGTGCGAGGATGATGATGTCGCTTCTTTGGATCGACCAGTGAATATGGTCAGACTATCTGTGAAGAAGAGGGAATGATGTATGCGATTAAGTAGTGTGCGCACAGAGATCTCGGCGAGAGCGTAGAGGTTCTCGGGAGACGCGTTCTCGCCATAGTTGGGGAATGGCATGCTGTCGACCAGCAACTCAATGCCGCTTCGCGGTTGGTGGAACTCGGCCAGAATGTCACTACTGAGGAATTAGCGAAAGTGGCGATTAGGGCGTAAGAGACGAAGGAGTTTCTACCTTTCCATGTTAAAGCAGACCCAGCTGAGCCGCGTCAACGTTTGCACCTGTGGCTCGCTGGACAAGAGGTTCTTATATCTTTAGAGATCATTAATATTATATTCATAGTGACAACTAGAACAAGGACAAAGGAATTCATACCGCGAAAGGAGCTGCTGTATACTGGTCGATGCCATGTGAATTAGCCGCCAGGCCATCAGAGGCTCGGCCGTGTAAGTAAAGTAAACGGCACACAGGACTAACGCCTGTGGAATAGTCACATCGCCGCTAAAGTTGAAGGTCCATGATGCGAGAAGGATCCTGAGAGCTCTTCGGAAATAAACTTCCCAGGGCCTGTTCTCTGCCTGACTGTCGACTGGTTCAATGGCAATGGCGCCGAGGGCAACTATAGCCAACACCAGAGCTGACTCATGGTCAAAGCCGACTTGCCTCTCCATGACCTCCCCGTATATCCTGACTACTTCATCGCGATGAAGGAAAGGGTGGAATGGATACACTCGAGCCAAGTAGCTGTCGAGGTATTGATCGCAAATGGTCCTCTCGAGTTCGTCTTGCTGCTGAGAGTCGTGGCTCGGGGACATAACGGATCTTGCTTCTGCTGCTCTGAATCTACTGCTCTCGATACGGAAGAAGAACTCGCTCGGATAGTCACCAACCAGAGCGCGGCATTGCGGGAGTACAAGCACGTTACTGGTGCTGGTTTGGTGTCCGAAAGGAATCGTGATTGGGGGACCAACATCATCGTTTCTGACGCTTGAATCAACCCTGCTTCCATTTTGATCAAAACCCCAGATAGAGAACGGCGATGAGCTGTCGGTGACGGTGGGACAGAAACGCTGTGGTGGTTGTTGGACATGCACCGCCGTTGGATCGTGAAGGGACACGGCAGGGGACTCGGACGGGGCTGCGGGCGGCGGTGGTTGTAATCTCAAAGCCTGGAGCTCCTCGGCGTGCTCTCGTAGGAGGTGCTCAATGGCATCAAGGCGATCGGACGTACCGCCATCATCAGCGTCAGATCCCCTGTCGAGACGTTTAGCATGGAGGTACGTGGCATTCGACTCAACATGACAGAGATAACAAACCTTCGTAGCACGGGCTCATGGTAAGTGCACTCAAGCCCCTTTACGCGGCATGTTCTGCATTGCGGAGTCTCACCGTTACATCGTCGTTTACTGCCAAACCATCAGCCAACCAGCCGGGCAACAGCCGCGAGCGTCATGGGCCCCCACAGATAGTAGTATCGAGTGCAACGGAATGGTGTGGCTTACCGGCGTCTGCAATAGCTACATGCGATGGCGGCCCGTTTGGGAGGAGAAGTCATGGCATGTTCGTAGGTCAAGGGGGTTGGTTGCACAGAAATTGGCGATCAAAGCGGGCGGGCCGCCCGGGAGATTAATACTTTCACTCGAGCCGAGGCGGGGAGACCGACTTCAACCAACCAACCAATTACTTCTGACTCAAACCTGGAACCCTAAATGGGGCCTTTGTCATGTTTTCCCCGCTCCAACTTCAAACACAGATCAAGTTAGATTCCCCCACAGCCAACCCCCAGACGACGTGGAGAAAGGGGGACTAAGCCATTTCGACAGATCTTGGGCAAACAGCAGCTCGGAGTATGCGTGACGCATCAACCCAAATAGATTGGACCGGGCTTGACAGAGATCATGCTATTGATGTTAGTGTAAATTCTCACCAGTCACCACATGACAGGGCTTTCTGTCGCCCAGAAGGGTCCATCAACAGAATCCGCCCGTGTTATCCGTGTACACTTTTTTGCTCTCTTGATACGAATCAATATTTCAACAGTAGTTTAGGGTCTAGCAGCGAAAGAGACTTGCAAAATACTGATTGTTGCTCGCTCTAGAGACACAAGATATGTCCTCCAGATCCAATATCTTACAGCTACCCTATAGCTATAATCCGCTTCGATGCCTCGTTGACTGGGACCTTTGCGTGAGTTGTCGTGATGGGTCCAATGTTGGAAAGGGTGTTTCATAAATGTTAATATTGAAATGTATCATTTTATTGTATTCATTGTGTTGAGATGTAGGGTTCAGCAATGACAGGTCTTTCTTGAAGTCACTGTCTTCAGATGTCTGATTTAGCATCTGTCATAGCTATTTTGAACTTTGCCTTCAAATTCCAATCCTCTCCGTGTTCACCGGCATTAACTAATTTCATTAACTAAGTTGATTCAACGTCATGATTCAAGCCTATTATGGAATGAAGATTTCTCGTCTCGCTTTCATTACGGAAGAGAAAGAAAATCAAGTTCAACAGTTCGTTTTCATTATACTCTATGCTAGATATAAACTCGTGCAAACTCCACCAAAGCCATAATTGCCATAGCTTGACCATAAGGCATACTTGTTATGGGAATGTCCTTGTAGAATTGGAGATCGTGGCCCATTGGGGTCCCAAAAGAGGTATTTTGCAACTCTCCTTGAGCATCAACATTGTCAAGAATTGCCCTGATAGCCTTGAGAGCTACTTCAGAATATTCCTTGCCAACGTACTTCTTTCTCTGGGCCTTGAGCATTCCAAAAGCGAACCCAGCTGTCGCACTCGACTCAGGATACGAGCCTTCTTCAACCGGATGATCTAACAGCGTCCTCCACAACCCCGAATCTAACTGAAGATTCTTGAGAGATTGACATTGCGCATTCAGGGTATCGAGTAGATGTGAAGCAATGGGATCATCTAACGGAAGGTCCAGAATGTCTAAGAATTCAGGGATTGCCATGGTTAACCAGGCATTGCCACGTCCCCAGAGCGCCCTTGCAAAGTTGTGGCCCCCGTCATTGAAGTCCCAACCGTGGAAGAACAGACCGGACTTTGTATCAAATAGATATTTGATGTGGATGAGGAATTGTTTCTTAGCTTCTTTGATGTAGTGCTCGCGCCCAAGCAATTTCCCAATCTTGGCAAGGGGTAGAACAGTCATCATGAGGGTATCATCCCATAGCTGCTGATCATTCTCTTCAATGTAGGTGATATGCTGCATGCCACCAAACTTGGTTCTCTCCAAGTCATGATAGGCCCATTCGGCCCAGCTGTCCAACCACGGCAGATATGTGCGGTTGCCTGTGACTTCATAGACGTTTGCCAAGGAAAGAAAGACGGCCATAGTGTTGATGTTCTTGGTCGTTCCACCAGCGGCGAAGCGAGCGGCAAACCAATCCTCAATGATCTTGAGATATTTGGTGTCCCCTGTGAGCTCATAGTAGGCCCAGATACCGTTGAGACCGATACCATGCGTCCACTCCCAGTCGTTCCAGCCCTTGGCGTCAATCACACGCCCATCTTCCAGCTTAATCAAGAATTCTCCGGTTGTGTCTTTGATATTGACCATTCCATCGATCAGGCGCTGGATCTTCTCGTGGACCTCGGCGGCCTTGACCCCATGCAGTTCTAGCGGCATTGTGATGGATGTCTAGAAGTTGCCAGGGATGTGATGAAGTATGATTTTGAGGAGCAATCAAGCTTCAGTAAGAGACGGGGTTATGAAATTTGATAGCATAAATAATTGAAAACGGCTAGGGTCTTCTGCTCTCGCTTAAGAATAAGTAAGATTTCGCTGGAATGAGCCAACTTTGAGAGTGCCCAGATCCCCCGCACAATGCGGTAGGTACAGACTTCCGCTCTGAACCTAGTGCATTCATCTAGTCATCGATTCGAGGAACCGGGGGGTTCATCATGGCGGGCGGAGCGGGCGGACCGCCGCCATCAGCTGAAATCTGTTGGATTATTTCCGTCACGATGTCTAGGTAAATCCGGGACTAGCCTTGTTTGTTTACTTTGATCCGAGTCATGCAGTCGCAAGGATCAGAACTGACGAGCAGTAAATTAATTGCCTCATTCATCATCGGCCAACCTGTCACGAGGAGTAATGCAATGGTTATTGCGGGGGACCGGCGGCGACGAGTGCCGCCGGGGTAACTTGCAGCCTCTCTCAGGCTTCTCCGCTGGCCAGAACGTGGAGGAGTTTGGGGGTGTGGAGTTCTTGAGCCTTTCCCCAGACGTTACCCCAGTCGTGGTTCACATTTTGTGTTTGCCTTTTGGAATCTCTAGCCACGTAAACAACATATATATACTCTATATCGCCCTTCTCATCTCTGTCTTCATCCTCAATACCGGCATGATCAGCGCTGAGAGTTACTGATCAACTTACTTCTTTCATCTATTACCTGACCTAAGACTACTGTGTCACTCCAAGTGCATGATGGCGCCTCGTTCCATCACCGAGGTAGAGGCAGTGCATGCAGAGGATGCACGGACTACCACCGTCAACCGCTCGCAGAACGATATTTCCACCAAGAACAATGCTGAACAGATTGAACGACCATTCTCTCCTACAGACGAGTTGGACAAAGGCGTCGGTAAAGCCAACTACGACAAGATCGACAGAGAGGTTGCCAAGTATGCGAGCCACACCCGTGTTGAGATATCTCCTGAGGAGAATAACCGGCTGCGGCGCATGATTGACAAGCGCGTACTGACAATCATGATTGCCACCTACTTCCTACAGTCGCTTGATAAGGGAACGCTCAGCTTCGCCTCAATCATGGGTCTTCCTCAGGACACTGGCATGGTGCAAGCCAATGGCAGTGTCTCTCAACAATACTCGTGGCTAACGAGTTGTATCTATCTGGTAGTTTTAGTTGTGGAATACCCACAGGTAAGACTTTGACGTTCAGCCTTTCGCCTTCAAAACAAAGCATAAACTAACCGAGGTATCTTCTTAACCAGAACTACATCATTGCCCGTGTTCCAATTGCCAAATATCTCGGATTCTCCATCATTGCCTGGGGCTCAGTCCTCTGCTGTCACGCGGCGTGTACCAACTTTACCGGGCTCCTGGTTGTGAGGTGCTTGCTCGGTTTGTTCGAATCCGTCTGCCAACCAGCTTTCGTCGTCCTCTCATCAACATGGTTCCGTCGCGAGGAACAAGCAGCTCGAGTCACATACTGGTATATGATGAACGGCGCACAGCAGATGGTAGGGGGCCTACTGGCATACTGCTTCTCTCTCATCCACACTGGCCCACTCAAGTCGTGGCAGTGGCTCTTTCTTTCCTACGGCGTCATCTCCGTCTTCTTTGGCGTATTTGTCCTGCTTTGGATGCCCGACTCGCCCATGCGCGCCAAGTGTTTCACCGAGGAGGACAAGCGCCTTATGGTTGAGCGTGTGCGTGACAACCAAACCGGCGTCCAGAACCGGACATTCAAGAAGGCACATGTGTACGAGGCGCTGAGAGATCCACAGATGTGGTGTTATGGCTTGATCCAGTTCTGCACCGTTCTCCCCACGAGTGGACTGAGCACCTTCGCCAACATCATTATCAAGGAAAGTTTAGGTTTCGACGTTCTACAGACCCAGCTTCTCTCCATGGTTCTCGGCGCTTACATCATCATCCTTCTCTTGGTCTCCGTTTGGATGGTTAACAAATGGAACCAAAATATCCTCACCTGTCTTGGATTCGTTGTATTGTATGCTCTAACCCCGTTCTCCATATCCTTCCATTCGAGAATCATGTACTAACAAATAATTCATCTACCAGCTCCTTTGTCGGAACAATTCTTCTGATGACAGTGCCCAATGTCACCTTCTCACAGCACGTCGGACTTTTGATCAGCTACTACATCACCATGTCATTCTGGACCGCCCAGACACTGGGACTTTCTATGATGTCTCGGAATGTGGGTGGCCAGACAAAGAAGACCATCGTTGTCGCGGCCAACTTTATCTTCTGGAGCGCTGGCAATGCTATTGGACCCCAAGTCTTTCTCGCCAGGGAGTCGCCCAAGTACTACACAGCGTTTGCGACGCACTTGGGCTGCTACAGTCTTCTTGTTATTGTTCTCGTCTTCTTCCGCTGGCATCTGGTCCGTGAGAATAAGAAGAGGGACGCCCTGGCCGCTGCTGGTGTCCAGGAAGCTAATGATGGCAACATGACACATGCTTTTGAGGACCTTACAGACCGCGAGAATCCAAACTTCCGCTATGTATACTAGTTTCAGAGATAAAGAAAGATCCCAGAATACTGGAGCCATGCTATATCTTTTATTGTAGGAAATATATTCTTCATAGGCGATGGACTCATGCCCGTCGTTATATCTCATTTATTTAATGCGTGGTAATATCGTGAAAGACCTTGAGTATATTTCATGACGATTCGCCACAGCTAGAGGTCACCAATTGAAGCGAAATTAATAGAAGACTTGGATTTCCTATTATCTAAAGAGGGTTTGCGGATAATCTAGATATTCGGACTTGAAAGGAAGGGTATCACGTGAGGTGTCCCGTGATCTGGGATACACCCCCCTCAGCTATTGGCCATTATAACGGTTTGGCTGCTGGAAGGGTTATTAGTCAGCAGCAGCCTACCAAGCTACCCTATATCAGGAAATTTAGAAAACCCTCATCCAATATTAGGATATTCTAAAAATATCGTGCATACCCAATAGATCAAACAAATGCTTCTTGAATTTGAATTTGAAATTTGATCTGCGAAACTTTCCCGTTTGATCTGTGACTGATTTCGTTTGTTTGACATAAGGGGTTAACTGGAAACGCTTGAGGCAGCTATTGAGGTCACTTCTCTAACTACTTGGCGGGCCTACGCTAGGAGGTCAGTAAGCAGCAATTCGCCAACGATTCGCCAAAAAAAAAAGTGACATAGCCCGCCCGCCAAGATTAGTTGGCCCCGCAGGTACCACCTGTTTGACACGCATCCCGCTTATTACGTCAATTCAAACACCAACGCGATAATTTTTCACTTTACACGACACATCCACAACGCGTCATCCAATGCAACTCCGCAATTGACAACGCAACGCAATGATCATCTTTAAAATTCCAAAAAAAAAGTCATTGGATTCAGAATTGAATAACAATATCACTATATAGGTAGGGGAACCGGCTAATCTAGGCCCACCAAGTAGATCAGGTCTCTATTGCTCTAGGGACGCAAACACGTGACCGCGTGTAAATAAACAATGAGCGCGAAGTGGACACAAGGCTCGTGCCTCCTAAATTCGCCCCATTCAACCTCTAAAGCTTGCATTACTTGAATATCTATTCACAATGCCTCCTAAACGCAAAAGTTCTGGGACTGCTCCCCCGCCAAAGAAAAGGGGCAAAAATACCACCGATGCCCCACCTGAGTCATCAGCCTCTGGACCTGCGCCGCCAGAGGAGCCCGGAAATGTTGACGAGCAGGCCTGGGAACGTCTATACGAGTCACGTTCCATAGGCAGAAAGTATCGCTGGTCCGAGGTATCAGGCTCGAAGAATCTGGACGAGAATTATTTCATCACGACCAAGAACCCAACCGAAGCCTATGAGTTCGTATGTCAGTGCAATCCCGTAAAAAAATATGACGATGACGAGGATGACGACGAGGATGATGAAGATGATGAGGAGAACCCAGGCGATGGCGAAGAGGGACAAGCTGCCGAAGCGGCTAAGAAGTGTGATGAAGGAAAAACATGCTCATGCGGGAAAACGGCCGCTTCTCTACCCTCCCATCCCTACACATTGACCAGGGCTGGTATAGCCAAGTACCATAACGCACAGCATATGATAGATCTTCGCAATCCCGACGCGTTCAGCATGTACACCTTCAATGACCACATGGCCTACGGCTCCCTCGAAGTTGTCCAAAACCTCCTTTTGGACTTCGAAGAAGCCCGTCACGACAAAATGTGGCGCGAGGCGTGGGCTGTCACAGAAGCCATGGCGCTTTTCATGGTGATCGGCGCCGGTGGTGATATGTGCATGGCCGACGATGGGGATATGATACAAGCAACCGCGCACCAGATAATGAGAATGGCCCTCACATCGCTGGCGATTCTCGAGTCTGAGGGCAAGCTCACTGAGGCATCGAGCGTGAAGAATATTGGTTGGATCATTGGGCTATACCTGAAGATGACAGACCTCTTTCGAGACATGGGGTTAGCAGAAGAGGAGCCTCAGCCTTCCAAGGCGAAAGCATTCAAATTCCGATATGGGAATTTCGAACTCTACCTACGAGTTTACGCACGCCGTTGTAACGTCACCATTCCTGACGAGTCTTCGTCGCCTTCAGACACTGATCTTACGATGCCCAAAGAGAGCGCCAAGGACCCTTGGAGCTGGACAAGAAGTTTTTCCGAATACCAAGGGTGTTTTGCGCCATATTATGCCTATCGCGGCGCGCACCGAAGAAAGGTCGGTGGTGATGGATTAGATATCACAACATGGACTTCAGCTGAGAGAAAGGCTGCCAGCTTTGATAAGAAGGATCCGTTGAATAAGACCGCTATAAAGAATCTCAAGGAAGGCAATGTCCTTGTTCTCGCTTAAGATAGGGGCCTGAGGATTCTCCAACCCTAAGTAGATAGGACAATGCTAAGCTCAGCCTAAGAAACCTTATGTCTGGCTTGAAGGAAATGTGTAACAATATATCTATGACAATTTTACTGGAACGGCTTCTATGACTAGATTGTTGACTGGCCGTACGACAAGTCACGTGCCCGACACTTTGTACTGCCCTCTTGATAGATCATGTTGATGACTTGACTTCCGCTTCCGGATTGAACAGAAAGTAAAACCACTGAGGCCATTGTGACTGCATTAGTCTCTTGTATATGGTACTAGCTTTAATTTAATCATTCGGCATCTTCTATAACTGTGACGCGCTATATAATGGATAACTCGTGGAAGCCAGCGAAGGATTTCCTTTTGCCTGGTTGGCCTAATCTGTGACAATAACCATTTCGCGTCTTGCTGACCTCCTTCTTTTGCAACTTCCGAGATGACCAACAATCAATTCCGCCACTTCTCTTAAATTATTTTTGGCAACTATATCTGCGCTATCACAATAACACGAGGTCTCCAGGAGCGGAGGCATGTTACATGCCAATGAAGGCTCCGATTTCTTCTTATCATTCTTGGATGGAGCCGGGATTCAAAACTACAGATTTGTTCAATGGTGGCCGGGTTCAAAAGCCGAGATATTCCTTCCGACGGATACAACGTGTCTAAATTGGAAAGTAGGTCACCTGGGTTGTGGCTCATATGCTCTAGAGCTTTGCATCTGACGCCTTCAGTGACGAGTGGCATCTGTTCTTTCTTGGCTGATCTGGAGTGGAGGTTTGCAGCCTTTGTTAGATGGAATCTGGCTGGGAAAATCTGTCATTGTCCGGGGAATTTGCTAATGGATTGTAGAAGTCGCCTAGCGTGGCGTCTAACCTCTCAGCCCGGCTTTAGAGTTGTCTCTTCCAACCGACAATCACTCCGAAGCTAAATGTTACGACTACGAAGTAATCGATTAGTGCTGGCCCACAAGATGCCGTTGACCCATTCTGGATTTGACTGGTGCGGGCATCATTGATCCTGCCAAGTTTCAGCCGTGGCTGAACTCAGCTGTTCATGTCGAAAGTCCCTCCGGCTCAACTCGGCCAAAATTGCAAACGTCTTAACACTCATCCTAAGACAGTGTCTAAGACAATAAGTGAATTCGTCATCAGTCGTCGTCAGCATGGCAGTGGAAGATCGGAACAAGCATGGCTAGTCTGAGATTTCGCGTTCACCGAGGGTCTCCCGCACTGGCTAAACAACAGTTCTCTACCTGCCTTCGTTCAACTACGAATAGGTATAAAACACAAGCTTCATCCGGTCCTCAGACATACTTTTGGATTCCATCAACATAAAGACCATCAACTACAACCAACCACTACAAGAACTATCACAAACTCATATTTCAAAACTCTCGCACTCACTTAAAATGAAGTTCCTCGCCGGCATCCTCTTCTTCGCTGCTGCCTCCATGGCCACTGCAGGACCTGCTCCGGGTGATAACGAGTACGGAAACAATGATCAATGCCAGTCGGTTGGAAAACGCTGCAGCTACAGCGTCTATCCGGCGCTCGCTTGTTGTCCGCAGCTCAAGTGCTGGACTCCTCCTGGATCCCCGCCCGGTGCTTATGGCTATGTAAGTCAAGGCCTGAAACTATGCCTATCCCACTTAGAGATTGTTCCAGTACTAACATTACTTGTTAAAGTGCCGTAAGAACTAGAAAATTGCGAACTAATTTCGCACTTTCAACCCAAGGAGGGAGCATAGACTACCCAAAAGAAATTTGCTGAACATCAGCATCATGAAACTCAATATTTTATGCAAGGGCACATGAGGATATGTTTTTATGTATGCTTAGTCGACATGAATTAGTTCCCATCCCAGTTCATAAATGTTTAGGCTTCGTTTGTTTAAGTGCCTTGAAACTTAACTTAATGTCGATCAGTCTAGCAATATATTTGTAAACATTTATACTGGAAAGTAGATGGTGATTATGTTTATGTTGGAGGTGCGTCTCAAACCGGCGCTGTCCTCCGAGGTTGTGGATGGATCAACCATATCCGCGCCGCCAGCTTTGCGGATCTAAGCCTGCTTAGAGCGTCTAGCATCCATGAGTTGACAGTTGAGGCCCCTGTACTGTGTTACTAATGCTAATGCTAAGGCTTCATTATTTTCCAGTACCAGACGTTATGGGAACACCAGTGGTGTCCTGTGCTCTCTGAGGCGATTCCCAAGAACCGGGGAGTCAGCAATGACGACAAGTGCTTATAACCAGCAACTATAGGCGCTCCACCTCGAGTAATCAGCAACTTCTGTTGCTTGTAGGTCATTCCTTGCTGAGTTAGGTGGTGCTATAACTTAACTTCAGCTCTCTTGACTCACGTTCGATTTCGCTCTCTATTCCTAGTAGAGACGAATTGGAACCTCATCAGATTCGCCGGCAGTACTACTTTCATTAGTTTTTTGTAAAAATAAGACACGACGTTTCAGGATGATTGTAGAGAAATGTAAAGAGTGTCATTAGAATCTTCTCATGTGAACTTATCGAGCTTTTGAAGGATGTTTAAACACTGGATTTCTGAGTTAAAATTCCAGCACCACTCCAGAAGAGCGATAGGCAAGCCAAAACAGTAGTGGCAGGAACTGCAGCATTTTGCCAATCATTAGGATGGTTTGCTAGCCACCATACCCAAAATACAGTTGGACCGGCAACAAAAAGTATGTGATAAAAGGCAACATACGCGAACGATACCGCAAGCACTGCCTCAAGGCCCCAGATCTCTGGCGTTTGGTCATTCTCGAAAGATCGCCCTCTTTTCGGGATACGCTTAATATTTCTAACCCCATTGGGAGCCTCCATACAATCATGCAAGAACGAAGGCTTCTTACACATAGGCTTGCATGCATACCATATTGTCTGGAACATATGTATCGATATTGGGGGGTTCTTCGCGCCCTGGGACCCGTGACGGGGGGCATATTCATACGTTGCGTCGCTGGGAAGCTCCCTCTCCTCAGAAGTCATCCGGTTAAGTGATAGCCTATTGAACTGTCAAAGTGTTAATTTTGGTTTTCCTAATTAATAATACTGCACATTATGAGTCCCACCTTTGCGACATGGCAGTATTCCAAGCGCCAGATAGAGAACCACATTCTCCAGAAACCTCGGCGTATTGCGTAGCGTTCTCTCAGGTCATAGAATACACTCGAGTCAGTGCTCTGATCATTTACATGCGCTTCTGCAGGAGTAAGAGTTCGGGCTGGCCCTTGCGCACCGAGAAGGATGTAATGGGTTGCCGTTGGGCTCCGTGCCCTCGCGCGCTTGCTCCCATGGCTCTGTTGGCTTTCGAGGGCGATCCCTTTTGACGATGTTTGCTTCTTCCCTGAAACAGCAGAGTTCGCATTCGAGGGTCCGCTAGAAGGGTTTGTGCTTGATTGGGCACGAGCAGAGCTGGGAGTATATCTTTGGGCCGCCCGCGACAAAGTAGGAGCTTGGAGTATTGATTCAGGTGTAGTTGATAAGGAAGGGCGTGAGATTTTGGTGACACAGGAAGTTGCAAAAACTGGCACGTCTGGGGAAAGGTCCAATATCTTCCTCGTAACCTCACCTTGCTTATCAGATATATCTTGCCACTGGTTTGCACCGCATGTCTATCAAAGAGATTAACTCATGCCTTTCTGTGAAACAAAGTTTCTGCCACTTACACACTGCCAAAGTATTCGAGACTCACCGGGCCTGAGACTTTGTTTTGGCTGTTCGAGAGGCCACCAATTCCAGCGAGCCTGTGTAGCACGCTCCACCCAGAGCTTCGTCTTATCCAAAAACGTGCTTTCCTGCACGTATAATAGCTGTAAATTCTTCCTAGATATCGACTTGAAGACGCCCCTTAAGTCAATCGGAAGGTATAGAAGGAGCAGGTCCCTCAAAAGTAGCTTGAGTGATTGTGACCCAAGTATGCTATCTTTCAATGCTCGCAAATTTCGAGGTTCGTCGTCATCAGAACTTGACCATATATCACTGTCACTTCTAGAAATCCCTTTTTTCTCCAGACTATGTTGCCCTTTGGACACTGTCGCGAGCCACGTCTCAACCCTATTCATACCTCCCCGCGATATCTCAAAAAGAGGTATTTCCTCCTCTTCCTTGTCGCCGAGATTACCAGCAATCTGGTTACTGATTCGAGCCCTTCCCCGTTTGCTCCTCAGTAATCTGGCAGTGGCTTTTTCCCTCTCATCCTTCGCCTCCTCAAGTAGACATCGGTAGAACAGCTTCAATGATCGCCTAAGGTTCTCCGAAAAGCGTTGTTTACCGATTTCATTAATGAGCTCCTGGGAGATCTCTCGAAACTGAGCGTGTTCAATTAGCGCTATGCCTAGAAGCGCTTTTGCGCTCATGACGTCGTTGGCTGTTTCAACTGATGACTGTGAACCAATGTCAAATTCATCTGATTGAAGAGATTCCAGGTCCTGTTCTAGTGGGACCGCAATATCAGACGGCATCGGGCCAAGGCCGTGTTCGCCTTCTATAGTTTTCACATTTGCTTCCGGTAGACCTAGCAAAGTCTCGTGGCGTGATTGCGATTCATAACCCGAGTCTTTTTTCAATTCCACTTTCTCCTGGTTCTGCTGGTTCTGCTGGTTCTGCTCAGGTTTCTGGGACTGCTCGTCCTGTTGGGTCTGCTGGGTCTGTTGGTTATGTTGTACATCGCCACCGCGCTTACCACTCTTTTCACGATGCATCTGGCAATTCGAGCAACGTGAATGCGAGCATATTGAACAGCCTACATCAGTCTCGACGCTGAGGCCAGTAGTTCCACATTCGCTCTAAAACCAGTCAGTCAACCTTGCATCGCTACGGCGTCTCTCGCGCCACCAAAAGCTACTCACACACGACCACTGCATTTGAAAGTAGACTCCTCTGGCTAGAGCTTATGGCGTTGGCTTAGGGGGTGGGAAGGAAAAGCCGTATTCCGAAAGGATTAAAAATTATAATCAATATGTTGGCTATGCAAGGAGTTGGGTATTCACATGCTCCAGAGTTCCAATCAACGAACATGAAATCGAAGTGTAACAATGTCATCATATGAGAAAAGTACCAACTAGAAAGCTGTCAGCATGATACATGCATAAGCAGCACTAATGTGTGGCCACATACGTGGGCATGTTTCATTTGTTCATTAGCTAAAGGTGAAGCGCAATAATGTCATCACATGATAGAAGTACTAAAAGTAAGGTAATCAGAGTGGTAATGAGGTAAGCCATATGTGCAGCCATATACGTGGGCATGTTTGATTTGTCCGTTGGGCCAATGCATAAGTGTTAGGTAAAAAATGCAATTACACATCTGGCTGATATCATTTACTCCCTTCCTGAAATCTTGGTAGACCTGGTGAGAGTTTGAGTTTAAAGTGAACACTAACAATAACAGATGCCAGACCTGATATGTCAACACAATGAATAATTATGTTAGACATCCATGAATCCCCGTTGAATCTTGCTATCTGATCTTGTCTCTTCTTGCATATATATAAGTTCTCTCTTCAACGAAGGAACTAGACAATTCATTGTTGTAACCTTGTTGGTATTTTTCCAGGATTGAGCTCAAGAAATCAGACCAACCGAACATTTCCTCTTACTAGTCAATTTGATGCCGAGTTGTTAGACTCCTCAAAAAGGAGCGGCAAGTTCCTATGGCAAATATCAAGTTACTTCGCGTGTTTATTCCCTGTGTCAACTGATATATCATAGGTGATAGGTATACGTACGATGACCAGATCGACATAGCCGTTTGCACAGCTCGGCCAATCCAAGTCTCAAACACTCCAAATACTGTAGAAAATGCGACCGTAGACGTGATAATCTAGTTATTTCGTTGTGTTCTCCGGAACGTCCCTACCTTTATGCAATTTTTGTATTGAAGAGGCACTCTAAAGCATTTCACCGTGGCGCATTTGCTCAAGATCTCGACCTTAGGTACACTAGGCACAGGGGGCATTAGCCGTCAAGTAGCAAGCACAACCCTCACGTTTAAAGACTTGTACGATATCATAACCAGTCTAAAGCAACTCTAAAGCTCGAAGAAGCGGCCGAGTATGTCTCATTTGACGTCTGTTGTGGCGGTGTGACATAGGGTAGGGTCTTCTTATGTGTTCAGTCTAGGCTGTACTTGTCTTGCAACCAGTGCTTACTGTATGGCGCCGCGGAGGCTGGTCTTCAGCCCGGCTGTAGGTAGCTTAAGTCTTGGTTGGGCTTCCTACATTGCTCGCATCGTGGTCCGGCGTAGGAAGCCATCAAAAACGCCTTGTTTGCGCAACGTACAGCCTATGTATAACACTCTACGATTATTTGTGTCATGATGTCTTTATTATCCCATTATCGTGTGTCTGTCATGTCGGTTAAAATCTGATTGAGGTTGTCTATACCCTGTGCTAGGATCTGAATATGTTTCTCAGGGAGCGACTTATGGTAGGATTACCCGCTGATGGCATCAGGATGGGCAGCCTAGCTTATATGACCTTCAAAGCACGTGATAAAGAGGCTGCGGTAGTACACTGAACTACCATCATTCTCTTTACTAAATATGAAATATGTTAAAAACATTAAATGCTAGGCATTCTAGGGGAATAATATGAAAAAAGGGTGAGAAAAAATGGACTCTCTACCCCGGACACGAGCTAGGTACAAATGAACATCAGTAACATTAAGCCCTCCTCTTGAACTGGACCACAGGACCGAATCGCCTGCTAACAAATATGTCATACAACTGGTACTGATCAACCTCCCGACGACCCTCAATATTCTCAGGCCTGCCTCCACCCAAGTTATCACTCTTCGGGTCCTGCCTCAGCTCGAACTGGTGGACCAACTTGGCAATGACGACGCTCATCTCGAGATATGCTAGGTTCTTGCCGGGGCAGCTTCGCGGGCCGGCCGAGAAGGGCATGTACCCGCTGTCGGCGCGCGCGACGCTCTCGACCGTGCTGCCCTTCTCGCCCACGATCCACCGCTCCGGGCGGAAGGTGAAGGGCTCATCGTAGAGATCCTTGCTGTGGTGGAGGCAGAAGGCGCACGTGCTGAGCACAACGCCCTGGGGCACGAAGTCTCCGTCGATGGAGACGCCGCCGGGCCCAACCTCGCGCGGCATGTCGGCCGGCGTGGGAGGGCTCATGCGCAGAGTCTCCTTGATGAAAGCCTGGAGGTACTTGCACTGCTTCTGTAGAAGGTCGCCACCCTTGATGTCTTGAACTGATGGGAACGCCTGGCGAACTTCTGCTGCCAGCCTTTCCTGGACATCGGGGTTGCGGACCAGGTAGAAAGTAGCGGCGGCGGTGGAGGTAGCGGTGGTGTCGCTGCCGGCGATGATGAGTGACTCGCTCTCACCGAAGAGCTCGGAGCTTCCATAGCTGAGCTGGCCAGTGATGGGGTCGGTGGCGCTGACGAGGTAGTGGAAGAAGTCTTTGCGGATCTCCGACTCGGGTTTGTCTTGGGCCTTGATCTCCTCCTCGACCTTGGCGCGCTCCTCAAAGCACTTTTGCACAAAGCCAGCCCAGTCGGCGAGAGCGGGAGGGAGGGCCAGAGTGAGCAGAGAGTTGAGCCCGCGTGGCTTAAGCCAGACCCAGATGGCGGCTATAGGCGAGAAAGCAATCTATGAAAAAGGTGTAAGCAGCGGAGAGATGCCAGGGAATGGGGATATATTATAGCTTACGGGGTGGGTGACGGCCATGAACTCAATCATCAGGTCGGGCACATAGCGAAGCTTGCTGTCATGCTCCTTCATATCAAACGACTTTCCGAAGCAGAGGTCACCGAGGATATCGAAGATCAGATGAGCGGTCCAGTCAGCCATGTTGAGAGATCCAGACCACTCGCCGCCATTCTTGTCGATTTCCCCCTTGATAAGATCGCACCAGCGGTCCAGGTTGGCATGGACGAAGGGCTCTGCATTGCGTAGCGCCTTGTCCGAAAAGGCATTGTTCATGACACGGCGCTTGCGGTTGTGAGTCTCCTTAGAGGTGGTGTTCCAAGTCGTAACAGCCTCGGGCGACCGAGGGTACACCCCGTAATAGTCCCCCTTGCCAACATTGGCCTTGGGGTTGTAGATTTCCTTGAGGCCAGTCGCAGTGTTCACCGAGAGCTTGTCCGGGGTATATCGGAAAGTTGGTCCTGTCGACCCAAAAAAATTAGCGATGACGACTCGCCAGGGAAGTCATATGTCATACCATATTGCTGCTGAAGCGACCACAGCCACACATGGCGGTTCTGCTTCGCCGTATGATAATGTGCTGGCCAACCAGAGATCTTACACCAAAAGGGTCCCGGGTATTTGGCCAAAGGATGGAAGAACAGTCTGTAGACGACCGTTGAAACAGCGTAACCGCCGAGCAACGTCGCCAGCAGGGCTGAAACGCCCAGGTAGGAAAGGTTACCTATAGCGCTGATTACGAACATGTTACCTACCGTTTCTGCCGCGCAAAAGAAAAGATAGGAGGCTGAGAAATAAGTAGGAAAAGAACGCGATGGCAGGTTAGATGTCTGCGCAATTTGGCCCCCCAGTCTGGAGCGTCTCGGCTTTACATCGTTCTTATAGCGCGCGCTTCTCTAACAAGCCTCTGCCAATAAGTCGTCAAGCATTACTACGATTGAGACTAACGGAAAAGCCCACAACATTTAGATGGGTACGGGCCTTAACACTAGGTGTTATAGGTTGAGGCTGCTACTATCTTGGCGGCCTCGTCGACATGGAAAACGTGCTTTGCACGGTCTAGCCGCTGCCGCCAAGGATTAGCATGCATGTCCCGATGCACCGTCGAAGGAGGCACTTTGTGCAGCGTAGTCGACGGTAGAACCGGTGCGTCTTTTACTAGAAGATCAAAGAGGGTCCGAAATATACAACGCATGGTAAAGCGGAGTTTCCTATTGGGACAACAGATTGTGCCAGGTTGTCTCTACCGGTGTCGTAATGCAGGGATTCGATAGATTGCTGCACGCAGGGATCGATCAACGAAGCCCATTTCAGCTTTCGAAGATCTTGATAATGAAAAACACTTCCTACCACACGCGGATGACAACCGCGAAGCTGGCCTTTCCCCTCTTGTTTTATGCCGACCCCGCGCCATCTTCATATCGCTCTAGCGTCACACTTAGCGACTGTTGGTCGTTATCGTATTTGATCGTTGCCCGAACCGTTCCTAGCTGCCTCCAATAGATCCCCCGCCGAGCGGAGAAAGGGTAACAGGGGACCCGTTGCCCTACCAGGATGTAATTTTCAGCGAGCAGCTTACATAGTATCCCCTAGTATTTTCTCGTTAATATATCGTGTTGAATCGTGCTGTGGACCTGGGTTCATGGAGTATATGTCGCCATGCTAATATAATACTTCGATCAAGCACTGTCATCATCTGGCCTGTCTTATGCGAGCCAACCAGCAAGCTGGTATATAGATGCGTGGACTCCGACTGGAACGAAGGATCTCCTTCCCACCCCTAGCGACTCTGGGGTCGAGTGGGCTCAAAGAGCAGCCAAGCTGATAATAGCTGTTTGAGATTGTTATAACACTAATCGTCTCCACAAACGGCGAGAACCGTATACATAGTAGTGATCGAAGAAGCTTGGGACAAGTTGAGCTATCACAGCACGCAATCAGTTAGCGTTAGTGTATCAGAGTGTTACATCGTACCGCACAAAACTGAGAGCAAGTCGGGCCACCCCTTTTTTGGCATTGTCCGTCATCTGATGAAGCCCTTATGCAGCCGTGTTGGCCGGATATCGCGCTAAGTAAGGAGCAGAGACCCCGCTGGCGACATACAGACCAGGGGTCAGAATCGGGAAATAGCCGAGCTACGTTGCCGCCCGCCCCGGGCCCGGCGCCCCGTGTGGATGGGTTTGGGCATCACAGTGGTTTGCCAGATCCATGCTTGCGACAACTAGTCAGGGATGTCATTGCTGGGATATTCCCTTGGCTGTACCACGGCCAGTCCTTCGGAGTCCGGACAGGAGGGGAGGGAGCCAGAGCCACCAGAAAGGGGTCGAGCCGGCATACGCGGTTTCTACTGTGCATCTGCACTTCTCGCGTAGCAGCCTATGCTTCCTAATAAGGGCGTGATCGGCTACAAGGCTTGGAAAACGTTGAGTATGTGGGTCGAGGAAAAGCTAATCTTTTGCTGCAGAATCTCTCAATGTGCTGAAAAAAAAAAAGAATTGCAGACTCTTCACTTGCTTAATATATTATACTGCGTGAAGGTGATGCTTATTGGATGGAATTTACTCTCATTTACGTAGAATTTCTGGCTTTAAATAGGCAGGTATAGCATACCCGATTGTCTATACTAGAAATGCATAACCAAAGAAGATGACATTCATAACTCAATTGTGTGCCCAACGACCTTCATCTTTAGTGTGTTTCCTAGTCTGAGAATAGCAAGGCGTTCAATTTCTGACCCCACATAAGTACTCCTCGATCAATTTCTTAATTCTAGGCCGTGACACCCTGATCCTCTTCGACTCGGGGTATGCTCGTCTGCTCAACCTTTTCATTATGATATCTGATCAGATCTAAGAAGTCTATTTACATTGGATCCCCGGACTGTAAGCCCGCAGTTCCCACGGTCCTTAATCTATTCTCCTAGCTGCCATTTTCTCGGGGCACTTGGGGCTCTTTCCTTCTATTTCCCCGCCGTCTACACACGCCCCTAGACTTCCGAGAAGGAAAGAAACAAAACGCGATGGAACTAACAAGCGGGACGAGTATCGACTCCTTTCGGCCGCGTTTCGATGGAGCGGCCATTTCGACCTATGTGTTGGCGATGCTATCGGTTCCGGTCAAGCTGTGGTGCAGGAGTCGCGTCTCAGGGATGCAGAGCTTGGGGTGGGACGACTTCCTCTGTGTGGTCACCTTGATATTTTCGAATGGCTGGTTCTGGGTTACGATGATTGGTATGTCGCTCCAAACTTCGGTATCTTGCGATTTCCTTGCGCCAGGGAACTGATTCTGACACTGTGTCTCTCTCTTTAGGTATCCGACCTAATCTCGGACGACACGTAGGGCTTGAAGTCAGCGGGGAAGAGGTCGAGGCCTTCTTGAAAAATCTGTACGCTGCGGCACTGCTATACTGCTTGGCTATTGCCTTTATCAAGTTCACGATACTGGCATTCTACTGGAAGTTATTCTCCATCGCAGCCCGCATACCTATCATCATCCTCGCCGTGTCTGTAGGTTGCTGGCTCGTCATCTTGGTAAGACCTCAAATATCCTTTCTTGACTAAAGCAGTTCCAAAGTATGTAGGTTGTTAACGAGCATCCGGTGTAGCTTTGCCTCTGCGCTTTCGGCTGTCGCCCAATTTCTGCCCAATGGGATGTTACCATCACAGATGCTACCTGCATCCAACAAAAGGGCATCTACCTCGGAGGCTCCCTGCCTAACGTTTTAGTCGACTTCGTCCTAGTCTTCATGCCCCTCCCTTACGTCTGGCGCCTCCGTGCCCCCGTCGGTCAACGCCTTATCATCGTCGGCATGTTTACCCTCGGTCTCTTCGTCTGCATCGTCTCGGCCGTTCGTCTTAGCGAAGTCATGGCCATTAAAACCAACGACAAGAACATCACCTACAACCTCAGAGACTTCATGCTGTGGTCCATCGTTGAGGTGAACATTGGCATCGTGTGCTCGTGCTTGCCCAGCATGCGCCGTCTGCTCACCGCTATAGGCCTGAACCGCTTATTTTCCAAGGGATCGAGCGCCGACAAGAGGACCGGTTCCGGTGCACTTGGAGGCAACACAAAGAGGAGTGGTCTCGCGACAATCAGCGGCGGCGGGTCGCACGCGAAGAAGGGCCCGTGGAATCCGTGGTCGCAGGTCGGCCTGACCAAGATTGACAGCGAGGAGGACGTCCACGAGATGACGAATCAGCTGAATAAACAAGGACAGACGCATTCCGAGGTCGAGACGGGCCATCGGACCAGCGGCGACACGGCGTTGGTAGTACAGCGGCCGGATAGCCCGCCGAAGCACAACAATGGGATCGTCGTCCAGAGAGACTGGACTGTACAGGTGGACCATCAGGAGCAAAGCGGCAAATAGAACATGCGGTGATGTATTATTATAGTAATTGTTTTTTTTCCTTTCTTATAATAGAACCCAGGATCTCATGGTACGGATTGGTTATGATTTAATATCGGTAGCGATCGAAATGATTTGATCAAAAATGGAAAATCTCACATATTATCGCTTACATGAGTAGAGCTATTCTTTGTGTTAAGATGTCGGGTCAGGATTCCAATTTGTAACCGTACACTTAAATTCCCATCGTGCTTGTACTCGTAGGGCGTGGTCTTCTCTTGTATGATTACTCACCCCACACAATGATTCTGATGGGCAAGTTTACGGACAAAAAGTCCCAGGCTTTGTTACGTAGATTTGACCTGATAGACGGGATTAAGACAAACAGAATTCAATTACGAGCCTTGTCCTAAGTACCCCATTTTTTGTCGAGCGACGCCATGGTATACAGCAGAACGGAATATATAAATAGAATGGGACGCATTTTTGCGCAAGTGAAGAATTACTCGTCTTGAACTTCGAGTTTTCCTTCTTAATATCTAGGGTAGCTGACTTACAAACTTCTCGCAACTTGACCCTGGCTGCTCAGATGTCATCATCGTGACTAGATATAAAAGGCAAATTTCGACGTCGAGCAAATGTATATTGGTTCTACACAACCTCAAAATCGGCATACCCCTTTGAAGCGCTCTCGGTGATCAAGCGGTTGTAGAGCGGAACGCCCCCAGGAAAATTCAAGCCTTCTTTCTTCTTGCCCTCAACATTTCCTCCCACCCAATACGAATCGGATTCGACAATCAAAGTTTTGAATGTGAGGTCATTGACGAGCTTGCTGAATCTGGTCTCTGCCTGTGCCGTGGGCTGAATGCTCTTCCATCCAGACTCGCGAGCTCGCTCAAGGAGGTCACGAATCCAGTCTCCCTGTAGCTCGATAGCTGTTGGGCCATTTGAAAAGCCAGTGGGACCATGTGGTCCGTAAGAGAAGAACATGTTGGGGAACTCTCTCACCATGAGCCCAAGATGGGTCTTGGTTCCGTTATTCCACTTCTGATTTAGTGTCTTTCCTTGGCTGTTGCGAATATTGATCTGCTTCAAACCTCCGGTGATCGCATCAAAGCCGGTGGCCAAGGCAATGATATCAAACTCATGGAGCTTTCCATCCTTGGTCACAATGCCTGTATCGGTCAGGTGTGAGATAGGATTGCTCTTTACATCAACGATGTCGACATTTGGCTGGTTCATGACCTCGTAGAACGTTGTGTACAAGGCTGTGCGTTTGGCGCCAAATGGATGCGGCGGTTCTTGAGGAGCCAGAAGCTCACGTTTGGCCGGGTCGTCGATTAGTGGCCTGATCTTTTCCTTCCAGAATTCAAACACCTCACGGTTCGCCTTTGGATTGGTGAGAACGTCCTGGTACCCTCCAGACCAGAGCAAGAAGCCGCCTTGCGCCCACCTCTCCTCAAAAAAGGCACGTCTATCTTCTTCGCTGTGATCAAAAGTATTCACAGGTGCTGGGCTGAAGTCATAGCCACCTTCACTCAAGTACCGGAACGCGTATTTGGTACGGTAGTTCTTCCGCTCAACCTCCTGCTCCTCAACAGTCAGGTTCTTCTGGCGCAGAGGGCAGCAAGTGTTGGGTGTGCGTTGAAAGACGGTCAATTGTCTCGCTTGGGGGCCAGTTTCTTGAACGATTTGCACACCCGTCGCACCTGTACCGATCACAGCGACCCGTTTGTTACGGACGTCCACTTGCTCGCTGGGCCAGAAGCTGGAATGATGAATTTCGCCCTTGAAATTCTCGATGCCGGGCCATTTAGGGAAAACCCGGTTGGCAGCAAACCCGAGGCACGGAATCCAGTAACGAGCCATGAAGCGTGCACCATGTTCAGTGTGAACAGTCCACTTGCTGGTGGTGTCATCCCATACGGCCTCAGTCACTTTGGTATTGAAGATGCAATCCTTGCTTAAACTCAGGACTTTGTCGACATGCTGAAAATAATCACGTAGTTCGTAGTGGGACGGGAATCGCTGTGTCCAGTTCCAAGTATTGTACACTTCGGGAATAGCGAGACTATACAGAGGGGCGTGTGTATCGACACGGGCGCCGGGATACCTATTCCACTGCCATACACCGCCGAGGGCTGGCGCAGCCTCCAACAGAAGGACTTTGAACCCTGCTTTGCGGAGCGTATGCAGAAGATAGCAGCCGGAGAAACCACCACCAACTACGACGACGTCGTACTCCTGGTCGGTCTGGGTGGAAGGTATATTGCCATTTGAGGTACCAATGTCGGTCCGCATATTTCCTGTAGTTTGACAGCCTCGAGAAGGATGGGATGATGTAAGATATTATTAGACTTGAGAGATATGTGGACTTGGGAGTTCAATCGCCTGGAGTAGTTGAGTGAGTTTGGATGAACAATGAATATTGACATACGTTCTTCTCTATATAGACGGCGCATCTGGATCGCTGAAACGACTGTTGGCTCTCCAAATTCTCGGCTGAACTTTTCTCGGTTGAGTCGGTAATGTCATCTGGAGAAGTTCGCCTAAATGCCAAATCAGGTAGAAAAGCGCCACCGCAATCGGGGCTATCATAGCGCTGATTTTGATCTTGGGTGGGTAGACATGATACGAGAAGCACAAAAGTAATGATACATGATAAGGTAAAGATATTAAGGAGTTCTAACAGCCTAAAGCACGGAATAAAGGCTGTATCTGCTCGCCTAAGGTCTAATAACGGGTACACGGTCTCGAGCCATGACAACATCCACATAAACAGCTCCTTGCCGTCTGATAGATTAGCCCCGGGCAATGTTATCACCTATAGAAGCAATTCTTATGCATTAATGATAAAGTTGGGGACTGATTTTGAAGACTTGTAGCTTCTTGGACTGAGACGAGCAGAATATGCTTATGATCTTGTGTTGACACAACTATGTAGGTACTACTGTCTCACGATGCAAAGCAACAGCAGAGAGGATTTGTAGTTCCAATATCTGACAGAAAAAAGAAAAGCCTTTCCTTCATGATACGATACGGGTATGTATCCTGTTAGCTACGTATTCTAAAATATCGCGATAGCATTTGGTGGCGAGGCAACACCCCCTGTGACGTTGAGAGGAGCGCTGGTGAGGAAAAATGACCACCGCTTCTGTCGCTCACATTCCTGGCTCAGGCCTTCCAGGTCAAAAAGCTCACCGATCGGGGTACCCCAGTAGCCTAGAAGCCAATCGTGAAGCATATTCCCCCCAGGTGCTGGTTCAGCTTCAAATGCGAGGTTGTCTGCAGCTACGGCGGCAAAGTGCTTTGAGTAAAGCCAGCGAACACTGTCCATGTTACTTTCAAGGCCAATGTTGCCGCCAGCCTCTTGCATAACGCTGGTCTCGTCTGCTTGACTATAGAGCACGAATTAGAAAGCTTAAAGTGGTTTGTCATGGCGAGATTGTTCACTAACTTGTACCAACGGATGTACCCTGTTCTGAGAAACAATATGTCGCCTTGGCGGGGAGTTGTGTTCTGATAATTCAAAACCTCCTCGATTTCAGAAATGGGAATAGCATGAGGCGAATTGACTTGAGGCAATGGTATCTCGGGTCGGGTTAGCTCCCACCAGCGCACCTAGATAAGCATATTAGCATCCCAAAATAGCAGCCAAGATTTTAATGGTAGCTCTAGTTACCCAATCTGCGAGAACACCGCGCCCAACAATGCCTCCCTTTTGGCATACATCTGTATATATATAAGCGACAGGTATCTCCAAGGGAGTAAGTTGGTCAGTTGAAATACTGTGAAAGCCATTGCGGGGAGTATCTTGCGCCTCCTGGAAGGACAAATTGTTGTAAAAGATACCTTTACTCTGAACGGCCCACTGGACAAGGCAATCAAGTTATATTGTCGGTAAGAAAATGAACGACGTGTGTGACAAGAGAAGAGGAACCCACATGTTTAAGACTGTCCCATTGGGAGCTATTCTGTGTATTGAAATGAATCTCGTCATCAAGTGCAACGAGGCCTTCACTTCGGAGATCAACGACCCGATGTGTTAGGCCAATGCGGCCACAACCAGGAAACCGAAGGCCTTCCAGGTTCCAGTCCAACTGTACATGAGTGCCACACCGGATCTCATCCCGAGCTTTCACGACAGCAGATGCGGTCAAAAGATTCAAAGCTATTGATGCTGATTAGAACTTTTCACTCGCCTGTGACTTAATCCTACGGTCGGGGGTTTATCACATACTTCCAAGCTCATCTCTCCGCAAGCCTTGATCAAAAAAGCCCCACAAACACCCTTGGGGTTGACCGTCAACTTCAGGGAGCAGGTCAAATTCTGGAAAGTGGTAGCTTTCTGTAGCCATGGTGAAGGAATATATGACAAGTAAAGATTCTCACGAAGATGTCGGAATGGACGTATCTTTATTGGCTGCATAACTAGTCAGGGGGTGTGTCATATTGAGGTAGATCGTGGTTACGGAACTACCTAAATTAGGGATGTAGACATATTCAGCTCACATCCGAAGAAAGTCCTGCAAACCATCACCCCCTTTCGGCAGCGTTGATGGGTTCCTCCCCTCACTCGTGGTAGAGTTACGCTACCCACTCTAAAATTACCCCATTGAGAACAGAGCCGGATCATCGGGAATCCGAGCTCAAGTCCACGTCATATGGCTAAATCAGATACGCGAGACCGTATGAGGACGATATCGGCGGCCCAGGCTTCTTATCGACATTGAACAGCGGTACCTAGGCAAGCTAGGTCAATCATTGCCAATGGACCTTATCTTTTTTATCTGCTAGATGAAGCAAATGTTTGAAAGGGACGGAGGTGTGGTTTATATTAGTGTTTTTCAGAGTCGCATGATGAGAGGTTAGATATTAGCCTGAGAAGGAAAAGCAGTGGACACCTATGTTTGCTTTAGAAATGTAGCAAGCCATTTCATTCTATAAACATATAGAGCTGGCCAGAAGTTTTAAAATAGACCCTATCTGCGTCTTACTCATCATTTGCCATCTCGAGACTGAGGTATACAGTTTTGAGGTTCGAATACTCGTCCATCACCGTGTAACCACCGTCCTTGCCGATACCAGACTGTTTGTAACCACCGAAAGGTATGCGATAGTCTGAATTATTGCTCGAGTTAATCCACACCATGCCAGCCTCAAGCTGCTGTGAAACACGGATAGCGCGAACGACATCTTTAGTGAACAGTGCAGCTGCAAGACCATACTCTGTATCGTTGGCCACCTTGATAACCTCGTCCTCATCGTTGAACTTGGTAAAGACCCCAAAAGGACCGAAGATTTCCTCCTTAATCAGCCGAGAGTTGGGGGCGGCATTGATAGCGACAGTAGGCTCGACGTAGTATCCCTTTCCGTTTGGGCGGTTGGGATGAACATTTCCGCCCGAAAGAACGGTGAGACCCTCCTCGCGAGCAATTTTGTGGTAGCCTGTAACGCGGTCAAATTGGGCCTTTGAAACCAAAGGCCCAACCCAGGTTTTCTCGTCAAATGGATCCCCAACAATAGCATGCTTCTTGGAATAGGCAATGAATCGCTTTACAAAATCATCAAAGATCTTTTCATGCACATAGATACGGTCGGTAGAGGTGCAAATCTGGCCTTGATTGGCGAAGGTGCCATATTGGACCCATTTCAGCGCGTTGGGGATGTCAGCATCCTCGAAGACAATGACTGGTGACTTTCCGCCTGTCTCCAGAGTGACCTTCTTCATAGTACCAGAAGCAGCCTTCATCACCTTGCGGCCGGTAATGGTGCTTCCAGTGAAGCTGATCTTGCCGATATCTGGATGCTCGGAGATGCGGACACCAGTCTCAGCACCGTAGCCATTTACGATGTTGATTACACCGGCAGGAAAACCCAATTGCTGCACAAGACCAGCAAAGTATAAGTTGGTCAGAGGTGTGAACTCGGAGGGCTTGACGACCACGGTGTTGCCACAGGCAAGAGCTGGGGCAATCTTCAGCGCCACCTGAACCAGCGGATAATTCCATCTTTGAATTTTAGAGGTTAGCTTTATGATAGATCATCCAAAAAGAAGACGTATGGCAGGGAATCTTACGGGGTGATGGCGGCAACAACACCAATTGGCTCGCGGATGGTGTAACCAAAGCGAGACTTGCCGATGTCCACGGTCTCGCCGTATTTCTTATCAGCAAATCCGCCGTAGTACCGGAAAACCTCATAAACCTCTTTGATATCCATCATAGCCTTAGTGTAAGCTTTGCCACTGTCCATAGCCTCCAAAGTTGAGAGGATCTCCAAGTGGCTCTCGACAAGGTCAGCGAGTTTGAGGAGCAAGTTGCCACGCTGTGTTGAGTCCAGCTTGCTCCATTCTCCACGTAGAGCGGCACGAGCAGCTCCGACAGCTCCATCAACATCTTCGGAAGTAGCAGCCGAGACTTCAGCTAGAACTTCCTCCGTACTGATTATGATTAGGTCAACTCATGTCATTCTCTCGACGTTGGACTCGACACTCACGCCGGATTGATTGTGGGAAGCGTATTGTCATTCTTGGCCTCTACAAACTGGCCATTAATGAACAATCCAGTGTTAAAAGTAACGGCTCGTCCGTTGGGGGCATTTAAAGTGACAGTAGGAGGCGACATTTCAGGGGAACAGATGGGGTAGTTACAGTAGACGAGTGCGACGGAGGTAGGAAAGATTGATTGAGGTGAATCAAGGACAGATTTAACTTATAATCCGACCATCCTTACTGGGGCAGTATATAACAAGAAGCATTGGATTCCAAAGTCTATATAGCAAGCACCTGCAAAGGAAACTAATATGTCTACACTAGTATCAACTCGGGGTAAAAAGGGCATGGGAATTAAGCTCCGCACTGTCGGAGGTCTGTCTAGACATGCCCCGTTATATAATTACTCTTTTGAGACGAGAGACGGTAATTAGGGCTTCTAGGATTTATAATACGCTTGTTGTAACGGGAATCTTCTCCGCATCGTACCCGATTTCCCAATGTCAGTTCCAACTGGCCGGCTTCGGAAGATGAGTCCACAGCATACATTTATTACCGTATCGAGCTATTAGGCGCTGACCCCGCACCCATGAGGGATGTGCGGAAACACTCTCTACCCAGCGGCGGTAGTGCACGCCCGTTACCACTGGTTCCCGCTGATACCAAAAGCAGGCTTGGTGGGAGAATGAAAGAGGTCCCTTGCAATCTACAGGCAGCTTGTACGACAAAAGTTTCTTCTCTAGCTCGAATTCAAGTCTATGGTCATGGTCCATACAGGTGAGAACTTGACGATAGCACCTACAGACTTGCTAAAGGAGTATAACAATTTCTGTACCGTGGCCGTACATTGGATGGCAGGGGTTGCCGATATTTAGATTCATTGTTCCTTTTCCCACACTCATCGCCCAGACCTTGCAAGAACTGGCTGTATTACTATCTGATCCTAGCCCCATCAAGACTTGAATGCTAGAGTCCTTGTAAAATAAATTCAATTTAGTTCGATGGATTAGACCATCACAATCTATCTAATATTGGATAGGTTCGTAACCGGCATTCGGATTTGTCAAGAACCAAGTCACATCTCGACCCTCGCTCTCATTTTCCTTCACCGAATACCCATTTCCTAAGTAAGAAAACCGATTGCTATGCACCAATTGCCACTCGTAGTCTTCTGCCCGAGGATTCCAGAGCATGTGAATATTGTGGATGCGGCTACCACAATGGGTTAGGACATGCCCATCCTCGCGGCCTATGATTTGCGTAAGAGTCAACTGAGCGTATTCGCATGTGGTTTCTTTAATATCAATGTAACATACCTCCTTTGAGCCATGACCGGCATTTGGTTCCCCAAACGGTGCGCTTGTGGAAAGTATCATGGTGGTCTAAGTACTCCCGATATGCGTCGTCCTTTAGCACAAAAGACTTGTAGTTCTCTGTTTGTGCTTTCCAGATCATCAGGAGCATGTATTTGGTGAACACCTCAACCGTAGGAATGACAGAGCCGTGAGACAGAGGAGAATTTGGTCCCAAGTAGACTGTATGCCATTAGCAATCCCACTCAAGTTGAATGCTGAAATTCCTCATACCAAAATAATTGGGCATATTGTTGACGCCGATACCCATGTAGGATGCTGGCCTTTCCTGCCATTGATCCTGGAGATTGATACCATTGCGCCCGATAATTGGGAAACGTGGAATCCACGTGTAGTCGAACCCTGTGGCAGTGATCAAAACGTCCACTTCCACAATTTCACCAGTCTTCAATTTGATCCCACTAGGAACCACTTCTTCTATGTGATCAGTCACTAAGCGAACATTGGGCTTCACTAAAGACTCCAAGTAACCAAGGCCTGGTGTAGGGCGACTATCAGATAAACATCAGCCGACAACAAATTCGAAGCAATGGGCTTGGTACACTTACCGGCATCCAACACCAAAGTCGGGGATCAAAATCTTCGACAGCACCGGGTCATTGCCGAGTCTTTTGATCATTAACTCTGTCGCTGACGTCTGTGCGTCTTTCTGCTCCTTGGTGCCCATGATATTCTACCCGCAGCGTGATTAGTTTTCATCACTTCATGTTCGGAGGCCAGAGGGGCATACACTAGTAAACTCGAGCGAGATTTTAGCTTCGATTGACTTTCGATATTCGAGCCACTTCTCTGGGTTCTCCGCAAAATTCTTCTTCTCCTGCTCGGTATCTTGTAGAACAATCAGCATCTGTATCGAAGTAAGGTGGATATGGCTTCTGCATGCACACATTTGATATTAGCTCCATCTTTGCCAGCCAGTCCTTCGGCAAAAGCCGGGGTGATCCAGGTAGGGTTCCTGATTAGAGTCGTAAGGTGTTTGACATCTATGTTGGTAAAGTCAGCGATCTGTTCACGAGTCTTCGTTACACTCCTATGAATTACACCTACCCTCATTTATGGTAGCCACGACCTGGATACCAGTAGATCCGTTTCCAATTACTGCAACCCGCTTATTTTTAAGGTCGATAGTCTCATCCCAGCTGGCCGTGTGGGCTAGGTCACCCTTGAAAGATTTAAGCCCGGGAATATCGGGCCACTTCCAGTTACTACATCATTTGGTAGGTAAGTCATGTGCTCTGATAGTGTGTTGGAATGGCATTATGTTCTTACTTCAAAAAACCACCACCGTTAATGAAATAGTTGCATGAGTCGTCGGTGACCTTTTTGGTTAGCTGGTCTTCAACTTTCAGGTTCCAGAGGCTCGTGCTTTCATCCCAAATAGCAGAAATTATCTTGCTATGTAACTTGATGAACTTTTCAAGGTCGTAGTTCCTAGCTGTGTCTTTCAGATAGGTATGAATCTCCTTTGAGCTTGGATAGCTGACGGAGGGGAGGTCAATCAGTACTTAGATATCGCGGAGATTGAACCAGAGACACCCACAATTCGCTCCAGTTGGGGTTCAAAGCCCAGGAATATTGATAGTTGTGCGCGGGCACATCGCATGCGCAACCTGGGTACCTTTCAAAGAGATTTAGCGGCCCAGACTACGACTTCTTAACTGAGACTTACTTGTTTTCCAACCAAGTGCCTCCAATATCATGGTTCTTCTCATAGATTTGAAAGTCCACATTCTTCATGCGTGTCGCAACCTGATGCGCCAAGTTCAAGCCTGAAACTCCAGCACCTACACAAATAATACGAATCTTTTGTGCGGTACCCAAAGGCTGATCTGGAATTGGAATATCAGGAGCGCTGGACACACCAAGTGAAGGTTTCTCCCTGCTATACTGAACGCCCATGTTGACGGTAACAAATATGATCTTGGAGACAGTGTTTGCAGCTGGCCCAATTCATGCTGGCCGACCTGCAATTATAATGTGCGGCACCCACCAAAAACTAACGAGGACTACCTCCAGCGTATGATGTACAGGAGATGGTTGCCGCGAAACCAAATCACACGTACTATCATCCCCGCATATCAACCCAAAACGGCAATATGGACAGCTGATATACGACACGTCTAGACCCCTACGTCCTAGTGATTTGCAGTATCTGATACTGGCTATGCCACCGATTGCCGGCAAGAGGAACTAATCTAAATCCCTCCCGACTAGAACAAGCGGGAGGCTGCCGAGCTAATCGTTTCAGATGTAAGGATGACTAGAACAAAAAAAACACGCTAATAAGGGGGATTGCCGGCGTGCTGACCCGAGCCAAGTCTAACTATTGCGCTTGTGTAACAGAATAGGAAATTTCATGGCTACCCGAATGTGGAGAGGTTCGACTCCACGAACGAAGTCAGAGTAACAAATCCCGAGGGATAGCTGGCCCAGGGCGTCAATCAGTATTCGTTTCCTGTTAACTCACTTCCACTCACTTTTCCCGATGTCCTCTTTAGAAAACAAAGTGGTATGGCGGCCCATAGACGCAACTTTTTGAGGGAGGAAAGCTGACCATGTAGATCGCTGTTACCGGCGCCGCATCTGGCATTGGCCGTGCAACGGCTCAAATGCTCGCATCTCGGGGGGCTATTCTATCCTTAGCCGATACAGACGAGGAAGGCCTTGTTGAAGCGCTCAAGACGTTTGAAGGCAACGGACACATTTACACGATTCTGGACGTTCGAAAAAGTGACCAAGTCAATGCATGGATTGAGAAGACTGTCCAACAGCTTGGAAAGCTTGATGGAGCCGCGAACATCGCCGGCATAATCAGCTTTGAGACACCGCTGTCCCAGGAAACGGACGAAAGCTGGCAGCGGATTCTCGATGTTAACCTGAGCGGCACATTCTACAGCCTTCGGGCCCAGCTTCGAAATATGAATTCTGGAGGTTCTATTGTGAGTAGCACACCAGTACTCGATAATACCCGCAGCCGGGTTGTACTTTGGTTATTGACGACCTCCAGGTATTGACATCCAGCGTCAGCGGCCATATTGGCTGTCCCGGACTCGGCTCCTATACGGCCAGTAAGCATGCTGTCATCGGGCTTGCAAGATGCGCAGCAAAAGAGAACCCTAATATCCGAGTGAACTGTGTTGCGCCAGGTGGGCCATATCTCATTTTCCACCAAACGTCACAGTTAGATGGATGCTAACACATTCAGGTGTCATTAAAACCCCGTTTACTGTTGGAGAAGATACACCCCCGGAGCAAATCGAAGACGAGATCAAACAACAGGTCATAAAACGCATGGCAGAGCCTTCAGAAGTCGCTAGTGTTATTTGCTTTTTGCTCAGCAAAGAAGCTAGTTTTGTAACCGGGGCTGTATATAACACTGATGGAGGCTGGTTATGCTAATAATCCCCAAACAGCCATCGATAAGAAAAGAAGTTCTTCAAGACAATCTATCGCTATCCTATCTTTGCCAAAGTAATGGGTAAAGAAGAGGAGAAAAAGCAATTTGGCGCCTAAAAGTCCTCATGTTAGCAGCCGTGTTTTCCAGCCCGTAAAGCATTACGACATGTAGAGGAAGATATAATGGCATCCTTCTTGCTCTCAGAGAACCGACAGAAAGAGGGAAACACGTAGCATACTACTTAGTTATTCAATTACTTAACTGGCAGGCTCTACTATTTGCACTCTTACGAAACATTATGCCTGCCATGGCCACAGTCTCTTAGTGGTAGTATTCCAGAGCAGATCGTACAATGAATAATAAGCCGGCTGCATAATGAATTAGGTTCAAATCCGATGGAAAACCTTTCTTAGTACGAATTTCATGTTGTATCGACTGATACTTACCTGTTTAGCAAGTTTCAACACATCAGTGAGTCGCATAAGGGCAGGGAAGGTTTGGTGCCTTCACGTTGACTGAGTCTACAGTGCCCCCATCAGGCATGGAGCCGGGAACCAAAGGCGAAGAGATTAACCCCCTTGCCCCAAATGTAAAGATCCCGTCAACGTCTATCTTATCAATAAATCCACCGGCCATCGGTAAAGCAGATAAGCAGGCGCCTGTAGGTATGCCGATCTCGGGCACAAAGTTCGTGAAGCCAGTTTCGAGCCTGCAGATGTCCCATGACCAGAGACCACAGCCGAGGCCTCAATCCCCACCACCCCTTTAGCGATGGAGTTGCTCTGTTGCCCATTTCAGAAAATAAGCGGCTGGGTCCATAGAGCCATCTTGATAGCTACTAACCACTTTTCGTTAACGTCAATTTGAATGAATGAGAGAACAACCTACAGGGCTAGGGAAACACCATCCTTGCTTCGGGACTGATCTTCCCCTATTTATTCAGTCGAGTTATCTCTTCATTCAGTACTCTGAAATCTTCCGATAGTATCTACACAGTGATATTGCTGCAAACATGCCCAAAATCACAATCTTGGGCGCAGGGTAAGGGATCTTTTGGATGGTTATTAGATCTTTCACGGCACTGACTGGCTTCCTGATGATAGCATCACTGGCTTGGCTATTGCCAGCCAGCTACCTAGCAACTATGATATCACGATTGTTGCCAAAGAACTCCCGGGAGACGACACTCTGAAATGGGCAAGCCCGTGGGCTGGGGCAATCTGGATGCCGATCCATGGCGCAAACGCTGAGGAGCAGCGTGTGCAGCTCAATTCCTTGGCTTTCCTCACCAAATTGGCTGCTTCCAACCCAGAATCTACAGTCAGGGTACGAAGAAAAGATTCATGTTCTAAATATCCGGGACATGCTGGCTAATCGAACACAAGAATATAATCATGGAAGAATTCTTGGATTACGAGCCAGATGAGACCATATGGTGCCGCGGGCGCATCCCGGGGGTACTGTTCTCTTTTTTTTCCCTTTCATCTTTGAATTTTCCTACTAATATCTGCTTCAGTTTGAGGTGCTCCCCAAGTCCCGCTATCCCGAAGGTGTCAAATATGCCATGAAGTGTAAGTCGCTGTCGAACAGAAGGAGCATAGATACTGAAGCTGAGGTCTTGTTTTCTGATTAGATAATGCCGTCACCATGCACCCTCAAAACTTGATCAAGTGGCTCGAATCTCGCTTGAAAGCCAAAGGAGTGAAGTTTCACAGAGCAGGTGTGACTTCGCTGGGAGCTTTGAAGCACATGGGCCACGACGTTCTCATTAATGCTTCAGGCCTTGGTGCCGCTGCATTAAAAGACGTTCACGACCCGCAAATCATGCCCTGCGTCACCCATTTGATTGAAGTGAGACATCCCTATGATCAGATCTGGATGCGCCACAACAAAGACTATTCAGTCTACACCTACATCCTCCCTCGTGGAGATGGAACTGCGGTTCTTGGTGGCTCTCGTTTCTATGGAGAATGGTATGTTTGCATGCCACCTGGAAAGTCTGTTTGTTGTACCTAACATATTTTTCCACTTTGAAAGGGTTCCCAAGATCATTCCTGAAGTCCGTCAGGGGGTATGTTCGTAATTTAGAACCAACGCCCTGCGTCTGCTAACCCGGATAACCAGATCATTGACCGTCTTCATAAAAATTTGCCCGAGCATTTCCCTGCCGACATCAAAGACATCGATTTCATAAGCGATATCACCGGCGTCCACCAGCAGCAGGAGGGTGGACTCAAGCTTTACAAGCAACACCTGAATGGACAAGATGTGGTCCATGCGTACGGTAGGTCGCCACATTCAGGATACTGGCATGGATTCTTGGCGCTGAGCTAACATCACTGCTGCTAGCATTCCGTGGTGGAGGTTTCATGCTTAGTTTCGGTCTTGCGAACGAAGTTGCTCAAATGGTGAACAAACATCTCTTCACTTACGATGCTAGGTTGTAGAGTGGCTGTGACCAGTTGTTCATATGTAGCGGTATCTTCTTCACGAGGTGGCTCGATTTGTAGTTTTTGTGGCTAGGTGTAATTTAACTTCTATATCCCATGATGTGCCAGTTTGCAATATTCAGGCTTCACACCGTTCCCCCGACTAAGTAGTAGAAAGTGATCAACAACTGATGTAGAATGTCAATTGTTCCCCAGCTAGACTCTCAAAAACATGGAAATTTAAGTTTTAATTTGAAACATACATAATATGTTAGAGAAGATCCCTGTGCGAACTATCAAGTCTCTTGCAAAAGTTCTGCCTTTGATGAGACACCAACAGTGTGGGCGACAGAACACAACACTTGAACGTCACATCCTGAACACTCATAAAATATACAAAAACGCTCCGTTTAAAACTCAAATTGTCATTTGACATTCCTTCAGGTCAAATAATGGAAGCTCTGGAATCTCTGGAAGCTGTTGCAAGTATTAATTCAACATGGCTAGCTACAGAGCGAAATCAAAGCTTGGGTTGAAAGGCAGCCTCCCAGGTTTCGAGAACCTTATTTCGAGCATCCGTCAAGCGATCTTGAGTCTCCTCGAATATTCTAGGAATTCCGGTCTCTCTAAAGGATATTCCGTCAACAATCATACTTGCCATGCCCTTGGCACTCAAAAAGATCTGAGGCATCCCATGGCCTGTCCAACCTGCCATTATAAACATGCCCTGTCTACCTGGGATTGGTCCAACTCTAGGTAGTCTGTCACGGGAATAACCCATAACTGCAGTAGGAGATTGTTTGTCAGTGATTTCCAACCTAGACTCTCCACGCAAAGGACATCATCACTTACTGCCTGTCCAAATTTTCTCCACATGTGCACCACTATCTTCCCAGCCAATGAAATGGCGTTGCATGTAATCATCGAAGTACTTGCGAGCCTCTTCCACAAGAGTGCTATCATCGCTGTTATTATACCAAGCATCCTTGTCGTGGTAGTACACTGATCTAGCACCGCCAACAATGATACTGCCATCGGGTCGAGGAATCAAGTAATCGTGATCCCAGTCCGTAAACCTCAAGGCATACGTGTTTGTTAGCAACGGGGCAGTTCCTGAGGTCGTGATATGGCAGCTTGTTGCACGATATGGGATTATCTGATCTTTGTACTCTGGCAGCAAGGCCGCAGTGTAGGCATTCGTGGCAACCACAACTTTGGCAGCGGATACCTTGCCTCGAGCGGTAGCCAAGGTCCATCGCCCGGCTGAGTCCGGTGAATCAGCAATTTTCAGAACAGGCGTATTGCTCTGTAGGTTAACTCCCAGTCTGACGGCACGTTGGAATAAATGGTGGACCAATTTGTATGGCCACAGGTGGGCAGCAGGAAAGGTGATGCAACCTTTTGCTCCTTTAACACCAGAGACCTAGCCGAAGGATCTCGTTAGCTTTCAGTCTCGGATTGAGAAGTCTCGTAAGTTTGATGACTGACTGTCTCTGCGTATTTTGGCCCGACTTCGAATGCATCTTGGCTCGCTCGAACACCGGCAGCTTGAAATTTGGATAGCGCGGCCTTGGCTTTGTCATGCCGTTGGTGACTGAAGTGGACGTCGCACGAACGAGTGACAATCAAATCACAATCAATACGCTCCTTCTCGACGTAGGCTTTGACAGCATTGAGATTGTCTGTCTCGAATTGGGCCAATTCCATTGCTGCTTCAAAGCCGTGCTGTTCAACCAAATGCGATGCGTGCCAGTAAGGATCCGGCTTGATGTGTCCGCCTAGGAAACGTCAGACATCTTGATTGACAAGGTCGAGTAGAAATTTGAGCCTACCATTTCGGCCTGTGGCCCCAGAGGCAAGTTGTCTTGCCTCGAGCACGAGGATAGAGGGCGGATTTTGTCCGGATTGTTCCAGTACGTGAGTGATGAGGGCCGCGGCGCAGTACCCCCCTCCAACGATCACAATATCGACTTTATTAGGGAGTGACTCGGTTGAACGGTAGTCATGCAGGTTCTCCGGGGCAGTCAGCCAGAATGGCTGAGTTGACTTTTCGTGAGGCAATGAAGGAGGCGCCATCTGGATAGTGGTGAGCAAACGGTGAAGAAGTCGAGAGGCCACCAACAGTTACAGTTTGGGCTACAGCTAACAGGTAGTGTACCTATTGAAAGCAGCCTTGTACGTGTTTTCTTCCCAGCTTCACGGTCGCCCTGATGACGTTCGTATAATACAAGAGTTCAAGTGCAAGGTGTGAATGCCGGGGCAAAATCGGAGGTTGCCAAGTGATACTTCTTGTGCCCACAGCCCCCTGTGATAATCTAACTATGTACCTACCCCCGATGCCCTACCTATGAGGTAATTAGGCACTTGCCTATCACGGTAGCGAACCGGTGATGTGCAATAGGCTACTGTTGGGACTCGCTTCGTCACCTAAAGAGGGAAAAAAACAAGGATCCACATAACTACGCTAACTCTTGCGGGGTCTCTCTCTTGGCTGCCAGAGAGCGAGTACGATTTCGCAACCTCAAAATGACATGGAATTGTCCACTGCAACGGATGTTGAGGATGCATTTATCTGCTTGAATCGAAATTCCAGAATGCTCTTGAAGCCAAACTGAGGCGTCATTTCTCACACACTGCTCCCTCAACTGCAGTCCAATCAACAACGTGCCACCATGGTTCCCTCACAAAAATTGATCGCCGTGGTAGGCGGAACAGGTGATTACCGCCAATCCAGCTTAAACAAGGCAATGCTAACTGCCACCCAAATCAAGGCCAACTGGGATCATCAGTGGCTATATCGTTGCATGATAACCCTGAATTTCAAGTCCGAGTACTATCTCGTGACCCTACCTCTGCCAAGGCACAGCGTCTTGTCAAGCTCGGCATCCAAGTCGTTAAAGCTGACAACTGGAGTGACACGGACCTTCAAAGTGCTTTCCGAGGTTGCTGGGGTATCTTTATCAATTTGAATTCGGACCTACCAGTACATCCATATCTGTGGCGAAGCGTTGATGGTACTAGCTGACGATTTTATTTGTAGAACTTCAAGCGGAAGATTGGTCCTTCTGAGTTTGAGAATGGCAAGATTGTCGTTGATGCCGCTGTGAAGGCTGGCGTCAAACATGTCGTTCATGCATCTCTACCGCCTGCATCCAAGTTAACCAACGGCAAAATTCCGGTCTACTCTTTCGACGGTAATATGGCTAAGCCGATCTTCTCACAGATATTTGCTAACGAAAGCGCTAGACAAGAGGGCAATATCAGATTATGCTCTCGCCCAGGATGAGTTTCAAACAGTAACACTAGTCAACGCTGGATGGTTTCTCGAAAACGCATTTGACCCAGCCTACGAGACAGTATTTGGTGGACTTGCCACAAAGGTAGATGAAGAAGGGTTCTATACATGGAAGTGTCCTTCAATGGGAAACGATCCAGAACTTGTTCCTTGGCTTTCAGTGACGGATGACTACGGAGACTTCGTCCACGGCGTGTTTCTAGATCCTCAGAGGTGGAACAAAAAGGTGATCCATGCCGTCTCAGAGTCATTGAGCTTCGCCGGCATGGCGGCATCTTTTCAGAAAGGCAGGTTTCCCACAAACTTCACATGCAGATCCACGCGCTAACTTATCAAAGGAACTGGCATGCCGGCACGATATGTTGAAGTAGATGAGCCTGTGGCCAAGGACCCTAATAAAGCAAAGGAGGTGAAGGGGCTCTTTACTTTGATGCATGCTATCAAAGGAAATTACTTTGACGGGCTACCCACAAATCACGGTGATGCAAAGGCTCTGAAGGGGGCTGTAGCCCATGTCAGAAAGCTCACTGGTCCAGAGGCGGACGTTAGCACGGTTGAGGGGTTCTTCAAAAAGCATATCGACAGAGTTGATGGACATTAATAGGAAATTTTGATAGCAAACTGCTATACTATATGGACCCAAAACAACTTTGATGAATTTAATAACAACTTTATTGAAGAATGCAACAAAGGGCGTATCTTTTATGGATGGTTCAGTTTTTTCTGATGTTATCCCGCGAAATGATCCACATTCCATCAAGACTACTAAGCCATCATTCGTCAGATATTATACTTCGCGTCTCATAGTTACAGGCGAGACATGTTCTCTTTCCATCCGGCATTGGTTGCAATAAGTTCCGCGGCTCCGTCAGCCACACAATAAACCGTCATCATCGGGTTCAGGGTAGCCATTATAGAGAACACGCTCGCATCCGCGACACTTACATTCTTTAACCCTCTAACTCGCAACGCGGGAGTAATTCTAAATGACACGACGGTAGATGTTTAAATTCTATTACCGCTGAGGGTAGACTGCATCTCGGTCGCAACATGTATCTGTAACTTTCTATGAAGTATCTTGGGGTCCTGTCGCCGCCATGAGAATTTGTTTCGTACTTTTACCAAAGAAGGAAAGTAAACCGCGATACGATGAATACCGAGGATAAAGGTCTAACCGCAACTACTCTCCGGGTAATGGATGTAATTGGAAAGTCTCAATCACAACCATCGTACTAATTGTGTGCTCCTGACCTTGGTATTTTCTGCGGCAATTCAATTCGTAGGGCGGACGCATCCGGCAGAAAAATTCCCTAATGTGGAATCGGTGCGCGCCCCAAGATCTAACAGCCACTTTTAAGCGGCTTTCCAGTTACGGCAGCGAAGCGCCCCGAGGGTCGTGATTTGACTCATTCGTGTGATATGTGAAGGGTTGGGACTTCTTTTTGGAGAATCCGTGTGAGATAAACGGAACTAGCAAGAGTCCAACACCTAGATATCTAGCTGCCTGAACTTCCCTGGGCGAACACCCACTATCCTGTGTAAGACGTCGTCTTCGATACCTGATTGATTTCTCTACTTTTCCCAGATTTCTTCTTCATATTGATCCAAGATGTCTCGAGAGCTATTCAAGGAGCTTACAACGCCCAATAATATCCGCTATACCCAGCCTCTGGGATTGTTTATCAACAATGAATGGGTCGCTTCCAAGGAAAACGACCGGATTATATCCATCAATCCTGCGTACGCAAAGCCAAATTCTTCCGTTATGTATGAGAGTAATAGCATTAACAGATCTTATAGAGACGAGTCGGAAATTTGCACTGTTCATGGCGCTGGCCCCGATGACATCAACGACGCTGTCGCGGCTGCTCGCCAAGCGTTCGAGTCGTGGAGAGATACAGACGCCACTCTACGAGGAGACCTTCTCCAAAAGCTCGTCGAGCTGACGGAAAAGCACGCCGACATCTTGGCATCCATCGAGACTTGGGATAATGGTTTGTCGCTAATGCTCCACAATGAATGCAACCAGTACTGATTCATAACGTTTCGGATGTGAATAGGCAAAACATACAAAGCTGCTCGTCATGATGATCTCCCCGAGGTTATCGGAGTTCTAAAGTATTACGCCGGTTGGGCCGACAAGCTCACCGGGCAATCCTTTACCAACAACACATCGAGGCTTGCTTACACGATTCGTGAGCCGCTAGGTGTTTGCGGCGCTATCATCCCATGGAATTTTCCGCTGAGTATGATGGCCTACAAGATTGGTCCCGCTGTGGCTTCCGGAAATACCATTGTGTTGAAGGTTGCAGAGCAGACTCCTCTGTCTGCACTGTACTTTGCTCAGCTGATCAAGCAGGCCGGGTTCCCCCCTGGCGTCGTGAACGTGGTCAACGGCTTCGGCCGCAAGGCTGGCGCAGCTATTGCGCAACACCCTGATATTGATAAGATTACCTTTACTGGATCTACACCAACTGGCAAGGAGATCATGAAGATGGCATCTAGCACAATGAAACGTGTGACGCTGGAGACTGGTGGCAAGTCACCATTGATTGTCTTTGAAGATGCTGATCTTGATCAAGCCGTCAAGTGGGCTCACGTTGGCATGATGTATAACCAGGGCCAAATTTGCACAGCCACCAGTCGCATCTTTGTTCATGAAAATATTTATGACACCTTTATTGAACAATATAAGAAGATAGTGGAGTCTGCTCGCGTGGGAGATCCTTTCAAGGATACAACATTCCAAGGCCCCCAGGTAACAAAGGCTCAGTTCGACCGTGTGCTCTCTTACATCGAGTCTGGAAATCAGGACGGCGCAACGTTGCTGACCGGCGGGTTCGCGTACAAGAACGTCGACGGTTCAAAGGGGCTGTATATCGCGCCAACAGTCTTCACCAATGTTGATGAACATATGAGAATTTTCCAGGAAGAAGTCTTTGGGCCGTTTGTGTGTATCAACAAATTCAGCTCGGAGGAAGAGGCAGTTCGCAAGGCCAACAATTCTACGTTTGGCCTTGGAGGAGCGATATTTACCAGCGATGTGACGCGAGCACATAAAGTAGCTAAGCGCCTTGAAACCGGAAGTAAGTCTGGAACAAACAGCTTCTTTTCTTGTGACGTTGACTAATTGTGATTAGCCATTTGGATCAACAGCAGCAATGACGCCGACATCCGGGTCCCTCTTGGAGGTTACAAGCAATCTGGACTGGGGCATGAGCTTGGAGAACTAGGAATTCTAGGATATACTGCAGTCAAGGCTGTTCATGTTAATCTAGGGTCAAAGCTATAAGTCGTGTATTTCGCAACATCCATCATATAAAAAACCACAGCAATCTAGAATTGATCAGTTTTTGTGTAGGATTCTAAATAGTCTGGTTTAATTTATCTATTGTGAATATTTATAGCTTGAGACTTTTGCGTCAATATGACCCATCTAAATTAAATCTACAAAGCTGTAAGAAATACAGAAGAAAAAGCGCACTGAGACTGTAGATAATATGAGTCAATAACTACCTTATCTCATGTTCAACTACGGACTTCTCAGAATCATCGGATGATCTAAAATATTGATAAAGATAGACATCTACCTCATTTGCCCCTTGACATTCCGCCCTCATGATAGCTTTTGGTTCAGAAATGATCCGGTACCGAAACCTCAGCACCTTGACTTGAGGAGCCCATGATATTCTCTCACTGTATTATGACTTAGAATAGCTGTCAGCTAGTGTATCACAATGAAAAGGGTGGTTCAATGGATAATAAAACTCACTCTGGTGGCTCACGAATGATCCGTCAGGATTAAGAGCAGGTCCATTGAAACCATTTCGCTTTCCACCCCACCAAAGAGCCGCACAGAAAAGAAGCATGGCCGTAACCACCACACTTACGTAGCTCATTGTAGCAGCAGTAGTAGGTATGAACAACGGGAAGCAGAACAAAACCATGAACAAGACGACCCATAATCCCGTGAAGGCATTGCAAAAAGGCCCCAAGTAGTTGCCAAGGCTCAGGTATCGGCGCGGGAGCAGCTTTGTACGATCTCCAAAAAGTAGCATGACTTGAGGGATAGCGTAGCTCATATTGAGACTCAAAATTGATGTCGAGATGAAGACGTTGAAGGCCACAGAAGATCCAATATACACTAACCCATAAAGGATGCAGAAAGTTGAAGCAGCAATGTTCGCGTTCATTGGTACTTTGAGTCTGGGGTGAATCTTGACAAAGAACCTAGAAAAAGGAATGCCTTGATCGCGTGAAAACGCCCAAATGAGATTCCCCGTAGTTACGATGAGGCCGAATACTGTTCCCGTGTAGATGAGGATGAGCCAAGCAGAGAACGTGATTGCCAGTGATGTCTTCTGTGTTGCTTGAAGATATAGCTCATACATAGGCAGTGAAGATGTAGAAATTCGGTCGAAGTCTTGAGAGCTAAAAAGCATTGAAAAGGAGAATAATATAGTTGAAGCGATGCCCAACCCGACAGTCGCAAGCATGGCAATCGGAACATTCTTGCCTGGGTTGGGAACCTCCTCGGACACATGGGTAGCGGTATCCACGCAAGTATATCTGCGATTAATGAATCAATAGACTATTCCTGACTTCACGTAGGAAAATATTTTACTTACAGCCACATGCATTGGCCGATGGACAGAATAAAAGAGAACCCATCACTCCATCCTGACTGATTGGTCCACTTTGTGAAGACCATGGATGCAGGTTGCTTCGTAGGACTAATCGCAAGAAGAGTAATCGAGATGACTCCCAATGCAAGTACAGAGAACCAGAACATTGCCGTCTGGAGTTTGGGCAATGCTTTGGGGAACAAGGAAACAGTTGCAGTTGCGAACACCAGTAATCCTGTGTAAACAAGCCAAGTCTGCCATCTCTCTGGCTCAAAATCGCCCATCTGGGTGGTGACTAACTGAAATAGAGTCTGCACCACAAACAGAGATGCTGATGATATAGTAAACAGATAGGCAAAGATGCTCAGCCAGCCAGTTGTAAATGCAATCGGTCGTCGAAGTCGGGGAGGTGATACCATAAAGGCATAACTAACGCTGCGTGAGTACATATTCATAGAATTTTGCGGTATTTCACTTACTGGTACTGGCCTCCAGTGGAAGGGAAAGCGGATGCGAGCTCTGCGAGTCCGCAAGTGATGATAAAACATGGTATGGCAGCGACGAGTGGTGCCCACGCCGCAGTAGCCAGTCCCCCCATATATATAACAGTGGTAAAGACGCCGACATATCCAATCCAAGAGTTGAGAATTGCAAAGGCAAACGTCAACATGGAAAATGCGGAGAATCTTTGTGGTAATTCTGCAACATGGCCTCCGATGGTGATTTGAGCCTCGCCAACCACATCGCCGTCTGAGATGGATGCCGCTCGACTAGCAGGATGCTTTGTGGAGGATTTCCTGGAGTTGACAAGATGCATGGTATTATCAGTCATCTTGGAAAATATCTGAGGTGAGATCAAATGGCTAAAGGGCAGGGAATCAACGTGATAGTTGTAGACTGTGAGGTGGCAATGTATAGGAACGTTGTGTGGTATGGTGGCGCTGGACGAGTTTATGTTTGTTTTCATTCTTCTCCCAGTGACGTTTATCAGGCTCTGTCAATAAGCCGTCCAACAGGTTTCTTTCTGCTGGTAACTCCTCTTGACGGTCCCCGAGCTTCCGGTATGTTGTGATAACGAGGGAAAACCTATATGCAGCTGGACGATTACCCCAGCTTTCTCACACCCTCCCACAGATACGCATCGTGAACTAGCCCCAGAAAGGACTTAGACTGCTGAGGGGTTGGACGTTCTCTTATCATGTAACCAAGCTAATCTAGCACGGTTTGAAGCTAGTGAAGTCAACTGATATCGCAAATTTTTGAAAGCTTTCCTGATTGAGAAAATAGGCGTCAGTCTAGATGAGTAAAGTCACTTGTTATCAGGGTACAATCAGAAAACTGGTCAAGGAAATGTATTAATCTTCAGTTATACGACCCTACATAGCACTTCGGTAAAACTAATAGGGAAATGCTTTACCTATCACCAAACAACAACCCTCTTTCTAATCAATACTGGACTGCGAATGTGAGTATTTTTCTAACGAGAAACTTCCAAGCACATTCAAGACTGGCGGCAATTAGAGTGCAAGAGCTATGACAGTCGAGGCCAGTTTCCCCGCAGTTGAACGTCAAAACAGATTACAACCCGGGCAATCTCGTCGTCCTTGTATCATTGTTTCGCCCTGAAATCAAGCATGAAACAGAGCTGCACACCTCACGCTGTTGCAGCCCAGTAAACTGGGGGCTTGGACCGGATAGCACAGCCGCCCTGAATACATCCCGTTATCCAATCTCATATCATTTTTTGATCCGTGCCCAGCATCTGTAGGGGGCAACGTCCTATCTTCAATGCCGACTAACCGCCCAAAAAGCTTACTTAAGTGTTGGTTTACTCTTACATCGAATAATGAAGAATACATAACAGACCAAAACAAGTCAATATCCTGTCGGAAGAAGGTGTCATGATAAGCGAGGGGTTGGCGGCGGGTCGCCACCAAAACAGGAAATTTTTCGGTTTGGGTGGACTTCGCCAACCGGCCTTCGAGCCGAGGGCTATTCTGGGGCTCAAACATAATTTCTGTTTTGGGGTTCTGTCTAGCTTCGTTTGTAACTAGCCATGGCATCTCATCCTTCCCTGGTCCGTGTTCCCTTGTCGAGGGCTGGCTACAATATTGGGGCATCGGCTGTCATTCTCCCCATAGTTCGAGTCACTCTCCTCCGTAGGTAGACTACTTAGCCTCATATCATACTCAACCTCCGCTGTTCTCCTCTACATATTATCACAAATTACGCCGAACTCCCTCTTAGACAAGACATACAAACATACAAGTGCAATAACAAAAATGGCGACCGTCAACGTGCTTCAGCCCGAGGCCAGTAACTCCTTCCACTACATTATTGTTGGAGGAGGAACTGCTGGCTGTGTTATTGCTAGTCGGCTGTCAGAGTACCTTCCAAATAGTCGCATTCTTCTGATCGAGGGTGGTGACACTGACCAACATGATGAACGCATCTCCAACCTCCGCCGATGCCTTGAGCTCATCGGTGGTGAGCTTGACTACGATTATGGTGTTACTGAACAAATGAGAGGTACGTTTTTCACAACGGCTTGACTTTTAGAACATTTCACTCTCATGTTGCTTCTTGTAAACGAATGAATGAAAAGCCAGTATTAACTCTTGACAAGGAAACAGCTTCATCCGCCACTCCCGCGCCAAGATTCTCGGTGGCTGCTCCAGTCACAATGGCGGAATCTCCGTCGAGACATTCGAGTACGACTGCCGTCGATTTGAAACTCTCGGCTGTAAAGGCTGGTCTTATGCGACTTTCAAGCGTCTTCTAGGCAAGCTTCTCCTAAAGAGACAACCATGCCATGAGATCCATCACAATGCCCTTGTCAATGATTGGATCAAGGCCGCATCTACCTCTCTGGGTATCCCAGCTGTCGAAGATTTCAACAAAGCTCTTGACGCCCAAAAGAATATGTCTACCGGGGTCGGGTATGTTCCGATCGCATATGAGCATGAGAGTGGTAAGCGGAATAGTGCCAGCACAGCCTATATTCACCCTATCCTGCAAGGCGAGTGGAAGCGGCCCAATCTTACGATACTTCTCAATACCTGGGTATCCAAAATCAATGTGTCTGGCAATACCGTCAATGGAGTCAATGTTACCTTTCAAAATGGTAACAAGATGTCCCTTCAGGCCAGAAAGGAGACGATCCTTTGTGCTGGAGCTATTGATACCCCTCGCCTCATGCTGCTCTCCGGCCTCGGTCCTCGCGAGCATCTGAATGCTGTCGGTATCCCTGTCACCAAAGACCTTCCTGGTGTTGGCGAAAATCTCCAGGACCACATTGAGACCATGATCACCTGGGAACTCAAGCGCCCGGCACCTGAGGAGACAGCCATGTACTCGGACGCTGTTCTTTTCCTCCGAAGAGAGGTTGAAAATGCGCGCGGCCTTGACAAGAGAGTTGCTGATCTGATGTTCCACATTTTCACTTGCAACTATGATGCCAACCCAGATCGCCGAAGCAACGAGGCCCCGCCTACAAACGTTTTCTCGATGACTCCCAATGTTCCACGACCAATGTCCAGGGGCCGGCTGTACCTTACCAGCTCAGACCCTAATGTTCAGCCCGCTCTTGATTTCCGTTACTTCACTGATCCTGAGGGATACGACGAGGCCACTCTTGTCGCCGGTATCAAGATTGCCAGAAAGGTCGCCCAGCAAGCCCCATTCAAAGACTGGATCCAGCGTGAGATCGCTCCTGGACCCAGCGTCATTACCGACAAAGATTTATCCGCCTACGGCAGACAGGCCAGCTGCACAATTTACCACCCAACTTGCACCACTAAGATGGGCGATGTAGAGCGTGATCCTTTTGCCGTTGTCGACCCACAACTCAAGATCCGGGGTCTGCGCAAGGTCAGAATTGCTGACGCCGGTGTCCTCCCCGTGATCACCACCGCCAACCCCATGTTGACTGTTCTCGCCATTGGTGAACGGGCTGCCGAGATGATTGCCGAGGAGGCTGGTTACAAGAAGAGCGAGTGGACAGACTCCGACAGTTTGGAGAACGCCGTCCGTGCTGCTGGTCGTATCCGGACAGTTGCCAATCTCCAAGTGCAGTCGAGCAAGCTGTAGAGGTCTGGAACAGCAGCAGAGTAGGTGGAAACATGAATAAGTCAATTTGCGGCCTTCATATAGAGAGTATCTACATACGGATTTGGAATATCCGCAACATTGTTCATGATCAGTATGTCGGGACTCGGGGCTACTGTCAGGTAGGAACAGGGGATGAAGAAAGGGGCAAGTTGAAGTAGTATTATATACTTCAGAAGTCATTGGTTGTAGCAGGAGGAGGGTGACAATCGATTTATGAGGGGTAAAAAAAAGACACCAATTACATTTGTTGTTTCGTCTTATGTGTTATTTCCTTTTTTTAGACAAGTGTAAGTTTCCAATTCTTCGAAAGCATCAGCTCAACATAGGTGATATGCACTCCAGCATCATGCAACTCCCATAATTCTTCGAGAAGAGAAGTAGCAAGCAGAATCGTTCGGACCCGACTGGTTGAATAAATAGCTTTAAGGCGCGTGACTACTTGCTGTCGGAGGTCTGAGTCGGCTGACTTCAATCCGGAAGCTGCCACGGTCAGAGGGATAGCCTGAATGTTGAAGCAGTGCTGAGTAACAGGCGTATCCAGCAATTGGCTGACAGCAGATAGGGCGTGTGAATGAATCTGACCCTCGATGTGATCCTGGTGCTCAAGAAGTGGGAGTGGTGAGAATGATCGGACTTGGTAGAGCAGTATCAAAGCTTGACTCCTGAAAGAGTTACATAGAGACCTAACGTGAGTATTGACCTCTGTGGGTTCCCACACCAGTAAGGCGTCTTCTGTATTCATCTCAAAGAAAAGATCTCTCTTCCCATCGCTCATTACCCGACGAACGTATCGGCCTACCAAGCCCAGTAAATAGAAGATCTTGGCAGAGCGCCCCGCGATGGGATGGCAATAATCTTGCATGCTCTCCACGATTGCGCTCATGTCATCAGTATCCAATGCAGGGAGATCCAATGGTTCACCAAGAAGCGCGATGGCCATGTCCCAAAACAAGTAATATCCGGTGATGACCCTGACTGTGGGATCTGTCCAATTCGCCGGGTCTGATAAAATAATGTCGAGGGTAGCACGAGCGCCGAGAAAATGCTCCAGACCGTAGTCCTGGACACTCTCGTCGATCCAAGGGGACGAGATGCCGAGGATGAATATTGTAAAAAACGACGCGAGGAGCGATACCTTTTTCGACCCGAGCTCGGCCTGAACCAGTTGAAGGGCTTGGTCACGTTCTTTGAGGCAGTCCACCCGGCTATCTCTGTCGAAAAATCGCCGGTGGGCAGCGCTGATGCTCTGGATGGCATGAAGCAAAGACTCAGAAGCCGTGATATGCTCCATCATTGGGTAAGACAGCGGGTTAACTTGCGGGTCGATGACCATGATGTGGCAGGCGGTGTCAAACCACCACTGCAGGAGGCTGCTATTAGGCTTCGAGGTCTGAGCCACCTTGTCGGTTGATGCGTGAGCAAATATCCAGGGCAGTTCCAGCTGCCAGACACTCGGGGGCGAGTGGGGGTCGGAGAAACAGACCAACCCTCGTTTCTGGCACCGTGAGCACACCGGGCGCGTCTCATCGCATTTGACCTTGCGGCGTCGACATTCGCGACATCCATGGCGGCTCCTGCAAATCTTGGTGGTTTTCTCGCTCGCGGGTTCGCGGGTACTGCCGGAGACCTGCAGACCACTGGGGATGGTCTTGGTGGGCCGGAAGCGAATGTTTTGAATAGTGAGCCGAGGCATTGCAAAGTGCCGGGCGGCGGAGGGTGAATTCGTCGTCGATGCTTCTCTCAAGATCGGTAAGGATTGCCCTAGTGCTCTGCAGCTGAAAGTGGCGGAAGGGGTTGGCACTTGAAAGTCGTCAAGATTGGTGAATAGCGGGGGAATATTCTGTACAGTGGCCATGGCACACGACAGGAGTCGCTCCCTAAAGAGGCTCGTTTTCCCCGCAGATAGCTAACTCGACGAGGGTAACTCTTATCAGGCATCCGGAACTAACTGGGTCTTTAACGCCTTGCCTGGGTTGGCTAGACAAGGCCTGGGGTTGACCGGGTTTGTCCCCGCATCACCCTCGAGTCGATAAGCGAAGTAGATGAGTGCCCAGATTTGATCAATACAGCCACGCAAGGGAATGGGCAATCCAGGTAAATATCCTACGTGTCTACCTCGGCGGTATTAAACCCCCACATCACTTAGAGGCTTCGCAAAAGGAAAGCCCTCTTCAATAGCTTGTACACGATCTCGGGGCACATTTACCGAGATACCAGAGTTTCTGATCTTGACAGATAAACAGTACGGTCAGTACCATAAGATTTACTCGAGGTACTGTAGCCCTTATCTGTAGCAATGAGAATCCGCATGCAACTGGCTCACAAGCAACTGACTCACATGCCATCACTGCTGATAACTAACAAGGCAAGGAGGAGGCAAAATTGCCTGATTAGGTCTGGAAGCGAGCCTAACAAAGACCCTAAATAGAAGCCAATGAGAGCACTCTGACTGACATAGGGGACCCACCCCGACCCAGGCGTGGCCTCCACCCTAGACCTGCAATTTGCTCCCAGTTTACCAGTATGTTTGGTCACCTGTACTAACACACCAGCTTATATATGTGTCCCGGCCCTATGTCCACATTTCCAAGTAAAAGGCCAACTTGATCGTGGGTGGGAAGAGGCGAACCAGAATGGGAAATTAAAATACTATCACCACATAGAAGAACAACAGGCCACATCTCACACCTTCAGACTAAATTAATCTCTTTGGCCAAGAGCTTTTTCCCTTGTTGGTACTGGGCATTCCAATTTCTTCTGATGTTCCCTTATCCACCTGGTCCAAGCATCAGCATCGATTGGACGCGGTGATTCTGGAACCGTTGGTAATCGGTCTGTGAGAAATGTCATTAGTACATGTAGCTGCAGAACACCCTTGGAGTGAGCCTAGTATCTCCAGGAACATGTCCGTGCGCTGATGAGACACCCCGCGATCTGGATGGTGATAGTCTAACTTGGCTGATGCACTTTGCTGCATCGTTGACCCGCACGGAGCCAAAACGGGCCTGCAACATAACAACTAATTTCGGGACGGATCTCTAGCTATCTCTGCTAGATATCGCCGTTGTATGTTGTTTACTAGGAAGCCTTATATCTCGAAGCTCGGCCTAGCAACCTCCCTTCGCAGAACCCAGTCACGAGCATTGAGTGATTCCAAATCCACGGAATACGCAGCGCACTATTTTCGAGTCTGTATCTGCAGCGGTCTACCCTCTCGCCGATAGCTCAGTTATAGATCCTGACATAGTTCCATTGACTGATGGTATATGCTGGATTTAAGGGGCTCGCTGGATCCAACAGTTGAACATCGCCTCCCAGATATGCCAGGGGGGACGAGGCCTGGCGCATATCTGCCGCTTTTATTAGCAACTTTCGAAGTGTGTTATACTCCACTGCAATTCTGGCGTCGGGTCCTTGGCCCTCCTGGGTTTGGCGAAGAGCATTTCTGTGCCTTATCACCGTTGCGCACCAACCTCTCTCGGAATGGTCACTTCACAAAACTATCGGCTAGCTGGAGCCAGCCTCTCTTCAACCGGATACATGTATTCTTCCAGTCCCGCGTTGAAACCTTAAAAAAGAGCGAAAACCTATCTGCAAAAAAGCGTCGAATTCCTTTTACCCATGCTTCGGATCTTTTAAAGTTTGTATTATTCTGTCGTCATTTGAGGGAAACATGCCTACGAAGGAGCACGAGGAAATGGGCGCAAAGCTCTCAAAGGCTCCAAGTGCGGAGAAGGGGACGGTCCAAGACGTTGATGCGTCTTATTTGGCAAGTCAGTGTGCCCAACCGCCGGATATCAATATATATATGGGAGGCTTTGTGATCAGTATGCGGACTCGCAAGCTGACAGAATTACCATGCAGACACCGGATATGCTCCTCAGATGAAACGAGACTTCACCTGGTTTCAACTTTTCAGCTGTGCCTTTACTGTCACTAACTCTTGGCTCGGCGTCACTGGTGGTTTCTCAACAGGAATATCAATCGGCGGCTCCGCAACGCTCATTTACGGTTTAATTATTGTTGCAGTATTCAACGTCGCAATTGTGATAACCTTGGGCGAACTTATGAGCTCCATGCCTAACGCTGGTGGTCAATATTACTGGGCTATGAAACTTGCTCCTCGTAAACTTGCCAATGCCTCGGCATACATTTGCGGCATCTGTAATCTCCTAGGTGGATTGACCGGAATGTCGAGCGGTGCCATCGCATCGGCATATATGATCTTAGGGTGCATCAAGCTGGTTCACCCGGAATTGTGAGATGAAAACCTCCGAGTAAACATCTTCCTGGCCCCGACTAACAATCTAACTAGCACAATTTACGCGTGGCATGCAGTCCTCATTGCCATTGTATTTATTATGATTACGTCGGTCTTGAACCTCAGCGAATCATTGGTCCGCAAATCTGTTCTCATCGGTCTGTGGTGGTGTGTAGCATCGTGTTACATAATTACTATCGTACCTGTTTCTGTCGCCGAGGAGCACGCGAGCCCTTCTTTCATTTTTGCCAGCACGGAGAATACAAGTGGGTGGTCCTCCACGGGAATGGCCTTCTTAGTTGGCATGATCAATGCCAATTATGCTTTTGGGCTCATCGATGCTGGTGTCCATCTTGCTGAAGAAATCCCACAGCCCGAGCGAAACATCCCAAAGGCATTACTAGCAGCTGTAGGGATTGGCTTCGTTACAGCATGGCCAGTCGCGGTTACATTACTAGACTGCATCACTGATTTTGATGCAATAGCAACTACCGACACTGGAGTTCCCCTTCTGCACCTACTTTACTTTGCGCTCCGAAGAAACCGAGCTGGCGCTATCATTCTTCAGCTCCTTTCCGTCGTTTCATACTTTTGGTGTTTGATGGCAGTAGGGACCTACCAATCCCGAATATGCTGGGCCTTTGCTCGTGATAACGGATTGCCATTTTCTAAGCTCTGGTCACAAGTATCTGAAAAAACATTCAGTTCCGATTAATGCTCATCTTCTTTGTATTGCTCTGTCATGCGTTCTTTGTTTTCTTCCGCTGGCCTCTACCACAGCTTTCAACAGGTACGTTGATATACCGCCTCTGGATATACTACTCATTAATTTTCTGCTTGATATAGTTTGGTCACGGGAGTTCTCGTTTTTCCTTACATATCGATTCTCATCCCCGCCACCTTTTCCCTACTGCCTATGAACAAGAATATCCCCAAAGGGTCATTTTCACTCGGACGATGGGGTACAGTGGCTCGAGTTGTTACAGTTATTTTCTGTCTCTTTGCCACAATCATTTACGCCTTCCCATACACAATGCTAGTTGATGCAGGGAGTAAGTGAAATATCCATTCTTCAGCATCAAGTATCGAATCGAATGCTTACAATTTTCTTAGACATAAATTATTTCTCGGCTATTTTGGGGGTTGTAATAATCTACGCCATAATTGACTGGGTTGTTCGGGCCAGAGAGAGTTTCAACCAAAACATCCCTAGGTAGAGATGGCCAGTGTTAGCCGAGTCATAAATACTGTTAATTGTGTTTCGGAAGAAGGACATTTTACGCTATTAAAAAGCCAAGGATATCATGTCAATTATTTATACCAGCTGGGTCGAATTATGGGTCGGTTTCAAACGGCCAAGAGGTGAAGCTCAATAAGCGCCCATCTGTTTGATGTGATTGGTTCTGGTCATGGAAAGCCCAGGCAATTTGGGCATACTCGTAGGCTCTTTCAGCTGCGGCTGACTCCTCAACCGCCGAGCCATTTCAGATGAGATTTGTGCGATCACAAAGTCTCGTACTGAAAGAGCGCATCTAACTATCTAGATCTAATAATAAGCGTCGCATGTCATTGCTGTTGTTCTAGTCAGAAGCGTCCACCAGAACTTACCAACTACACTCATCGTCCCATGTCACCAGTTGCTCCGCCAGCCCAGGCGGTCATCCGCCGCAGCGCAGCATCACCCGAGGCGGGGAATGAGGAGACGGGTTTGACTCAGCGCTTGAACCAACAAAGGGCGCTCGACTTTCAGCAGTGGTTGTTGCAGGCACTTAATTCTCTGCCCCTTACGATATCTCAGCCTACTAACCCCAGCTTATTGCCTCAATTCCGCTCTGAATGGAACCTGCCACCACCTAGAAGCGGTCCCCGCATCATCGAATTGCCAGATATTCCTCCTACTCCTATTTCTCCACTGAGAGCTACGGCATCAAGGCTTGCACGGCGACACTCGGCCGACTCTTCCTCCACGGGGAGCTTATTACCTTTGCCACCTCGAGGCAAGAGTCAAGATGAACTAGAGCGAGACGCATATGATCACTTCATTGCCGATGTCAAGCGGCTCCTAGACCCCTTGATAAGTGAGGAAGAGGGGTTGTCGAAAAGAAACTCGACAATTTACAATGAAGGATCTGTTTTCCTATGCTGGGGTAGCGCCACGAATTGCCGAGTCCTCAGCGTCAAGCACTTTCAACGAGATATGGACCACGAGCTGTTCTGAAAGAGGCTTCAACAGGCTTGGTACCAGATACGTGGCGAATGGCGACGCAAGATTCCTTGGTACGGCATCCGCGACGTCAAAATGGTCGACATCCGGCTTGCAGGGCCGGTACGTGGTTGTCCGGACCAGTTCCATGGCGTTTTCCAGTCGATCGACAGGGAAGTTCAAAGGGAAAAGGACGAATTGAGAGAGAAAATCAAAAAGTTTGAAGCCATCGAGGCCGAGGCTGCCAGAGAACGCTGGAGGAGGAGCTGTGATGAGGACGACTATCACGACTACGACTACGATTATGACGACTGGGACTGGGACAAGTGTGTCTATGACGCGAAGCTTGGCCGGACTCTCCATGCTGACGAATGCATCGCTATTCTGTCAGAGTTCCAAGAGGATTGCGATCATGGGGAGCATCCCGAGTCAGAGAACAGGCTCAATGGGCTCATGATGGAGTCTCTTCGCACATCGCTGTTTCAGAATCCACAAATGGCTGTCTTCCATAAGCTTTCAAACTCGGATCTTGTACATTATAAGAGGTGCGTTTACTAGATGTCTTCTTCGCTCGCTTTCTAGTCGAAAACAACTTGGGGCCGACCCAGAATTCTAACTCGAGCTTCTCAACACAGCACGGTCCGCAGTCAGGTTGGGGGCAGTCCTTACCGAGGGCTAGGTCAGTTGGTATTCCGCGGACTCTTAATAGAGGACGGGTGGGCGTTTGACGGAGGCATAGGGGTTCTGTGCATGCCTCTGGCGGGGGTGGCAGCATTCTTACTAGTGTTCCTTGCATGGCTCGCGTATAGGGATTGGGCCATAGCATGGAACGTCGGCTCGTGTATGGTACCGTTGCTGATAGGACTAGCGAGCGCGCTGCCACAAGCCAAGGCTCCACGAGCATAGCGGGGGAAGACTTGGGGAGAGATTACCAGCAAAGTGAAGTAGTGCCAAGATACCATCTGTAGAACGATAGTGTCGATCAACACACACTTTCCTGGAATCATCGTGATCAGATAGTTACGCTCAACAGTTCAAACACTCCTGATAGCTAGTGATGGTCTTGAGCTTGAATGGCCAAAGTTTCTGCAGAAAGAGGACTACTATAGACACTATTCAGTACTCTCGCGCTATCGACCACAACGCATCATTGATTTCCCCCTCCAAATGAAGTGATTCTGGTGTCCAGCCGACCATTTTTGTTTGAATGTGGAACTCTCCTTGTAGTGATGTTTTGTTGGTGTCAGGCCTGTAGTTACATATCCTTGATTCCACCCGGGTAATTTCCATCGATCGACGGTATCACGGGCAAGGTGAATTGAAACACTTGGCATATCAGATCGATATGAGCGTGGTGTTGATCATCCCAAGCTGACTGTGGGTTGTTGGTGCTCGCTGGCATCCGCCGTCTCCGTAGGACGTTTCGGATGACGGCACTCCGTGTTCAAGTTGGGACGTTCCGGATTCTGAGAGTTGTCATGAGCTTCACCAAATACGACTTGTCAGAACATAGCAGTGTAACATACGGTAAGACGGCACTCGCGATAGTACGGAAAGATGTGTCCCGGCTTGTCGATGCAGTTGTTGATTAAATGCGAACCCATGGGATCAGCACTGCCAAGCCGGCAAGCCTGGCCTTGAGCAATATCACAGGGCCAGGGCGCACATGCCGCCTCTTTCAAAAGCCTCACAGGCCGGGAGACCCTGGGCTGAACGGTAACAACGTTTCATCAGTTCGGGCCTTGGTTCCGAGTCGGACGCAAGCGGTCCGGCTTGTAATTTCAACTCCGTGCTTACCATTGGGCACACACCGCAAATCCCACCGCTGATCGACCGGGTGCATATTAGCCGCGAGACTTGACTGCGACCTCAATATGACAGAGCCAGTCATGGTGCACCTTTTGAAACTCGTGACCCAAGCAGCCATTTGGGGCTTTTCATAGATTCCAAATGAACGCGCAAATTCCACTTACAGTATCAAATCGACAAGGAACGCCAGAGCACAGCGTTGTTGTTGCCGGACTATAAAGTGATTAGCTTTCCATCGGTACCAGCACCCAGTCTTTTCTTGTTTTAGCAACTCAAATAATTTCGTGTCCATATATTACCCAAATTATCTTACTAGGATCGTCATGATGTTGCTGTCTTCCGCTCTTGCTGCTCTGGGCCTCCTCGCCACCCAAGTGACTGCTCACGGTGCTGTTACTAGTTATGTCATTGCTGGTACAACTTATAAGGGGTGAGCGGCCTCAAGCCTGATTTCTTAGTCGAGAATAAGGGTTTCATACCTCGCCTCATGCCCATTGACTAACGAAATATCGTGGCTCAGCTACAACGGCTTTGCTCCTAGCTCTGAACCTGTGATTCAACGCCAGTGGCCCGACTACAACCCAACCTTATCTGCGACTGACTCCAAAATCCGCTGCAACGGTGGCACGTCTGCCCAGCTTTCGGCACCCGTCAATCCTGGAGATAGCGTACAGGCTATTTGGGCCCAGTGGACGCACTCTCAAGGACCCGTCATGGTCTGGATGTACAAGTGCGCAGGGGACTTTTCGTCTTGCGACGGCAGCGGCGCCGGCTGGTTCAAGATTGACGAGTCTGGCTTCTCGGGCGATGGAAAGACCGTCTTTTTGGACACGGAGACGCCTAGCGGCTGGGGCATCGCCAAACTCGTGGGAGGCAACAAGGGCTGGACGAGCACCATCCCGAACCTTACACCCGGGAACTATCTCATCCGCCATGAGTTGATCGCTCTGCACCAGGCAAACAATCCACAATGGTATGCTGAGTGTGCCCAGCTCGTCGTTGGAGGTTCCGGCACGGGATCGCCCAGTTCTGCGCAAAAGGCATCGATCCCCGGATACGCGCAGCAGAGCGACCCTAACATCAGCGTAAGTCTATGCAATAACCAATGGCCAATAACCTTTCTGGCTGGATAGGATCGCTAATTACCCCGATTGTTAGTTCAATATCAACGACCACACTCTCCCTCAGACATACACCATCCCCGGCCCCGCGGTCTTCAAGGGTTAACTTTTGGGTGATTAGCATATAAGCTGAAATACGCCACGGCTATATCAACGGAAGTTTGATGTATCGTAGGAAGTTCAATAAGTAATGTATCATTGCGATATATTATAGATTGAATTAGATATACTATATGGTCTTGCATATATGAGACTGAAGTCTTTTAAGTTTCTCGTGCTCAAACATGATGGGAGGATAATATGTACTACTCAAGTCACATATTTTCGCCGATAATTCTTCAAATCATTAAGATCACTGGAATTATAGTCCGGATATTTGTAATTCCAAGAGTAGCTATAGTTAATTAATGGTCAGTTCTTGATAAGATGTCATTTGAGACACGACCAGCTCCCTGGAGGAGAAATACGACGGACCTATTTTTAGGCAATGGGATATTACTCATGCGAAATGCAAGCTGCAGGGGTTAGTTACCCGTCGTGCCCGAAGCCAACAGGCCATTCCCGACTTGCAGATAAGGCTCCTCTTTTCACAATCCTCAGGTCTCAGAGCGGTGATCCTTTCGGTCTTGGCACTGCAACCTCACTACAGTGAATCGCGCATCATCAAAAACATCGTAATAATTGACATTGGCTAATCAGCTTTTGTAGGTCTTTAGGCAGTTAAAAATGTAGATTGTCAAATGCTCTCAAGGAACGTCTTTAGGATTCGCATCGCCGGCCACCAAATTCTGCTGACTGCTGTTCCTAGGCGGATTTTGCGTCCTGATACCCTCAGTCTGCTCAACGCGCAAACCCCCTCGTTCCTTTCCCCCCTCGAGATCGGCGTGTGGTTCTCGGAAAGTAGTTCGGCGATTGGTGAGGAAAATCCATGATGATTGATCTGACCGTTGATTGGAAGACTTTTTGGCCGATCCATCCGAGGATCCCGACAAGAAGTCTAAGCGTGGGACAAACTGAGCGAATAATGGCTTGAGCGTAGCGACTGAGCTGCAAATAATGGCGAGGTTGACTTCGAGGCTGGACCAAGTGCTAATCGGGACGGCCAGTTCTGTATCCTGTGTCAGTATGGATTTTGCAAACAGTGGTTATGCTAATGATGAAGGAGGCCTCTTACCTGGAGCATTCTCCCTAGGCCCTTCAAAGAAGTGCACAAGGGCATAAAATCGAACGATTGATACAACAGAAGCACTGAACATCGTTAGCATTGACTTAAATCCTTAGCTAAAATGGTACAAGGGACTAAGTACAGTAAACCACAAGTTAAAGTCATGATGAGAATCACTCGAACTCTAAGTGGCATCTTGAGCTTCAAGAGTATCGGAATTGGAAATATGAGGATGGCGAAATCATTAATGGCGTTACAGGTTGCGAGCACACTAGATGGGATTGTCAGCTCATTAATCCGGTCACTTCACATCAGGGCCTGAATCCAGGAAATATCGACTCACTAATGAAGTTCGCCGCCTTGCATGCAATGCCCATCGAGGGATGGATTCCAGAACTTCTGGACAGGAACACAACTGAATATGGGTGCGATGCAATTCACCAGACCGTAAATGCAAAGCCAACCAATGAGCCATTTCAGAATCTTCCTCGGCTTCTGTGTTACGAAAACTCGCCAATACAGCGCGAGAATCGACATCTTGATTACCCATTGATTCCAGGTGTAAATCAAGGTGGTGAAGAATTCCGACTTTACGAAATACAGGTAATCTTCCTGCCGGACTCTGTATCCCAGTCCCAGCTCCATCTCTGAAGAGAGAATGTTAGCTATGGTATGTGATAGAGGGGAAAGATACCAAGGCTATACCATGAACGACAGTCCCAATATAAGCGATTGACAGAGCCTTCGATGAGTATTAGCATATGCGCAGACCACTAGACGAACTCCAAAGAGAAGACAATACCATTGATGCCACCATCAGGTAATCATCGATGCCGAATATCCGCGTGATGAAGAGTCGGGTGTAGACTCTCATCAGCACCACAGCGAATGCTAGGCATGTGAAGAAGAAAATGGCCACGAACCAGGGCCGGTTCTCGGGAATGACTGGCACTCCAGCAAAGTACCACATCCTGATGGTGTAGTTGAGAGATCTTGAAGCCAGGTCCGGGGGTCCTCGTGACTCTTATTCGCGCTAAAAGCTCGATGCCGGGAAGAGTGGAAGAGAGAAGAAATATCCATTGGCCATGTGCTCATGTTGGATATTTCACTAGGATTTGGGAGTTGAGGGGGGCGGGGCGGCATCTGAGTCGTAGGATCATGCATGAAATGTGGCTGCCAAAACAAGGTGAGTTCGATATCTCCACCACACCCGTCTTTCGAGGCTGAGGTTGCATCAGCTGCTGCGTTGCATTTGGCTGATTGGCCAGGAATCTCCCTCATTTCCCAGCTGGCGAGACACTTCTACGCAATGCAAATCCTGCTAACTTTGCACCTCTTTTTCTATTTTTAACATGGGCAGCGCTGGTCTGCACCCAATTGGAAACCGCTATTGTCTTGTTCCACCACGGAACAGAAGCTAGATTTGCAGATCTCGGGCGATGGAGACTATTTGCACCAAGCCTTGGAATAAATGCCTCCTTCTGCTTCGAGCAAGCTGAGCATGCTGCAAGGCGTATGTCAGCAGTCTGGATCAGGTAGCGATTGTCTCAAATGGCGGGATCTGCCGTTGCAAAGCGTATAGGGAGGTGGACTCGGTGCGTCCGCGGCCCATTTCAGCGGTCCCGATTGCATGATAATAAGCCAAGTGGTGTCGTGGTAGTGCATTTAGGCGCAGACCAGCGGCTTATTCAAGAGTCTCGTCTGTGTTAGCCCCCAATGCTACAGCACCCCCATTTCACGTCATCAACAGTTGGGAATCCTTTTCGGGTGTAGTGTTTCGCCCCCAATTCCAGCATCAGGAGAGACAAGCAAGACAAGGTGGGGGAATTAATATGGCGAAGATAGGATGTACTGCCGTCGTTAACGGCCATTTCACAGAAAGATATATCTCTCAAGCACTGACTGTCTTAGGTCCTTGGTGTTTTCAGATCAAGCATCACTTTTCCCAAGATTAGCGCCAAAAAATTCCCAATACGAGCATCCTATAAGCTTTGATAGACTCCTGCCTGGCTCGTGATGTTTCAAGTAGGTAGCCTACGTCGATTGGATGGCGGACGGGAACAGGATCTGCTCCGGGTCTCATGCATCGGCATGCCCTTATCCCTAAATGAGCCAGGCTTCTAGAAGCTTCACAATTGATACGTTGGATTCCACTCTGGGTTTACGTAGCAAACATTAGCTATGACAAGGGGCATACCCACGTGCGCATGCCACAGGATGCAGGTGAGTACGCGCAAATATCTTAGAAGAAGGAGAATTAGGGAAGAATTATCAGGGAATCATCGCACAATAATCAATGCTCTGAATAGTCGTTGCAATTACACCGAAGTAGAAACATCATGGCTCTTAATGCTGTTGTATTCCTATCTTTTGAAAATGAGAACAAGACGCATGACAGAAGAAGGAGGACTTGAATAGAAGACAGGGGAAATGATGGATTGGTCGTCTTCGAAATATGCAGCTCGGAAGCATTAATAGCGTCCATAGTCTGATATCCATGGCTTTATTCTCAAGGATAGAGAGTGGCCATGGGTGTGTGGAGGAAGGCACATAGAACGAACGTCTCACCAAAAGTGGGAATCGCTTGCTCTTCGAGTGGCGAGAAAAGGTGGCTGGGAGTAGTGGATCTTGAGTTATTAGTAATGTGGATTATGGCGAGAACAAGTCACAACACGCTGGGCTTACCAATCTGATGCCAATATTGAGTAGGAAGCACATCAAAGCCAATAATGCCCAGCGTTGATATTAAACTACCGTGGAGTTAGGACATTTTAATATGCCCGAAAATGAAATAAATATTTATCCTCCGCTGACAAGCTAACTTCTTGACTTAAGTTTCCTGGGTATTATAGGAGAAACCATCATCTGTATTTCGAGTACGAGATCTTCGACACTCACGTAAGCTGATTGTTTAACTTTGTTCATGAGCGTAATAACTTACCTAGTACTGGATATTTACTAAACCTCTATCTCTAGTTTTCGTGCACCTTCCCCATTCCAATCATGATCCCATTGGGCATGCTCAAGTATGTTAACGCATACTTTGGAATCTTTCTTACTGGCGCTGGGATAAATGGCCTTCTTAATCCAACACACATGGGGCAGCTCTTTGGAGTGAAGGAGGTCAGCAATGAGATGGCTGTCTTCGTCCCCGCTTTTGGTGGTCGAACCTTAGCAGCTGGAGTTGCTCTGTGGTGGATGATTTTGGCCGGCCATCACAGGGCAATCGGCATATTCATGACGAGCTGGGCTATTGCAGGGATCGCAGACACATACTTATTGCTATCGTATAAAGGCGAGGTCGACTCAGTCTGGATACACATCATCAATACATGTATCCTCATTGCCGGTGGAATTTCGCAGCTACAGTTGTAAAAACCCCGCGCGGACATTTCAGCAATAGACTTATCTGAATCAACCAAACATTTTGAATTTAATAGGAGGAGGCATGTAGTACATGATGATATCATTGTAAAAGCTAAACACATGTTGTGAAACTACTGCTTAGATAAATTAAAAGCAGTAGCATTGCTAGAGGAGTGTGGGTGAGGACTTCCTTATCTACTGAACTTATTAAATATAATAAGATCGTCACAAATGACCTTTGGCTTCAAGTGCAAAGATAAAATTATTTGCATTTCAAGAAATGAACGAAGGAATACTCCAGGGATATCAATATCTGGCGGATAGTTTCATCATATATGTATGAAAATCATTGTATGCAGGGGAACATCTGCTAGTTAAGGCCTGGTTCCTCTGTCGTGGGATTAGCGAATGAATCTCAACAATGTGAAGTCGATTCTTTCTATGCTTGCCTGTTGCACATACTATAGAACTATAGCAGAATCACATGGGCCTACTAATGCAATGTCCATAGTTTGGTATTGATGGTGAACTTAGCTACTTTAACAGTAAGATATCAAGAAATAAACGGAGGACTATAGATTAAATCGTTATTGTAGTTCGGTACGCCGAGAAGCTACCTAAACCATGTGTCTTATATGATCTTAATGAGCTTGAGATAGCGAAACATGAATAAAGCGTCCGATAGAGTGAGAGATGCTGCTGTTGAACGCCACCGTCTGACTACTCGTTGAGCTTTTGCTTTAATCTATATGAACCACCTCTGCGAGTCTCAAGGCCTCTCCTTCCCTTGCTGCTACTACTACTATCAGGCGTATAACCAGGGAAGCTATTAGTAATAGTTACTAGGTAATCTTTACTATTATAACTACTATTACTATCTCCTCCTCTATAAGTCTTAAGGCTTCTTTTATTCTTATTATTACTACTACTACTACTAAATATATAGCTAAAAAAGCTATTACTAGTAATTCCTAAACTACTATTACTACTACTATAGCTACTACTACCTCCTCCTCCTTTATATATCTTAAGGCTCTATATACTTCTTCTACTTTTACTACTGCTACTGCTTCCAGAGGTATATCCAGGGAAGCTATCAGTAATAGTAGCTAGGTAACCTTTACTGCTATAACTACTACTACTACCTCCTCCTCTGTAAGTCTTAAGGCTTCTCCTTCTCTTACTGCTACTACTACTACCAGATATATAACCAGGGAAGCTATTAGTAACAGTTACTAGGTAATCTTTACTACTATAACTACTACTACTATCTCCTCCTCTATAAATCTTAAAGCTTCTTCTATTCTTACTATTACTACTACTACTAGATATATAGCTAGGGAAACTATTACTTATAGTTCCTAAACTACTATTATTACTACTATAGCTACTACTACCTCCTCCTCCTTTATATATCTTAAAGCTCTATATACTTCTTCTGCCCTTACTGCTACTACTACTGCTACTACTACCAGATGTATAGCCAGGGAAGCTATCGGTAACAGTGGCTAGGTGAGCTTTACCGCCACGGCCGCTACCACCACCGCCTCCCCGGCGAATCTCGAGGTCTCTCTCAACAAGTGCTCTGATGCTTTCGATATCTCATGCGTCTAGATCTTGAGCATCGTCAAACCTGACGTATAAGTCATGTTCTTCGTTTGGGTTGCAGGCGGCTTGGTGGGTGAGGCTGAGCAGGAGAGTTGCTCCAAGAAAGAGCTGCTTGAAGCTTGACATTGTTGCTTTTTCTTGAACGTTTAATTGAGCGAAGAAAAATAATGAATATAATCTAATAAGAAAGTAGGATGCAAAATCCAAAGGGATATTTAAGTAATGAAATAAAGAAGTAATGGAATACTGAAGCAATGGAATACTGGAGGACCAAAAAAAAAACAGTTAAATAGAAACTATTATATAGAAAATTAACTACGTACATCAAGAGACGGGTGCTCTTCTATCCTATTAATAGTACATTCTTAATTTATTCTAAATATTCTTTAATAAATAATACATTGGGGATTTGCATAGTAGATATTCTCGGCAAACCTCAGTTAGGAAGTCTCCGCTCAAGGTTTATACTCCTCAGCACACTAGAGGTAATTAAGCGTGTAAACAGGGGCTTGGCAAGGAGCACTACGTAAAACATACTATGTATGGCTTGCACTAATTGCCGATCGGACAATCTGAGAACGAAGGGCTCTCGTATTGCGCGTGGTATCGGGGAGGTCGGAAGTTCCGGAATTTGGCGTGAAGAGCGAGAAGATAGGTGGGCGTGACATGAAACTCGGCCGATATCGTACTCGAGAGCAAGCTTCGGGAAGTAGATTTGTATGAGGACCGGGTCATAACATCCGATATTTGGTGACGGAAACCCATACCGTCCTAGTTCACGGTTCCAATAGGAATCGGAGTGATAATGGGCCGTATTATTACTTCGACACATTTGGAGCTGGGTCTAAGACGCAGGATCCAGCTGTCTCAATTGACCTAGGTATTAGCTGCATCTCGCGACAGCTACTTCGTGTGTGCGTGATCCAACTGTCGCCATTAACCTGCTTATTGGCTACTATGGCTTGAGACAGCCTCTTCATGTATGTGCGATCCAATTGTCGCGGTTGGCCTATGCATTAGCTGTATATTGTAACAGATTCTTCATGATTGTGCGATCCGCTGTACCTCGCGACAGCTCCTTCGTGTGTGTGCGATCCAACTGTCGCGATTGACCTGTGAATTGGCTGCACCTCGCGACCGCTCCTTTGTGTGTATATGATTGGCCTGTCGGGATTGACCTGTGTATTAGCTGTACCTCGCGACAGCTCCTTCGTGTGTGTGCGAACTAACTCTCGGGGTTGACCTGTGTATTGGCTGTACCTGACGACAGCTCCTTCATGTGTGTGTGATCTAGCTGTCTAACATAGGAAGTATGACAGGCGTATCGCGAATTGAAAGCCTGGCTGTCTAACCAATGAAGGCGGGTCAGACAGGGGCTTCGGATTTGTGCGATACGGCTGTCTGTTGTGGAAGGCGGATGAGATAGATGTATCGCGAGCTTATGACCTAGCTGTCCGACGAGGAAGACAGGCCGGACAGGGTCATCGCAATCATACGATACAGCTGTCCAGCGAGGTTGATAGAGAGGACAGGTGTATTAGGGAACACGGAGATTGGTAGAACTTCTGGATTTGATAGTAGCATTTGCACATCTGTTGTATCCCGCACCTAGCTAATCCATCTCCCCTGACTTTACTATATATTATGATGCTCCTTCATGCCTGGAGTGCAAAAACCCCACAGTATACTCTCCCTTTCAACACATTTTCAACTACTCCATCATCTCAATCTCTTTATTACTTCTACAAAGCCAAGAGTCATCATCATGGCAGCTCAAGACACCGCCACCACTGATGAGCGAGATCTCATCTGGAATCCACCCCATGGCCACGACGGTGGTCAATTGTTCAAAGCGGTACAAAATGGCAATGTCAATGTTAGTGCCTTGAACGTTTACACACACGATGGCCCCGGCGATCATGAGGTGATCAAGGCGATCGAGGTGGAGTGGACCAACGGACAGACGCACAAGTATGGTCATGCGTCAGGGCCTTCAACATCAACGACATTCCACAAAAGTGAGCGTATCACAAAATTCATCATTTACGGCGGGGACTGGGTTGACGCTATCTATTACGAATCCACGAGACTTCCTGGCGGTTGGAAGGCTGGCGGGAGTGGGGGCATCCCTGCTGAGCAAGACATTGGGAATGGTGTGTTTGTGGGACTTTGGGGCAACGCTGGATTTGACATTGACAGCCTCGGAGGCGTGTTTGAATCCTCAAAGGACAAAGCGGACAAATGAGAGCATGCTACCACTTGACGGGTATAACTTGGGATGTGTTGCTTCGGCATTCCCAGGGCATGGACTGGCAACTGTGAGAGCTGTCGTCGTTGTATGGAGTTCTCCTTAGAGGAGTTTAAGCTCGGCCGACTACTAGCGGATTCTTTTCCTTAACCAGATAGCTTTTTATATTTCTATTAGCTAAAGAGAATTTTTAAATCAAGTTGAAATTTCTTTAATATATATTTCAGTTACTTTATAATAAAGCCTGCTGGCTATTGCTACCAATCTGGGAGAGCTATAGGGTAGGAGTTTCTTTTACGACCACCTCTAAAACGCACGGTCCACATTGAGCTTTAGCATGACGTCAAGGCAGAAGAGAACGAAGACGAGAGCGATAGCGATAGCGAAAGCGAAAGTTCCTCGTTCTGTCTTGTTTTCTCTTGATGCTCGCCTTTTCCACCTTCACCACCCTCGGATGGAATAGAATTTCTGCCGAAGAGAGTTGGAGCATCTTTCGCATCATGATTTCCAGCGTTATTGTTGTTATTGGGAGTGGCGGCATGGGGCTTCCCATCGCACGAAGGCTTGGCCTTGGAAGACAAGTTCTCCTGGGAGACTACTCCGCCGCCAATCTCTCCACTGCGGAAAAAGTCTTGACTGGCGAGGGATACTCGGTTACGACACTGCAAGTAGACATATCCGACTTCGACAGCGTTGATAAACTCGCCAAAAAGGCCGCAGCAGTGGGATCAATCGAGGCCATTGTTCATACTGCCGGGGTTGGGCCCTCAGTCGGCTCTGCTCGCCGCGTTTACGAAATCGACCTTGTTGGCACGGCCAACGTAATCGACGCTTTCCTTCCTGTCGCGGGACCTGGGACGAGTCTCGTTTGCATCTCCAGCATGGCGGGCTATCTCTGCCCACCGTTGGAGCCCGAACTGGAAAAACACCTCGCTACAGCCTCACGGGATCAATTATTGAGCCACCCGGGTCTCAATGTTGATAGCTCCGATGCACGTGCAGCAGGAATGGCCTACGCATTCTCTAAACGCGGCAATCTGCTTCGTGTGCAATCCATGGCCAAGGCATGGGGCGCCAGAGGAGCTAGAATCAATTCGGTGAGCCCTGGTGTAATTTCCACAGAGCTTGGTCGCCAGGAAGCGATGACCGGTCCGGCTGCAAAGTTTGTTGAAACATCCCCTGCAGGCAGGGTGGGCACACCAGAAGACATCACCAACGTGGTTGCATTCCTGACCAACCCGTCGTCTTGTTTCATTACAGGAACCGATATTTTGGTGGATGGAGGTGTTGTTTCCAGTCAACGGTGGAACAAGGCGTAGAGAAGACTAGGCGGATTCTTGGATATTTGTAACTTCTTCAAGTTGAACATTACCATCCGTCGTCCATTGGAACTGTTTCCACCGGCCTACTCCGAAGGCTGAGGTAGTCTACGATTCACGACTCGTTGCAGCTCGACAATAGTGGGCACGTCATCTGAACTGTTTTGGCTTGAAATTATGGCACCATATAAATACGGTTTAGAATCAGGAAATAGATATCATTGGATGCTGTGAAGGAGTCCATGGAAAAGGCGCATGTAGCCGGCTGGCTATCTGGTTAAGACTAGATCACTAACGACGTCTTGCGTATAGGCGTTCAATTTTCCCAGCCAGTGTGTCGTTGATGAATTGTTCAAGACTTTCGCCCTGAAGATCAGGATATAAATCTTTCCCAATCAGATACCCCAGATACTTGGCACACTCTGGAGAATTGTCTCCACGAATTCCTAATACAAGCTCATACTGGGACATGACCAAGTTTCTTATCTGAGTGTTATCGCCTGCGGCGACAGCCTCATTCGCAGTCTTAATTTTGGATTGAAGAACTTGTTCATTGACCTTGAAGATGATTAGCACGACGTTGTGTTCAGGGGTAATTGAGAGTTAGGTGGTTGAAAGACATGAAAAGAATAAGGCAATTGGAAAAAACCTACATGATTTCTGGGTATCTCTTCGCTGGACAACTTCTCCATGAGATCGAAGATGCGATTCTGGGTCCAGATCTCGTTGTACACAAACACTGACTTGTTCAGTGTGCGTGGGTCCACAATGACACGAGCCACGTATTTTCCAATGTCTCGTTTGTCGATCAGGGCAGTCTCAGTGTTTCCATTGCCTGAGATAGTCTGAACAGGCATGGTGAGGGCGTTTGCAAGCTTGCCAGAAGGTAGAGGAGGTAGTGAGAGCTGATACCACCAGCCAACATCAATGACTGTATAGGGCAAATATATGCTCTTGATATGATCAAGAAGGTCTTCTTTCTGTTAGGTAGATTGCTTGGTTAGCCATTTTATGAATACCTCATGTCTGGAAATGACCAGTTGTGTGTGTATGTGTGAGTAATCGCTCACCAGATTTCTAAGTAACATGATTCCTCGAGGGGGGCATATAGGCCCAAAGAAACTAGGAACGAAGCGGCCTACAGACGCCTTTTTGCAAGCACTGGCAAGAATATTCTGGGTTTTTACGTGCTCTGCATGACCAGAAGTCAAACAAGAGATGACGACATCGGCACCAGTGAGAAGGGCAACAAGTTCATCGCTAACAGTGCCGAGATCTACTGTGGAAACAGTGACACCCAGGTCCTTGAGTGCGAGATACTCTGGCTTGTCCACTGAGGACTTGCGAGCGAGAGCAGTCACTTCCTATAAATAAAGCGAGTGCGTATAAGCTGGACTGTATATACCATATCGCTACATGATGTAGAATGATCAGGCACTTACGAAGTTTTCGGGAGACTTGATAAGGCCGTGCACAACAGATGTTCCTGTCTCACCCGAAGCTCCGACAACAATGACTTTCATTTTGACGGAGTCACTCAAGTTACTTTTTGTTCTGTTTAAGAATTTTGAAAATAGGAAGAAGATGATTGATGGTGATAAATGGGCTCAGAGATTGATTGAGAAAGGCCCTTTTATATTTCTATCTTGGCTTGTTAGCCCAGTATGCATGCTCCGTAGGCGAAATGATAAACGGTGGGGTGGTAGCTTCGGATCGGCGTTTGGTAATATCCAATCGAAATTCTCAGAATACGTAAATATGCCATTTCTGGTTTAGTATCGTTCTTGACAAGGTTCCGTTGCTGGGATTACAAAGCAGCCATGTCACGCTGTCCGGCCTTTGCCTCGTTTCAACTTTCCAAAGTCACACATACCATCGATAAAATCTTGAGCGCTATCATGAGCAACCGCCATCAAGCAATAATTCCCAAAACTCCGATGCGCAGGTCACACCGGAAGGCCCGGACAGGGTGTCTAGTCTGCAAAAGGAGGCGGATCAAGGTAGGACAGCCAATCATGTGTGTCATTGAGGTGCATCGAGTGCTGAAGCACGTTTGGGTAGTGCAATGAAGGCAAGCCAGGGTGCCAAAACTGCCTTCATTTTGGCGTTGATTGTTCGTACTCGCAGCTCTCGCCTACTATTCCTGATCAAGGCTGGAAATTTCTCATCAACGGAGGCCCTGGGCCGCACCAGGGGCGTGGCCGGCCGAGGTCGTCCAACTGGCCGACAAGCACCTTGACCTTGTCTAAATCACCCTTGTGTGCCTCTGATTCCCGAGCATTCCCGCCCTACTCTCCAGAAACCATTCGATGTTATAGTCTATTGCTTGACTGCCTGACATGGTCTGGTGAAGCAGCTGTTGTTAGTTCCCGTGAAGACGTTGCTGCAAAGTTTTCCGGACCGTTACTCAGAGTTCTGCATCCTGTTGTCTTGGACTTCTGTCGGTGCTCTATCGCTTCTCACCTTGCACGCCTGCGACCACAGCAAAAGAGTCACTTTCAGGGAATGGCAAGACGCCTCTCCTCTTCAGGCATTCGCGGTCTGGTTGCGATGCTACCTTCCGTTGACGTGGACAACTGCCATGCGGTTTTTGCTGCGGCTGTGCTCGTGTCTATCACCACACTGGCATATGGGCCGCAGCCAGGTGAATACCTTCTCTTTTGTAACAGCGGCTTTCCCTTGTGGCTTGGACTGTTCCAAGGCATTAAGTCTGTCCTCGGCGGGGTAGGGGCCAGCCAGGTATTCTCCGGGCCATTGTCAGGCTTCTTATGCCGACCAGAGCGAGTCGATAAGCCATATGCATCAAGAAGACACCTTCGATATGTGGACTGGGCTGGCCAATTCAATAATCTACGAACATACGTAGAAACTAGCGATAGCCTCTATCGTACAGAAAATTTGGAAGCCCTTGAAAGCTTGCAAATGTGCTACGAGGCAATCTGGGGCCGGCCAGACGGAACGTGTAATAGCCACACCAAAAACCAAATGGTCTTTATATGGATATATTATTTGCGAGACGACTTTGTTCGGCGCTTGCAGGAGAAAATGCCAATTCCTCTCCTGATCTTCGCTTATTTCACAATTCCAATGAAGACATTGGAGAATTTCTGGTTTATCTCTGGTTGGCCAGATCATATTCTGTCAGGAATCCAGGCTGCAATTGATGAAGCTCATTATCCATGGTTGCAATGGCCATTGCAAGTCCTCGAAGATATGGGATAGATATAAACCATTTTAGTGGGAGACTATACGAAAGCTTTGGTGGGCAGAGAATTGGATTAGAGACCTTTGACAACAAGTCATCTGTAGATGAATAGTTTATTCATTGTGTTGGGATGTCGGGTCTGGCATCTTTCATTGCTGTGTTGGCTTTATACGCGAACTCTCTAGCGAACTCTCTCCCCCACAAATGAATGGTCTCTGCAGAAGAAATATCATCGAACATGCTGAAGCATTGACAGCTTTCAATGAGTCTGATAATACAATGTGAGCCACTAAGCCAAATCCTTACTCCACTAGGATCGAATCATCAGTCCGCAGGCCAACTTCACGGTTGAAATCAAGCAGCCAATACGGGTCATCAGCAAGAGTTTGGTTCCATGGATCGCCACTACGCAAAGAGGCTAATCAGTGAAAGAGCACGGTGGGGTCAGGGGCAGATTATACCTACTCTTGGAACATCATCCATCGCGCATGATGCCGTAGCTCTTCATACGAGGGGATATGTTGGGCCGGTTTCCGTGTCGACGTGGTGCTTGTCACGTATCGTGAAAGCTCTCTAGTAAGGCGTCTATAGCAATCGCTGTTATGAAGGAATCAGGAAGGCGTCTCGGTGATTGTGGGCTGTGTCGGGGATGCTAAGGCTATTTCGCTGTCGTGCGTCTCATTGGCAAGCTCGGCTGGTGTTTCTTAAAATTGCTTGCTCCAGAAACACTTGGGAATCTAATATGCATGTTGTATCCATGGCCGAGAGAGAGAGAGAGGTTAAAAGCGGCACGTTGGCGAAATGCTTCAAGCCATTTCGATGAGCCAAAAACGAGACTATTAAGGAATGGGACGAATATTTCGGAATGAATGGGCAAGGCTTTCCCCACCTTGAGAGCGATCCTACCTGTCTCAGATTGTAGTTTACTATTCTCAATAATCAATCCCAACAGGACACAGGTCTCAGCACATTTCTGAAGCTCCATCTCCGGGCTACAATCTTGGAAGATGTTGTCTTTAAATACTCACCTGGCTCACACAGCTCCGAGATTAGGCCTTGGAACTTCGGTATTCCTGGTTTAGGGTTCAAGTTTAAGCGAGGACATTCGTTATGCGGCTTGGACCGGGCCTGCAGAGTGCTTTGATCTTGTGCAAGGATCCTTGGTTCTTGGCGGCTCATCACCCAATCACTGAACAGAAGTACCGTTGGCCTCTTTCCCGGTGAACAGATCGGGAAGCAGAAGATGTCAAAGCACAGACCCATTTTGTAGTAGTAGAAAACGCAAAATGCTCTATTACATTGCAGACGCATTCCTTCACATACTCACATACTAGGTACCTTGATTAGGAGTCACACGCAAACTTGGCTTGTTGCCTGGTAGTGGGGCTTGTCGGGTCCTTGTATTAATAGCCACGATTTGTTGCTGATAAAAAATGTAAAGGCTGTCCTACTTTTTACTCTCTCACCTTTTACCTTTGGATTCGTTTTTGTTGCAGTTACTTTATCAACAAATAATCACCAAAACAACCTAGCGGCAACGCTCGCCCTTTGCGTTTCTTCGTCTTAGTTCGATTTCGAGGGAGCATCGTTCGTGTTATACCAAGAATGGCGCATTTGCCGGCAACTCCAACAGCTATCCTGTCGTTGCCAACCGAATGCTTGCAAAAAATAGGCACCCAACTCACCGAAGTTAAACATCTCAATGCTTTAAGCCAAACATGCTGGAGGGTTCATGAGGCAGTTATTCATGATCTGTACAGGCGGGACCTGGACCCTTCTAATAACCTTGACGAGGGGACAGCAATACCATGGGCTATAAAAGAGGATGTGTTTGAGACTGTCCAGCGCGCGGCGTGGTTGGGGTTTGCGGTGCCAGGCCACCTCACCATGGCCATTAGGTGGGGAAGGGTAGAGATGGTAAGACTTCTCTGGGACTGTATGGATAAGTCTGGCAATCTTGACCTCAACAATGACGGCTCCGGAGATAGCCCCTTCATCGCCGCCGTGGCCCGGCTTCCCGATATTGCCCATTTGATGATCGCCACGGGGAAAGTACAGATTGAGAGTCGAAACACGAATGGTGATACAGCACTTACCATCGCTGCACGCAAGGGAGATATTGCCTTGGTTGAAACGATTCTTGCACTTGGTGCCGACCACTCCTCTTCAGATTCCAGTCACAGGACACCGCTTTCCTTAGCTTGTGGAAATGACCTAGACATGTGTGATTGTTTGAAGCAATCTGGTGCTGGGTGCCGTTGGTCTCACCCTCGCTGTTGTAGGCGAGGGAAAGACTTACTCGTATCCCGGGAAGACTCAACTGACCGCTTGCGAACTGTCGAGATACTTGTTTCACAGGGTGCGAGGATCGAAGCTCCTGACGGAGAGGAGCAAACCCCCCTTCACCACGCTGTGAGATCTGGGTATATGGGGATTATCAAAGTGCTGGTCAGCCACGGGGCAAATGTGAACGCACGAGCCCAGAATGGCAGCACTCCCCTTATCTGGAATGCCGAAGACACGTGGGACTTCGAGATAGCTCGATTTCTGGTAGAGCAGGGCGCAGACGTGAGCGCATTTTGTGGACACGGGTTCAGTGCACTATGTTATTCTCATCTCGCTAAGAATCCTGTTAAACTCGCCCAGTTCCTCCTCCAGCAAGGAGCGAGCGTCGGTGATCACCCTTGTTACCGCTGGCACAATGTGGATTATGGCCACCGAAACGTGCTTCACCGCTCTGTCGAGTGTCCAGAGCTGGAACTGACAGAACTCTTTCTTGATCATGGGGCCAACATCAACTGCATCGATAGGATTCATGGCACGCCCTTGATGACGGCTTGCAACCGGAGTAGCTCGTTTGCAATAATAAAACTACTTGTTGACCGGGGAGCGGACGTCAACCTTGCGTGGGAAAGGGACCACTCTGCGCCTTTAGGAGCTGCCATCGAACAGCGGTGTGGGCTAGATATAATCAAGCTGCTTCTAGATAAGGGAGCGGACCCTGAAGGCAAGGCTGGATGGGGATTGCGAGCGCTTCATTCGGCTGTATCTCTCAGGTCGTTTGAGACTGCCGAGATGCTTATACAATATGGCGCCAGTCCAGATCGTCTTGACGACAGCAACCGAAATTGCCTGTACTATGCCGCGGAGTATGGGGATGTAGCAATGCTGGAACTTCTGGATAAGCATGGCGCAGTGATCGAACATGCCTGCGGGCCTGATGATGAACTCCTGACGAACGCTTTGTTCCGCGGCTGCACTGATGAGGGTCTTGAATGGCTCGTGCGAAAAGGGGCTGATGTAAACAAACATGGAAGACACGGAGAAACAGCATTACACATGGTCATGAGAGCGAGAGGCCTGCAAGTCATCAAGACGCTTCTTGATCACGGAGCCGAGTTCGATGTGAAAAATTTCAAGGGGGAGACTCCACTGGATTTTATTTCATTGCGGTGCAAATTGGCTGTTAAAGAAAAGGCACTGTCCATCAACTGCGGATCCGGTCGATTATTGTTGGAATCATCGTGGGTGGCTGAATTGAGAAGTGTTCCCTTGTTGCTGAAAGTGCTAGACGTACTCATTTCCTACAAGCATGTGAGAGCTAGTCATGATTGGAGGGTGTAAGATTTCGGAAGCTTTATAATGTGCTTTCAGAAGGAACCGCTTTTTGCGGCTACATTGGTGGTAATGGGATTTGAAGATGCGGCTGGGGCTGATAGAGGTATACAGTATAGAATACGCCAAGAAAATCTAAATATCATTTGTTAAACCCTCAATTTAACCGACGTCCAAGATCCTGCTAGAAAAGATCTAGCTGTGTAGAGTACAGCAGCAGCAATGCAAAGAACCCCGACATACAGACCTGCGAGTGCCTGAGCCCCCAATGTCTGTAGCATCTGTCCGCCTATCGGCACAGCGATGAGCAACGCGAAGCTAACAGTGAAGTTGAGAGCTCCGAGGTAACGCCCATAGTCTTTGTGTTCACATGTCTTCCCGAGACAAGCTGGGATGAGGGCTGAGAAGAAGCCAGTGCCCAGACCCCACAACGTCGCAAAGGCATACAATGCGTTCACCTGCGTGGTGGCAAACGGCACAAGCGTAGCCCCCGTGCAAATTCCTGTGAGAATGATTGCGAGAAATAGGACGTTGCAATGCCCGTATTCATCTCCCAAAAAACCCGAAACGACACGGCCAATGCAACCACTTCCGTTGATGATGGCAATGAGGTTGTAGCCCGTCTCCACAGGGTTTCCAGACTGTAATGAGAGAGTTGGTAAGTTACCGGATATCCCAAACATGGCAAATTCAAGTGAGAAGAATGCTGCTGCTATTGCGGCGAATGAACGTGACCGGAAGGCATCGAGATTGATAGCAGAGCTCCCATTGGCTTTCTTACGAGACTCATCAGACTGCTCTTCTGTGATGTTTACCTCGAGATTGCGAACACGCATGTTGTACATCTTCATGTATGGTATGTAGCACAAGCACCCTGGGATCATGATACCAGCCATGAGAGCACCTATGAATCTAATTGTCCACTTGTAACCCCAACTTGGGAACAGCTCTCTTAGCATGAATGGTATGATGACGCCACCTAGAGCGGAACCGTTGAGCGCAAGTCCAATGGCCAGACCGCGATATCGAGTAAAAAGTTTTCCGGCAATGGATAAAGCAATGGTTGAAGTTAGAGCACCACTGATGCCGCCGAATATGCCCAAGCACAAAATGAAATGCCAGTAAACAGTACATTCGGCGAGCACGAAAAATATGGGAATAGTTAAAACGGTAGCTATGGGCGCAAGGATCATAGGGCTGTAGCGATCGATGATAGGCCCGGCTTGTATCCCTAAAAATAGCGTGAGCGCTGTGTAAAGCCCGGAGATCCAGCCGATGTCACGAGAAGTGTAGTCAGAGAGTTGATGTTGTTGCAGGTATGCCTGAAATGTACCGATTGCTTGTGGGAACCCTTAGTAGGGTGTCAGTTTCGCTTCTAGAACAGCGAGTATTGAATCAAGACTTGGGTTATGAGATTACCCACCGTAGGAGGGAATTAAGAGTAGAAACGACCCAAAGACGCAGATCCATGATGAAACATGGGACTCACTATCCCGAAAGTTTTCATTGACTGCTGTGGCACTTGCTTGACTGGGATGTCGGGGCAGTTGGGTGGTCGGATCATCTGCCGTGTTTGATGCAACTATGGATAAGCTTTGCATAATGTGTCTGCTATGTGAACTTCAATCCTCGGTTTTTAGCAAGGTCGGAATGCCTGCTGTAACAAGAGTTACAAGACTTAGGGTAGGTGGCGGACGGGCGAGGATTGTTGGCGTGTATGTTGGTTGGTACAGGAAGAGATCGAAGGTTTGGGTGATGCATATAAGTTGCAAATACGGAGGTTATAAAGATTATTTCATAGTAATGGCAGCAACCTGACGAGAAGTACAACAAGCAAACATTAAGTGACTGGCTGGGGAGGGGAGTAACTGTGTAAAATATAATAATTTTCTGACCAAACTCTGTGATTACTGCGAGGTTTCTCACGGGACTAGTGGCTGAATCAAGAAATCGGTTCCCTTAGCTGCAGATTGTACGTGTACTATCAGATGGAGTCCAAACTATGTGTTGGGAATTTGGTTCCGGAGAGACGAGCCAGCTCCGGAATCACATGCCTAGAGCAGCAGGTTGGCCCACAGAGAGGCTAAATCTGCATTACTGATTGGCTTCTCTATGAGGACTAAGAATGGTCGTCTCCACACTCAAGAATTCCTTTCGGAACGAGTTGCTACTTCGCCCTCTAAAGATTGAGCATGTAATAACGAAACGCTGAAAATTGAAAAAGAGATTCAATTCCCTACGACTGCTAACTCACCAGCATGCCGAAGTCATACGGAAGTGGCCGCAATCGTCAAAGGAAGACGGAGAATGGCGGAAGACGAGTGCGGGGACCATATTCACTTGGGGGTTGCCTCACTTGTCGACGGCGCCACGTGAAATGTGATCTAGTTAAACCCACATGCCTCACATGTAGGGCTTGTGGCGTGTCTTGTGAAGGTTTCACGTCCGACTTGCGTTGGGTTGGAGCATCGTCTCCTCGCAAGAGTGAACCGCCTTCGGAAGCGCCTTCGGAAGCAACCAATAGGGGACAGCTCTACACTGGTGAGATGCAAGAGTCCAGGCGAATGACGCTTTATGCACCACGCTTATCTCAGGTTAGAGAAATCCAGAGCATCAATGGCAGCTGCCATATCCGGGAGCGTTTCATCGGGCTCAGTAGGCGCAGCACTGTTAGATATCGATGACCACTCTAGAAATTCGGGCTCTGCGAAGACGCCAGAGATTACGATAGGACCATTCGGCCTTTTCGATTCTAACCCGGACCCCGGGCCAACCGTATCAACAAATCTAAGATCTAACACCAATCCCGATGGACAAGCTACACTCGCAGGCGAGGAGTCACAGCTCTTGCCCTCTTTTTGTCACCCTCCCAACTCAGGTTACGATGACCTCCCCTTGATAGGTGTGTATGAGGACGGCAGTGTGGCTCCTGATTGTGACGGATACCTTGCGTGGACAGATCTCTTTGCACTTGACTTTGAAACCACTCTCGGATTGCCACAGACACAAAGTTCTGTCTATTCGGACCTCCTCGGGCAGGGCATTCCGGCACAAAAAAACCCAGTTCAGCCTAGGAGTTCCACCGCCATCCTCCCTTCCGAGGATCAATCCCGAAAACCATTGAGCCACTCATTGTCTGAGAATGTACCCAACTCCACAGATTGGCGCTCTCCCAAAATCACTTTTCTTCTTAGACACTTCTATCAGGCAGTGATCCCTCGCATGGCTTCTGTTCCCTTGGGAAAAAAGTATGCTTGGGGCCCCATGAATCATGAATTGGCAGTGCAAACTCAGGCGGATGTCACATATCTAGAGAAACCACATGTAAATGAAGCCAAGCTCGCCAATTTGTGTGCGATTGTTGCCATATCTGCATATCACCTCCATATAACGGGATACGATTCCCACCAACCTCCAGAAGATTGGTTGCAGTTTAGCCGGAAACAAATCCGCGATGCCGATGTCTACTTTAATCGTTCTCTCGAATTAGAAATACGAGGCTCGAAAGCAGCAAAGTATAAAGAGCAGCTAATGGCTATACAGGCGCTCATGGCTTATTCTGTATGTGTGTTTCATTCAAAACGTTAACGGAGTCTCTTAGTAACTGAAATTCATAGTGGGCGACTGCTGATTCGACCGAAGCACGCCGATACCAACTCGAGACGGAGCGCTTGGTCCGTTTCCGTGGGCTTGCTAAACGGGATATATCACGTCGGATACGGTTACTACATCATGCATATACATGGAATAGGATTGTTGGTGAGAGCACCTATGTGCTTCACGATTATGGAAATCTGCGGCGTTTCATTTCCGCCAGCTTTGGGGAGCCACAAATAGCTGACTGGAGAGAGGATGGCTCCTCGCCGAACCATACTGACACTCATCATACACGAGAAAATACCAGGTTAGACGACTTTCTGAGAATTCGACATTCTTTCGAGGAGGTTGACAGAAGCATTGAGGGGTACAAAGATGCCCATACCGGTAACCAAGATATTCATTTAGAGGACCCCCGAAATAGTGTCGAAGATGGATTCCACATCATTTACGGTGTTCCCGAGCGGTGGCTGAGCCTTCTCTCGCGCACCACACGGCTAGCAAATTGGCTCGATGCGAACGAAACTCTTGGAAGGCTCGGCGGCAACCGCTTGTCCGAAACACTGGAGCGCCGGGCTCAGTCTCTGGAAGATGCTATTTGCGCCTTCGTTGGGGGGCTAGACGTGGCGGAAAACATCAACGCCAACGAACCGCCGAATGTGTGCATGTTCAGATGCCTCACTGTATCCCTCCTTATATTCTTCTACCGGCGTATTCGTAACGTACATCCTTTAGTACTTCAAGCATATGTCGACGAAGTGATCCAGGGTCTAGAGAAGTTCGATACGTCTCTAGTGCGGCATCAGCAGCCTGGGCCTGGTTCGGCATGGGCAGCTTTCATGGCTGGCTGCGAGGCAATGGGAGAGTTGAGACGGGCTAAGTTACGCCAGTGGATGGATCGTGCGTTTGACAATTGTAAGTTTCCATTGTACAAAAGAACAAAGGAGTACATGTTGCGAGTATGGGAGAGTATGGACCAAGCTCAAGGAAATTCATCAGGGGCCCTCCGTAGACCTACTTGGATGCACGTCTCACGAGATTCTGATATATGGATTATATTAAATTAGGTTCTACCAATACTACCCAGATATGTTTTACCTGCGGGAAAGGCTCGGGCACAAACACCTTATATATAGGGGCCAAGGTGGCTCTGTGAGTTTGTTCAGCTGAGATCTCAAGAGAAATGTAAATTCATTCTGGATTCATGCGAAAAAAAAAAAAAAAAAAAAAAAAAACAGAAAATATCAAACTTCAATTGGATTTATATAGCTCAGAGGTGTCTCCCTAGCCGCCTTCCACACCGTTGTGCAGCTGGCAGCAAGGGCAGCAACTCCACATAGCAACTTTACATAAAGCAAGATTGGATGGCTCCGGGCTGATATTTTAACATGATGCATTTTGGGCTAGAAGTCACATCTCCATGTATACGGCAGAAATGCTTTCCAAGTCCTCGTAATTAGCTGCACTTAGCCTTCTGTTCCTCCACTGTTAGTGGTTGGGATTGAAGACCGAGCGCAAATCCGTTTGTTGCTAGCCCTAAACCGTCCGCACATAATCGTCGACATAGATCCGTCCTCACGAGCAGCCTTGTTACGTTCTTTTTTGACTCGTCTGACCTGCTTCTCCAAATCAAAAGTAAGATACCAACATAGCAGCCCAAAAATAAACCCTCCACCCAACGCACCAACACAAATACCGTAGGATTCCTTGTATCCCGACTCAGCCCACTGGGAGCGGAAGATTTGTGGCCCAATCACGCCGCCAAGCTAACCAATGGAATTCGTGATGCCAAAGGCTACAGCAGTTCCTATAGCGCCCTTCAAGCTCGAGGATCGCCCTGCACTTCGGTAAGCGGGGCTGGGTCAAGAAATTATTCCGATGTTAGGACTTACAGGGCCATGAAGTTCCCCAAGCATGAGAGAACATGGTTCCGAGGACACATGCTGCGTACACCGCCGCTTTTTTTTTTGTTGCTAAGAAGATGATGAAACTCAACAGTTCGCAGGTCACGACTAGTGCGTGTTAATGGCTAAATTCCGGGTTGTTAAGTGTTGGAGGGAATGCTTACTAGTCAAACAGCACAATGGCCGAGGCACCAAGGCTCGCTTGTAGATGAAATGTATCGAGATGATAATAATCATTGATAGAAAAGAACCAGGCTTGAGAAAGTTAGATATTGATTAAAATAGTCAGTTGGAAAGGTCGTACCAAAAGGAGAAGCAGATTTCGTGGAACCGTAACGAACCCGAGGTTTGCCACGATATTAGGCTACTGTCGGTAAGTAATAGTTTGTTCAAAGTTAATAAGGCAACTTACAAGAAACCCTGCAATTTCATAGGACCTCGTCGACATGCAGAGCATCATCAAGGTAAACGACCAGAGGCGGGGGTCTCTGAGAGCGGCCAAAGTTTCCTGGAGGGAGAAGGCTTTGTCCGACAACCGAGGCGCATTTGCAGTCAGACGAAGTTCTACAAACTCTTGCTCCCTAGGAGTCAACCACTTGGAGGTTCGAGGAGACCGAGGATAGTCTGGATGATATAAGTAAACGAACATGCCGAATACCACGGTTCGCCTTCAAGTAGAAACACCCTGCCGTCTAACTTAGTTTGTGACTTCAAAGCAAAAAGGACGGGTTGACTTACCATTGCCACGAACTCAGGCCTTGATTTCCATCTAAATAGGACATTCCGTAAGCAAGAAGCTGCCCAACAATGTTTGAGAAGTGATCAATCGAGTGAACCCAAATCATTGGCCTCGCAAGCTCATCACCACGATACCAGCAAGTGTAAAAGGTCATAATTGCCGGGAACATACCCGCCTCTGCAATATCGATCAATACTCGCAATGCGTATTGAGTCGGGGCCCACTTGTCAATTCGGCCAGGTTAGATAAATTAGCTATTTTTCCGTATCCGTAGTAAAAGACATGCTTTTTACCCCTTCTTATTTTCGTTTTTGAAAATCCCTTCTTATGAAAGATGCGTCTTTCGCAACCTCACGGCGGCTACGATCGGTCAATTGACTAGCTGTAAACGTGATCCATTTGATCAAATGAGAATACACACAAAACTCAAAACCTCCTTTTTATAGCTGTTGTGGAAGGTTGTTAGATTTTGGTGTGGTTGGCAGTCTGTATTTCAAGCTCGCTAACAGCTGCGGTGTTGTTCGTTTTTCCCCCAACACAGTATAGAGCCTCTTTGGTGCTAACTGCAGCGTGGAGTGCAAGTATGATGCCCCAGGTGATGATAATCCTTGACTGAAACAACCTGGGACTCATTATTTTGAACAGCAATATAGTAGGGGTCTCTAGAATTACGTAGAGTATCTAAAAGACAATGAGTGAGATTGCTCAAAAGTATAGGTGGAGGGATAGACCTTACGTAGTAAGCAGTTTGTACCCAAGCGTACTGATCGGCGGTTATTCCAAGTTCGTTCAAGATGTTGGTCGGCTTCCCAATAGCCATGACTTTGACTAAAGCTACATTGTTTGTGTCAATCTGGACAGTTAGCAATCGAACTGTTGGGGTTTGGGGCATGCATTTGCTTTACCTGCTTGATGGAGTAAATAAGTCCCACGAGCAGAACAATGTGAAAATCGACTTTGCGCATGATTTTTCGCTCCTCCTCTGGGGTAAAGGAGCTCAGGAACTCCCTCCGGTACTCTGCTTTACGTTTTTCATCGTCGGTGGAATCGGGAGCGGTGACCGCGATATTAACAGTTGCAGGATCCTTTGCGTTGCATGCAGCGACGAGCTCGAGGTAGTTGGCGCCATCCTGACTAGAACAATTTGTTGAAAAGCCACTCTTTTGCGACGGAGCGTTGTGTATAATCGGATATGTGCTGCCAGAAGACGAAGTTATAAATGATAGTTCAAGCTGGACGTCCTAGCCTTGTTTCCTTTCGGAACCTTATCCTTTAGATCGCGCGACTACGGCTTTCCAACGAAAGACGCCATTAGGAGGAAGAGGAGGCTTAAGGCTATAGGTTTTTACCAGAAAGGTGCAGAGCAGCCTAATTATGTTATACTATAGTATTAACTTCTAAATGTAGTCTCTATAACGTAATGCGAGCTTCAAAGTGCCCTAGATACAAACAAATGAGACTAACATAATAGGTATAGGGCATGCAACTCGAAAAAAAATCTGCACACGAATGCAGTTACAAATCATGAGATACATCATCACTGTATTGGATAACACTTTTTTATAGAGAGTGATTTATTTGAATATTTCATTAGGCTTCTTGTGAGGTCAAAGAGGAGGCGTTGACACAATGTCAAGGCGGCTACCTTCTTTAATACTAGGGCCCTCTTGCTCTCCTTGTTCTATTTCCAATTCTTATGTGAATCAAACCATTCGTATAACTACAACTGTGATACACGTTAATTTAGTCTCAAGGACAATATTACCACGGAATCGGTCCATTAGCATCAATAAAAGTCCCAGTTGGACCACCTTTCCCCAATGTAGCCATCTCCACGACCTTCTTCGCGGCTACTTCTGGTGATCGAGCATCTGGGTGGAAGCCGACCATCTTGGATCTGACATAACCGGGGCATACCATATTGACCATGCCTCCAACAGCCTCCAACTTCTCAACGTATCTGACAGCAAGCATATTAAGTGCCGCTTTACTAGCCTTATAAGCCGGATGCTGCACACCATACATAGGCCAATCCTTGTCGAGGCTCTGGCTGATCGACCCATTTCGAGACGATACAAAGACGATGCGAGGCGTGTCTGCCCGGAGTAGTAGAGGCAGACACGCTTCTGTAAGAACCGTGGTTCCAAAGGTGTTGACTTGGAAAGTTTGGTTCAGAAGTTGGCGGGTGGATAGGTCCGTCTCAGTGATTTCAAGATGGACGCCGGCGTTATTGACAAGAACATGCAGCTCGCCGTGGGCTGCTTCGACACTTTTGACTGCTTCGCGAATGGACTCGTCCGACAAGAGGTCGATTTGTATATTGGACGCAGAAAACCCACGCTGCTGCAGGAGAACAGCGACAGCCTCGCCCTCGGCAGCATTTCGAGAGCCGATGACAACATGATAACCATGCTCAGTAGCGAGGCTCTCGGCTATAGCTCTCCCGAGGCCACCATTGGCACCTGTGATCAGAGCAACTGGCATATTACTTGATTTGCCGTGTAGTGAATAGAGACACTGGAATTGGGACTTGTGGCGTGATTTTATTGCATATGAATCAAACCGAGTTTATTCGGTTGATGATCAGATGGGAAAAGGACCCCTTTCCAATTTATAGAAACAAAACATCGTATGGGTATCGCCTCTCTTATTGAAATGCTACTCGAATGCGATAATCACAAAGATTCCAAATTGTGACTCTATGCTTACCGACCATACGAAACTCAAAACGAACGTTGAGGACGATGCGACCTGAAGTGAACCGGCACCCCGAACCCCGAAAGGTGGTGTGGCAGTGTCTTACAATAAGTATCCACTTTGACAGTCCACGAATCCCGCAATTCTTTTGATTTAGGATTGGGCGTTGAGAATGGCATATGACAATAAGATCTATGGACATGAAAATGTAGACACACGGAGTTCCGACATTATCAGAATCTAGTACCTCTCAATAGACCTTGGCAAGCACGCAATGTCCTGGCCACGGCAAAGTCTGCATATCCCGAAGTTTCAAATGATAGACTCGTCAGATTAACAATCAAATACGAGGTATAATTAGTCATCTAGAGTTTACCGACTCCGTGGGGCAGTCCACGGGCTTGCACAGGAGATCTGGCTTGGTGGTTAGAAGAGCCACCAGCAGTAACTTGCAGATTACAAATCAGGTAGCCAAGAACCGACTTGATGCGTTGATTATGAAACCTCAAAGGTGTGGAGAGGGCATGGCGTATAAAGTCTTACGTTCGGTAGAAAGAGTAATTTGAACGTTCCTCAGGCTCACCGATATATTCAGCTAAGATGCACATCAAGGACCCTGCAATTTCGATCGACTCTGTCGTCGTAGTTATTGGGGCGAATGGCTTTATTGGTGTAGAGACGTGCGAGAAGCTACTACAAGCTGGATACAAGGTACGCGGCACTGTTAGGAATATTGAAAAACACTCAACATGGATGCACAAACTCTTTGATGAGAAGTGGCCCGGAAAGTTTGAGTTGGTTGAAGTGGCCGAGTTTGAGAAAACAGGCACCTTTGATGCAGCTTTCAAAGGTAAGCCACACCTATATTGACGAATCTTTGCTCAATGAGTTGAACAGGCCACATTAGGCGCTGCGGGAGTCATTTATGTATCCACACCAGTACTCTTCGATCCTGATCCCTCAAAAGTCGTGGGCTCTAATATCAGGAGTACCATCAATACACTGGAGGCGGCAGCAAAAGCAGGCGTGCAGCGCTATGTACTGAGCTCGAGCAGCAAGGCTGTCGAGACGACTCTTTATAATGACCGGCGACATAACATCACGACCAAAATGTACAACTGGGAGGCCGTGCAGAAGACCTGTTGTGGGCCGAGAGACGATGGCTTTGGCGGGATGTTGGATGTCTACAGTGCTGGCCGGACCCTTGCAGAGCTGAGCTTCTGGTCCTGGGTAGAGGAAAACAACCCTCCGTTTGTAGCCAATTGTGTTGTCCCGGATGGAAACTTTGGTCGTGGGCTGAACGGCTCGAGTTCGACAAACGAACTTCTCAAAACAGTCCTCACTGGTGAATGGGAGGCCGTTCCCATGCCTCTAGGTATGTATTTCTTCTTTTCCTAATGTGACTTTTTGGAGCACTGTGAATGCTGATTCTATAATTGTTAGCCTTCTTGATCGATGTCGAGGATACAGCCCGGCTTCTGGTTGCTGCAATGGCGAAGTCTTCAATCGATAAGGAGCGCGTATTTGCCTATCATGATCGCTGCACTTGGAACGATCTTCGTCAACAAGTCCGAAAAATTACACCGGACCTCGTGAAGGGCGAGGACCAGAAGCTTGAGGGGAAATATCTTGCCGAAGCGGACGATGCTATCCAAAGAGCAGAGAAGATCCTCCAAGACATCGGGCAACCAGGCTTTGTTAGCGTAGAGGTTATGTTGAGGAACTTCCTCGACACTTGCTACTAGCTAGACTCAGACTCCTAAGATTTAATTTACTTCCTATTATACTTATATAATATAGTACTAGTTCGGATAATCTTAATAATAGTAATAGTAATTAATTTATCTATATTATATTTTAAAGTATAAAAATATAATAATATTAGAACTTCTAAATAAATATAGTATAATAATTAAATATATTTATAAATTTTACCTTGTTACCTAAAACCTCTATATTTTATAAGGCCTGGAAAACCTAAATACCCTGTACCTTAGAACCAAATTACTCCCCTGTTTACCCTATACCTCTGTAATAATTCCTTATCTCTTTCCTATTAGGGAGGTTTTAGCCCCGAAGAAGGTTTCCTCGAGATAAGGGAGAAAGCAAATGTTCTAAAAATAATCCCTGTTAATAGCCTGATATCTAGATAAGATTAGATTTATAGGAATATAAGAATATTTATTATTTATATTTATAGATTTAATAATAAACTCCTAATAGATATTTTATTTTATAATTGTATTAATAAAAATTTAAATAAGTTATATAAAGATAGTTAGTAGGTAATATAAATACTTTAAAATTATAATACTAGTAATAATAGTATTCTAAAAATCTAAAAATCTACTTATAATCCTGACTTAAAAGTAACTCTTTAAAATAAAGAGTGTTATGATATCCTAAGAGCAGAGCGGTTAAGTATAACTCCTATAGCTAGACCGCAATATCAAGTAGATCGTTTTTAATAATTAATAGAGCAGCATGAATCCTATACAGCCTTATTATTTGTTGCAATATCCGAGATCTTATTCATATGAAATTTATTCGAACTTTAGGATCTTATGCTCTCTGGGATCTGCGCCTAATAAGGGGGAAAATAAGAAATTTTTAGCTGCTCTACATTTTATCTTCCATATGACAATGATTATAACAAACGAGACTACACCGATGGAGTTTCGAAATTCCCCATCTGCTGGGCGACAATTCATGCGCCACCTTGGAGCAACGCCCCTCCGACCTGTCACTAGATACCGCTTAGGCGGCTACCAGTTCTGTAATTCTGGATTCATGTACTTCTAGCGCTTGCTTAAGCTGATTGTTTGATGCTGTCTCGTCCTACTCTGGCGACCATGAACAGGCGCAATAAGCTCCGTCGCAAATACAATACACCACCTTCGGTCTGTGAACCAACCTTGATCTCGGCTCGCCAAGTATCGCAAATTGCCGGACAGTTAGGATTTCTTGTGGACACTTCAATCAACCAGCCTCAATAATAAAAACACCGCGGTTGGCCGAATTGGCGTCAGTCAATCAGTCGGGACAGCCTCATTCGGTTAACTTTGTGCTTTTGATGAACGGGCCAAGGCAGGGATCTCAAACGTGTATAACCCGTCTACGGATAAGATCGGCACTTAGTTCAAGTCCAGCATGGACACTAATAGCTCTCGTACCGAAGTACGAGATCTGGGCTTCTGCGTTTCTAGGATGTAAAACGAGAACGTCACTGTCTCGCCAGGGGAACCGCCAGTGGAACCGTGATAATGATGAGCCAAAGAATAACTACTTAAACCCGAGCTACCTTCCCGAATAACTGTAGCATTTTGTCATGACTTCGTTACAGCATCCAAGACATTCTCTCCATGATGTTTTTCACCTGTATCCTACTCGTCGTGCCGATGGCCCTAGTGCCACTGATCGCAGCTACATCTGGATGTCGCTGTGGTGATGCTGCGTTTTTGGCTATCCCTCGTGTCAATCTCTCTCAGGCAGCGCCGCTATGGCCATGCGCGGCCCATAGTAAGTGCACGCTCTGCCCGAGTACCTAATCAGAGGAATGAGACTTACACTCATATCCCTAGAACTGATTGATGCCAGAGGCTCGGGGGAGCCTCAGGGTGTGTCTTTAATGTTCCAGGATGTCCTCGAGCGTCTGTTAGCCAACAATACAGGTGCAGTCAGCCAGAGTGTCGTCTACCCGGCCGGATTTGACCAGAACGTTACTTCCGGGGTCCAGAACACCAAAGATATCATTACCTATGGTCTTCGGGACTGCCCGCGCCAGAAATACCACCTCTTGGGGTACTCCCAGGGTGCAACTGTGGTTCAAGAAGCGCTTGGAAAACTAGACAACGAGTCGATGGCCGCGGTTGGTAGTATTGTCTTGGTCGGCAACCCGTATCGTATTCCCGGACGGCTCTCTAATCTCGATGCTTACGGGAATCCTGATAATCGTACTGCATACGGTCTTTTCGCTACACAGGCCCTTAAGTCGAACGTTACTATCCCAACGTACAACGAGAGCGTTGACCGTAGCGCCAAGGTTGCCGACGTTTGCCTTCAGGTAGTGGTGGCCGTTCCCGACTTAGGTGACTGTACTCTTGTGACTGATCATCTCTAGAACGATATCGTGTGTGCCGTCGATTCCGAATGCACTTGCCAACTTGCCAGCGATCATCTATCTTATGGTCTCATGAAATCCGTGCAAGATTTAATTTTCAACCACGTTGTATTACATTTCTAAAAGGGTGGTTTGAACATCTACATCTAACACGTGTCAATATACCATCAACAAGGCACCATGCATCCGCAGTTCTAAAGGCGCAATACTTCCTCAGATTACCACGCGCCGGATCTGCTCTAGAGTAGGATATCTTTCTTTTGGGCTGGGTTATTTGGCCACCTACTTCCTTTGAATTAGCCACCCTCTTTTACCCTTTTCTATCTCTTTATTTTAAAAAGTTTAAAACTATTCTAGAAAAAGATATATAAATTTAGTTTTTATTTATTCTTTAAATTTAATTCTAAATCTATAATAAAGAATTTTCTCTAGCTATATTTCTATAATTATTTTTAAAGAAAAAGAGTTCTAAAATAGTAATATTTTATCTTAGTAGAAAAAGAATAAACTATATATCTTTATAGGGGACTTTATAGAAAGGGGGGTAGCTATTTTTAAAGAAAGTGGGTGGCCAAATAACCGCACTCTTTTCTTTAGTCGTTTGTATATAATGCTTAACCGCTAGATTCATAACCATTCTTATGCTGGCATCAGACCCTGCTGAAGTGAAACCTGCCGGCACCGATCCTTTGTAAGGGTTGCGGGGTATTTTCAATTTTCTAGCTCTTTGTTTCGATGTGACTCTGCATCTCGACATGCATGGAGGATTGCACTCATGGACTTGGTTTCTCCAGAAATGTTAGGTCGGTATTCTCACCGTTGTCATCCTGATGGGCATCTTTCCGACATGGAAGAAGCGCTTCACATGCCTGAAGACTTTGGACCCATAGTCCTTCGCAGACCATGCTTAAATCTAGTTTCTTCAGGGTTTACTCAGACACCGCTCTTTAACTATACCACAGTAAATTGTATGAGAGGGTCTCTTTTAGGTCCTAACCAACCATCTCCGGGCTTTTGATTCTTTTGGGGTTGGAAGGTCGTTGCCCGTCATCTGGCCTCTCTGTGTATCCGCAACGCCCCACTTGGCCTCAAACACATCTCGTACCGACTCGTACCGACTTGTTCCCATAATTCAATACCAGATGGGTCTAGTGGAGTACTGTATTTCGGCCTTTCTCTGTTTCTGGCCTTCTCTCAGTTTCCCTCTTCTTCCCTCCTCTATCGGATCAAGCGCACAACCTGAGAAGGCAGCGAGCCAAGATACAGCCTGATTTGGAAGCCCAAAAAAAGTGCCTAGGCTACCTAATAAAAGGTGGGCTGGACATGCCATGGTACGAAGACCGCATCTCAAGGTTAGGACAGGGTGCTTGACATGCAAACGGAGAAGGGTCAAGGTGAGATATATGCTCTTCAATATCAGACTTGATGATGATCTTGCTAACATGAAGTATTCCCTGCGTATCAGTGTGATGAAAGCAGACCGAAATGCGGCCAGTGTTTGGTCTACGAATCTGACTGCCATTACGGCATGGCCGCTTCGCGTAAGCCGGTCCATTCGCCAGCCAACCTGACGACGCAAAGTACGGATAGCCTCTTACAAAGCGATCATTCCCTTATCATTGGCGCTTTCGGCGTTAAGCACATGAAGCTCTTGCACCACTTTACCATATTCACTGCGAGCACTCTATCGAACAACTCCAAAGTGCAAGAGGTTTGGCGGATGACAGTCCCAAGGCTTTCGTTTTCTACCCATTTTGTACTATACGCCATTCTCGCGCTCGCCTCACTTCACCTGGCATATTTAGAAGAAGACCAAGCGCAGCACCATTGGTCACGTGGTATCGAATTGTTCCAGAAGGCACTCGACGGGGCGAAGCCAGCCATGCAGCATATCACGGAGGATAACTGCACATCGCTGTACCTATTTTCCATGCTAACCTGTTACTTCGTTCTAGCAAGGGGCTACGAGTACATCCCTGGCGTCGACGAGGGAGAAGGCGGCGTTCTCGGCTGGATCTTCCTGTTTCAAGGAACAAAAACACTCTTGACGGCTCCCTACCCAACAATTTTGCGCTCCGGGCCACTCGGGGTTATGTTTGAAGTGGGGGAGCAGCGTGCCCTCCTGCTAGACTCAACGCGGAGGATAGAATGTGAGGCACTCGGGATGTTACGAGAGGCGCTTCAGAGAGAAGTCTCGGACGTGCAGGAGATGGAGGTATATGCCGAGGCGGTACGCCATCTCCAACTATCCTACAACATCGTTTATGAACAGCCCCGTGGACTATACGAGGGCACAGACGTCTTTATCTGGCTCTTCAGAACACCTCCTGAGTATTTCAACCTCCTGAAAAGGAGGCGGCCCGCCTCGCTAGCCATCTTCCTCTGTTTTGCGGCGCTTATCCGCCAATTACATGATACCTGGTGGGCTAGAGATTGGGGCGAGGGGATAATAAAAAGTATGACCTGCAGTCCGGGGGAGAGCCACAGATGGCTTTTGGAAGTCGTGCCGGGCCTCAATCCACAGCATGGCTGAAAAGGCAAACTCTTACGTAGACTTCTAAATCCACTCTTATTGACGAACAGCGCGAGTTATCTATAAGCGGTGAGAGATAGTAGCTTGTTGTCGAGAGACCCCTAGTCTAGCCTATGATCTGGAATAAGGTGCTAATATGAGTTATGCAAATGTTCATTTAAATAGATTCATCAAGTTGCCCTAGCTATCATTAGCCTTACCACTGGGAACAGAATGTGGTAGAAGAAGATACCATTTATTTGCTAGTCCATGGCTGGTGTAATTAATAGCTTGCATATATTCACATTACCGACGTATTCTGTACGTAGAAATTTTACATTCAATAGTCGCTCGTCTAAAGTATCTCCTAGCATTTATAATCGCTATGTTAAAGGAAATGTTATTCAGCTCACTCTAAAGGCCTGTGCCGTCCTAGCAGTTTGTCATACTCAGTCTCGAGTTACGGAACTGTCGGGAGTTGCTGGCTCCGCACTTTGATAGCATCATAGGACCATGGAACGAAGAAAAATAAGCCCCACCATATTTGCCTCAAGCTTGTGAAGATAAATTGGCTGTATTTCTGTTAGCCACAATGGTAACGTGAAACCTGAGCATAAGCGACTCAACCTTGGAGATGTTATTCGGCGAGACTCCAAGGCTGTATGCACCATATGCGCCTCACATCGGCTCGGCTGGAGGAACATCAGAACAATGTTACTGAGCGATTGGACACTGTCTTCATTGCGGCGTCGGCGGAAGAACAAACCTAGTTCGATAAACTCCGGAATGAAGCCAAGACGCTGCGGCACTACCTGGCGTTCTGTCTAGATGTTGATATAGACGTGGAGTTGCAGATCAGCAACATCGGAAATCATGCAGAAGGCGATAGCACGATCTAATTTTTAGTTTCGATAAATAACAAGCCAATCAACGGAAAGAACTGACGTCTTATAGTTACAACCGCTAATTCATTTGGAGGAGGGGGTACGAATAGGATTAGCTGTGTTATATCAACTGAGACTCCTCGCTTTGGTCTTCAGTATAATTCAAACCATAATCGATCGCGAGCCCAAGACCAATGATGCCGCCAGTCATCCAACAATTGTTGCAAAACCACCACCAAATATTCTCCGAATTCTTAAGCTTAACGCGTGTGATCATAGCACCAAGTGTCAGCATCGCTCCTCCACAGCTGGTAATATAGAACGTTATGCCCGCTCCGGAGGCAACTCCAGCCCCAGCCAGCAGTCCCACCATGCCAGCTGCCAATCCTGTCAAAATGTACTTCGTCTTTGCCTCATGCTTTAGGGCAATGCTCTTGATACCAGCTCCTGCATCATCGTTAATATCTAAGTGTGCGTAGACCATATCATAAAGAATTGTCCACACAACACTAGCGGCATAAAGACATCCGGCTGTCGTAAGTATTGTAAGATCCGACATTATATCGAGGCCAAGAGCAGGGAATCCCATCAGGCTACCCCATGAGAAAGTTAAGCCGAGGACAAATTGAGGATAATAAGTGATTCTCTTAGCTAGAGGGTAGCTCGCAACCAACAACAAGCTGGGTATCCCATACAGAACGCATGGTGAGGGAAATTGAAGGAGGATTCCCAGACCTGCGAGAAGACTGAAACCTGTGCACATCAAACCCTGAAATGGAGTGATCGCGCCTCTGGCCAAAGGCCGCAGTCGGGTCCGAGCCACATGAGGATCTAGGTTCCGATCCCAGAGGTCGTTGACGGCGCATCCAGCTCCTCGCATGACGATTGATCCGGACATGAACAAAAGGGATGTGCCAATAACAGAACCAGGCGATGTTATCGGAGTCGTCATGGACGCAGCCACCAGTGTCGAGAAGACGCATGGGAAAAAGAGGTAGTATATTCCAACAGGATTGTGTAATCGGAGGAGCTCAGCATAAGGAACCCATGGTGCGGGCAACTTGGAGAGGAGCTTGGTTTGAGGTGGGAGACAGGGTTGTTGATGCGGAGGCTTGTGGGCTCCTGTTCGCTTGGTTATGAAATGGGCGGCGGCATTGGATCGGGGGATGCGACACCATTGCCCTAACGTGTGTGGACTAACTGGCGGTACTGATCGGGTATTCCAGAAACGGCTTTTGTTGATATATGAATGTTGCCAGTTGACAAGGCCCGGAGATCCATAGGGCCTCATATTCACTATAGTTAGCTCTGGTATTAAATTGTGAGAATAATAATGCGTTAAAGTAGTATTGATAATTCGATTTAATTTGCAAAGAAAATCGTAGTTATTTAAATGACTATAGGCAGATAACGGGGTCCGATGGCGGATCGGGGTTGTTCCGCGATGCCCGAATTCTCCATTGTCAACAGAGTTGGAATCTACAGGGGAAAACTGAATCAACTACTTGGTGCCATCAGCCCAAGTTTAATGAAATGGGGGACATTTCCAAGGTATTAATCGCAGCCAGGGAAGAAGAGATCTCCTGGCCCGAGCTGACAGTCTGTGAAAGTAACGAGCGTATGCGAGTTGGACAACAGCATTTTCGCAGAGCTCCAAGACCATGTCGACAGCAGCTTAGAGAAGCGCGTCAATGAGATTCTAGCGGTGAAACTTAGTGGCTCGGTGAGGCTTGATGCCGGTAGGATCGCCCCGACATCGACGCTGTGCTTTAGCAAATTCCCGACATCCGGACCTCTACTGAAGATACACGCGGATCAAAAGTCCAAGGCACAAGGTAGCGACAGTGCTGCCTTGGATACGGAAGAGAGTTTGAGTACAAAGTTAAAAACAACAATAGAAGGCGCCAGACCCGACATCTCAACACAATGAATAGTTCTTTTAATTATTTCGGATGATATCGGTAGCCATCCTAATAACTAAAGACAAGCAGTTGATTACTGCATATCACAATTGCCTAACACTAAGACTCCCAAAGGATGACTTGAACAGGGAAGGTGTCGCCAACTGCAGCTCTTGTGCCTAAAGGGTGTTATTATACCGCAAGACACGTTGTGTAGAAGACTATACTCACTCATGTTCTGGTAGTCATCCCACATGATCTTGAAAGGATCCTGCCAGGACTCCTCGGTTGTATCTGTGCGAACTGCAACCCAGCCTCCAGGCATGTCCAAAGACACAAGCCAAGGCGAGGTCACTGTAAAAATATTGTAGTGGGAGGAGGTGTCATTATTGTTGTCTAAAACGGTGAGGACATTGTCCTTAAGACCTAGGACTTGATCACCCTCCACCCCATAGAGTTGGAAGGAAAAGTGGCCGGGATTATTCTCGTCCTCGATCAGGATGATTGGGAAGCCTTGGAAATCAATCCCAGAGTCGAAATCCCAATAAGTACCAGCGACTGTGCCATTAAGGGCGATTGGTCGAGCATTCACATCAGGAGCATCTCGGCTGCGTATGTCAGTTGAGTCCTTGGTATGTAACACGAACTAGAGTATGTCTCTTACTTCTGCACACTGAGAGTAGATGTGTAAGCTGAGATTCTAGTAGCCGCAAGGCCAGTGCAAATCAATCGCATGAATGCCTTCATTTTGGGAACTCAAGTGGAAACAAATAGCGTGTTTTAGATTGAAGAGTGATTGAAGAGCAATTCTGTGCTGAGAAAGAGCAAACTTTTGGACTTTATATAGAGAATCACTCTCTAGTGCCATACGTAGACTGAAATCGGATGCGGATAATATGAGCTAGAAACTGACAAGGTTGAAGTGAGTGTGCCAATCTTTGTACCTCCCCATCTAGGGTCCCGGGACCTATGATCGTGGAAACTATAGTCAACATGGATTTAGAGTTGGCTAATATCTGAGCGATCAATTGACATATTCCGGTTCAGGCATTTATGGATGGAGATTCAAAAGTCCCTCGGTTTAGAAAAAACGCCTCCCGGATTGTTCTCTCTCACACTGTAGTATACATTACTAAATAAAAATACGTCCCATGGTGTCAAAATTCATTCCCACTGTGCTGAAAATTTACCTCATTTGGCATACAGTGAACGTTGGAGTTTGATATGCGGTAATCGCAAAGTTAAATCAAGAGACGCATGGAAAACTAGGACTACAGTGATGGAGGCTAGGGGCTCCTTTCCTAACCTGTCGAGTTATTTATTCTTCTACTAGGGCTATTAAACCTGAATTCTTTAGAAAAAAGAGACAAGCTGAAACACCTGCTCACCAGGCGCCATGGACCGGCGACCACCCAACAGACGCATTGGCTTTTGTCTACACATCTTGCAATCGGGAGATAGCACCCAACCATTACGGCCCGTCTTCTCCATCCGACTTTTCTCATTATTGATCCGGGACTCTCGCAAATTGTGGTCCGCGAGCTGGTCATAAACAAAAGTTCTTAGCAAAATTAGCAAATAAACTCGTACGACAGTAAAGCATGAAGTCCAAAAGGTGGGAATTGCAACCCTGTGATAGGTTTTTTCACAATGCATTGCAACTAGGATGTAACTTCCAGCCATTGCGGCCCGTCTCCTCCATATCATTTCTTGTCATGATTGCTTCGGGAAATGATAGGCTACGAGATGTTTTAAGATGCATCAATAAACTCGTATAATTCGGAACGTGGGGGCATCCTTCGGGAGTGAGCTGTTGCATTGGATTTCAAATCAAATCACCTTATTGGACACAAAAATAATATCGATCCTACCTGCCGAATTAGTTCGGAGCAGAAGTCCAACCTCACTATCTTGGTCAGAGAGTAGTATTATTTATCAACAACTTCTAATATACCCAATTTTTCATGGTACAAGTTAAGAGCCATGAACGCAACTAATTGTACTCAAGTTTGTCACAGTGTTGTCACGCCTTGATTTCCTACTCAGATTTTGAGTCACAATCATTCTACTAGGTAGTTTGTTTAAGACGCGGTCTATTTCTAAACTTTTCGTATTCACTGCGTTGAGTTGGTCGGGCCCTGGCAGCTTCATTGTTATTAAAGTTTATCATTCGTTTTCTCCCACGCTTAAGACGCGGTCTACGCGAACACAGGTCAAAATGCTGATGCCTCTTCTCTCGCCTGCTGCCCTTATTGCTGCTCTCGCCACCACTGCTTTAGCCCATAGCAATATTGTTTGGTTCAAATCTGACGGTGTCACTAACCCGGGCCTCCTCTGGACTTACTGGATTGACTGCTATTACTACAACAAGCCTTACCCTGAACTGGCGGCCTGGTTCTGTAACGACAGCGATGGATTTGTGTCGCCAGACAGGTTCAATACCAGCGACATCATCTGTTGCCCGGACGCTGTACCAGCCTCTTTGATTGCCAGGGTAAAGGCAGGTGAAACCGTGACCTTCCATTATGAGACCACTACCGGCGGTGGATGACCCCATGAAGAAGGACCCATCTTCACTTATATCGCGAACTGCCATGGCAGTTGTATTACGGTCGATCATACTGAGTTGGAATGGGTTAATATCGATGCCGCCGGCTATGACATTGTGAGCAAGAAATGGGCATCGCAGAATCTTAGGGCGAACAATAGCAAATGGATTACTACTGTCCCTCCTTCTCTTGCGCCAGGTACACACCCATGATATATGCCAGCTTCGAAAATGAGGCTGATCAACGTTCAGAACTATGTATTTCGCCATGAATTCATCGCTTTGCCTCTGGCCAACCAACCGAATGGCGCTCAGGCCTACCCAAAGTGCCTCAATATTGAAATCACTGGCTCTGGTACCAAGACGCGTTCAGGAACATTAGGTACAGAGCTGTACAAGGTCAGCCGTTGGAGACTCGCAGCACTTTTCCCCACCTAAACCTCAACTCCAAGCGTCAACACATCCCATTGCATGGTCATACCCGGAAATTGGGTATCATAAATCAACAGTGCTAACTTCTTTGATAAAGGCCGATGACCCGGGCATTGCCTTCAATCCGTACGAACCTTTCACCAATTACCCCATGCCCGGCCCAGTCCTGTTTATTGGCTAGTGCGGTTTCTACTTTACCAGGCCTTTTGAGTTGTAGACCGGTTTTGCCACAAGAGTGAGAGACACTTTCTTTCTAGAAAGAAAAGAACAAAAACACATGGGAAATGTCTAAATAAGTACCTAGGATAGTCAGTTGTCTAGGCTCCAGGTGAGGAGCCTTATTCAACAGAATCCTATTTCTCAATCTTATTCAATCCAACTTATTCCCACCTACATGAGCTTATTTACTTGTCGTTGAATCATACGTGAAAGACACTACCAACATCTCCGAAGCCTAGTCGAATGTGCTGACCCTCAATCTGGTTGCTATTTGGGGAAAGACATAACTACTGCCTCTAAAATTCTACAATTTAGTTTTCATATACTATGCTTATCTAGATGCCGACCACGCTTCACAAGAAGATGAATAGCCATGTTTATTTTCTATCGAGATAGGGGGATGGCACTATCCGGGGTCTCACCTTGATAAGGACTTACCAAAAGTACCAGCCGGCTAATTGTATCTGCACCTGAGTAATTATCAGAATAATTATTTGAACAAGCGAAAGTGGGTGCATGAGGCACTTCCCTTCCCTCGCCGCCGGCCAGCGGAGCAAGGTCCGGCCCTGAGCCCGGAGGTGGGGTAGGGTTCGGGCCCGGAGCCCGGGGAGGATGACGGCCATCAATGAGGAATATGAATTCCATGACACACCACCAATTAGAATGTCTCTCCCTCAAATGGGCCCCATTAGAAAATTTCACCCCGGAGACAGATTGAAAAAGCCCCGAGAGGAAGGGAGGAAGCGGCCTAATGGGAGTGCTAGAATGTGTCAGTGCCTTTCCAATATAAATCCTCATACACCACCTTGTCATTTAAATTTTAGATCCAGGGGTCACTCTCAAATACACCCCACTGTTTCTTGCATACAAGACCGCCGACTTGTCTCCAGTGGTTTAATCACCGTTATGGCATACATTGTTACTCTTTTCACGGCTATCCTCCTCGTGGGCGCTCATGGCAGTATTGCCATAGGCCTGACACCGAGAGTTGCTGGGAGCAATGCTAGCCACGTCCAGACTTACCCTATACCCGAAGACGTACCCGTGGCGACTGATTTCGACCTCAAAGTGCGCTCACCAGGAGGCGAATGGGAGAAGATTGAAACCTATCGTCCCCTCCACAACGAGATTAATTTTACCACCGGTAGCACTGTTCAACATGCTTCATCCCTTGCCCTTTTCGACTTCAATGGCACTGTAGAGATCCAAGCCACTTACACGAAGGATCAAGTTTCTAATGCCATGGTCAGGCCGCAGTCCTTCGACATCCGCCCAACAAAGTCAGGCTCTACCTTGACCTTCACGCTGACCGAGCCTCGTGATGTTGTTCTTCAGGTGAATGGCAATGTCTTTGATACCCTTCACATCTTCACAAATCTTCCCGATACGGATGTTCCGTCCAAGGATGACAAGGGTGTCATCTACTACGGCCCTGGCTACCATAAACTGAGTTCGCCCATCGTTGTTGGATCTGGCGAGACTCTATACCTTGCTGGGGGAGCTGTTGTTTCTGCCCCCGACATTATGGTGACGAACTCAAGTGATGTCACGCTCCGCGGGCGGGGGGTTCTGTACAGCGAAAGGGGCAACGCTATGAATATTCGGTCGTCCAACAACGTTCTCGTTGAGGGCCTCGTGGGCATCAACTTCTTTCCACGGACCTTCGAGGCAAAGGATATTACGTTTCGCCGTTGGCGTGGCTTTAGTGCCGTACAATGGGGCGACGGCCTCGATTTGTACTCAAGCCGAAACGTTCTGATCGACTCGGTGTTTTTACGAAACTCCGATGACTGTATCGCCATTTACAACCATCGCGACGAATCATATGGCGATAGTGTAAATATCACAATTCAGAACTCAATTCTCTGGGCCGACGTGGCACATCCCATCAACGTGGGCACTCATGGAAATACTGAGGACCCCGAGACCGTGGACGGCGTGATTATTCGCAACATTGACATACTCGATCAACGCGAAAAGCAAATGCTTTACCAGGGAACTATCGCACTTAATGCCGGCGACAGTAATCTCATTCAGAATGTGCTCATCGAGGATGTACGAGTCGAGGACATCCGCCTGGGTCAATTGCTGAACTTTCGGGTCATGTATAATGAGAAGTGGAATACTTCACCTGGTCGAGGGATTCGTAACGTTCTAGTACGGAATCTCAGATACGACGGGAGAAACGCCGGTACCTCTATCTTTACAGGGTATGACGAGGAACGAACCATCAGCAACGTCACCTTTGAGAACCTTGTGGTCAATGGGCTGCCTATTTCCGATACAATGCAGAAACCGGGTTGGTACTTGACGACTGACTTTATTCCTTTGTATGCCAATGAGCACGTCAAGAACCTTACATTCAAATCGACATAATGTTGGCATGCTACCATGAAAACCAGGGAATTTATCTGAGTACTGTGTTGGAATTCTAGATGTCGACGATTGTAAACTGTATTTTACCACAGATAGCTAAATTGAATAAATACTCTGGCCTTTAACATCGAAAGCTCGGAGATAGGAACTTATTTCATTCTCTCCAGGCCCTCGGCTCCTTGTAGTAAAGACCTGGCGGGCATCTTGCGATCTTGAGGGCTCGTATCAAGACAAAGGTCAGGTTTGTGAATAAGAATGGGCGTGCTTTAGTTGGCTCAATGGCGGGCACTTGGAACGGTTGGACTGGTAGATTAGAGCTGCTAAGACGTGCACAATTTCCTGTACTCAATTTCACCCGAAGGTCAAACATATCCTTCCTTCACCTGTGGAATGGATACTGCGGTGGTAACCTCTCCGTATCTGTTGAGTTACAACGGCTGTTTGGGAAGAGGCAGGGGAGGGAGAGAGTCTTCTACTCCTTCTATATGTACTCTTGCTGGTTAACTAAACATTAACCTTTCTCATTCTGATACTCCCCCTCTGGGGAATCGGACCGCGTGGCGAACGGATGGCTGTAGACTGCCAGCATTGGCTGATGCTGCTACGCTCGCCTGTTCGGTAGCACATAAGCCGTAGCTTCAACTCCGGTAATAGGTGACAGATATGCTCTGTATTTGGCATGTAGAAGATAGACCGACCGGGTGGTTTCGGCGCCTCCATGAAGACTCCTCTTCTGCCCCTTTCCCCTGTTGCCAAGGCCCAAGTGCTTGCGACTGACTCTGTTAGCAACCAGAACCCCACGACGGCAGATCCCCAAAAGTACCATAGGCTACTTGTATCTACGCCCGAGTATCCATGTAACGGAGCTCACTTATTCCAGCGGGCAGGTAAACCAGCCCTGCCCAGGCATTCTGGTGTTTACTATCAATAGATCCCAACCCTACCGTCCAGCTCGTAAAAGGTAAACACAAGCTACCTGCGGGAGCCAAACGGTGCAATATGCAAGAAAGAAAACGATACAAGGGTCCCGAAATGAGGCATCGGCCCTAGCCAAGAAAACGACTGCCCTAGGCTTCAAGGCGATACAACAGCGTACCATGACCGAGCTGGTCATAGCCGCCGCTCGTGGTTCCGTAATCGCCACCTCCACCCTCAGCCCCATCGCCTTTCCCAACAACAAGGTCTCGATAAGCCTTTGTCCATGAGACATCGCGGCGTTTAATAGATCCATAATGAGCGACAAAGAGTTCTGCCATCGGCCTGATATTGCCACGACCACTGTCGCTGATCTTAGTCTGCGTCCCATGCACTGCATTGGTATAGGTGGTGAAGGGAACATCTTCGCCGACGTTGTACTTGGAAGCATATTCCATTCTGGTCAAAGTGGTCAGCACATGCCCGATTGTTGCCGGTTAACAAGCTATAAGGAGAAAATAAGAGTGAAGATGATAGAAAACAGAAAGAGGGTACTTACCCAGCAAGGATTCTATCGTCCAAATACCCAAAAAGGTCTTCTCCCTGGTTGAAGCCCTGCTGAGCGATGACACCTAGCAAAGCGAAGTCAAGGGTGGCATGGCCTTGGTCCCGACCAGCTTCCTGGTTCTGGCCTAGCTGCTTGCCAGTCTTTTCTTCGGTATGAAGGACCCAAATCGCCTTCTCGATGGCTCCATTTCCTGCACCATGCTTGAAGTAGTCCACCGCTTCATTCCAGATGGTATGATTATCAGCGAGAACACCGATACTCATCATGCTCGCGATGTTACAAAGATCCCAGTTTGCCCAGTAGTTCTCAATATGGGCGCCATTATGTGCCGTTAAGAACTGTTGATTCTTCGCATAAAACACGCGAATAAGCATGGACGCTGTTGCGTCAAGGCCCTTCCACCCAGTATAAGAGCGGAGAATCTCTGCCACGTTCGCAAATTGATATCCGTAGATACCTGCGGCCAAGAACTTATCCGAGCTACCCCAAATGTCCGTGAGACTCTCGGCCCAGCCATCGAGGATTCGGGCAGCAGCACCCGCAAATGTTGAATCATCGGTGACTATCCAACGGATGGCAAGAGCGTATGCCGACGCGAGATCTCGGTAGAGGAGGGCATAATTCTCTGGCCGCTCTGGAGTCTTGCCTCTGACTAGAATGTCCTGAGGGCTTGGCTTATAGTCGGGATTCGCACGTTGCACGACCTTTCCCCAGCCGACTGACCAGGGCGCCTTACCAGAATCCACCAGCTTCTTAACACGCTGGAAGTCAGCCTCGGTATGCAAAAGTCCTGGATGGGTGAATGCATCAGAGGCCGTCGGTGTGGTGGAAAGCCCTGCCAAGGCGCAACCGGCAAGGCCAATAAAGGTCAACCAAGAAGGTTTCATAATGTCGGCGCAAATGAAGACAACGGAAGCAAGTCACAGAAATCAAAAATATGTCAATGGAAGGAATCGATAGGAGCGAAGGGAAAGAGGGCATAGTGATGCAATAGATGGGCCATAACAGCGAGGTCATCCACTCTTATATACGGTCAAGTCCTTCCATCCTGGCATGCCAGGGGCATGACACTCCCGTCATTCCTGTAACAGGCTAAGGGCAGGGCCATTCTCAAACGACGATCAATCAATCCCGGGCCAATCAGACGACTGCGCCTAAATTTGAAGGGTCAATTTTTCTTGGCTCGGTGCAAGTCCCGGCACCTACCGGCGCAGCTCCAGGCACATCTCCCGGCAGCAACACGAACTGGGGGCTACTCGATTCCGGACATTTTCCCGGCAATGACCAGGGATATCTGCTATCACTAAGAAGAAGAAATCACTTCGCACGTTAAGGAGGCAGCCCTTGCCAAGGCGGGTATTACAAAACTAGGAAAGAAAGCTGTATCCGCATACTTCGTAAACCGAACTCAGCTAAGAAACGACGGGAGTCGTGTTGAATGAGCCTATGAGGGGCTGCCTTGGCGGTCGTCATTTCAGAAAGGGCTGGGCAAAGCAAATCTGCTTCTGCGGTTGTTGCTTGTGTGGAGGACAAGTGAAAGGGGAGTTGAGAAGAGCTATTGATGTAGCAGGCTAATGCACTCGGGCGGTCTCAACACCGTACGAGACAATGGTAGAAAGGTGATAGGTAAATAAGGTAAGTAGAAGGGCTTCAAGCCGAACATGAAAAGGGAAAGTTTGTTTCTCTGTCCGTAAGGGCCATTACACCTTTCCCGCCAGATCGCGTGGTGATAGCCAGGCGCATCGTGTCTTATGTGGTAATTGCAAGCGAGCCAGGCGAAGCTTTCATGTAGAGCACACAGTGAGGATGCTAGTACGCCAGTTTTCAAAAGGTTTAGAAAAGGCCAGTTCCTACTCATTCATGTAGCTCAATTTAAGCCGATATCTTATGTATCCAGCTAATTTCCTTGGGCACTTCGACAGTCCAACAGGGAGTTGCGTCCACTGCTGTTGTGCCAACCAAAATGTCAAACTCCGTGTTAGCGTCCACCACCCACAGGCCCTTCTCTAGGTCAAAGACTCCGAATGGATATGCATCCATTTCAAGCTTTACCTCGATGCTCTCTCCAAGAACAAGAGAGTCTGACTTTTCAAAAGCACAAACTTGCTTCTTTGGCCTCTGTAGCCTGGTGATACCTTTGGGGGCCAGCCAGGCTATGATAGTCTGCCGTCCAGGCCCCGTGAATCCACCGAGATTGTCGACTCTCACAGTCAAGGTCAGACGTGTATCTCTGCGTAGTGTCGTCGTGCTGATGTCCATTGGAGTCAAAGCAAACTTGGTGTACGACATGCCGTAGCCGATGGGGAACAGTGGTGCTGTTTCCGTCATATCCCACCACCGGTACCCAACAAAAATTCCTTCGCTGTACTGAATGGTCTTTTGTTCACCCGAAAAGGATGGATAGGCAGGGCAGTCTGGCAATCGCTTAGGAAAGGTCACGGGGAGCCGGCCGGTGGCATCTTGGGAGCCAGTCAATATTGCGGCAGCGGCGTTGCCTAATTCCTGTCCTTGGTACCATGTATACAACACCCCTTGAACTCCATCAATCCATTTGGTCATCTCAACAGGTGTGCCCGCCTGAATTACGACGATGACCCGTTTGCATACATTGGAGACCTCCTGGATAAGCCGAACCTGTTGCCCCGGAAGTTCAAATGTCGGAATGTCCTGACCCTCTGTTTCCCACTCCTTGTCTCGGCCGACAACCACAACGGCTGCGTCACATTCTGCGGCAACGGCGGCCGCAGTTGATGGTAAATCTTCCGCATCTTGCTCTTCGTAACCAAACCTGATACCTTGGAACTTGTCTTCCATGGGAAGCATGAGAGCTTCGTACTCAGGGTGCAGTTGTCGGTCATGGGAATGATAGTCGATCTGTACTTCATAGTCCTGTCCTTGCACGAGATTTAACGAGAACTTGTCTTCAGTGCTTCCATACTGGAAGAAGAGCTCTGCTCGCTCATGGATTGACCCTGATTGGGATGAGACCACTTTACCGTCGATACTCATGGTAGATGGTCCGATGCTCGCTAACGATAGTTGATGCAGACCTGATGATAATGGCCTAAGAATTGTCCGAACTCGAAAAGAGTATCCTGTTTCAACTCCGATTTCGGGCGGTGTCGTCCCAAAACAGATATAATACAGATCATCGCTATTGATCCAATTAGTCCAACGAAATTTGTAATGGGTGATACACAGCATCGTAAAGCACTCACATGTGCGTCGTGGTAACGGGTTGCCCGCTCAAGTCGTGCCCGAGATGCCACTCGACGGCAGCTCCAGGAATTGCGGACACAGGATCCGTCAGAACATGTAAAGGCGCTGTAGGCAAATGTCGATGCACTTTTGCGCCAGTTGCAAATACAAACTCTGTCTCAGTACCTTTAAAGGCCTCCTTTAGCGAGTCGTAAACATTTGTCCAATACGGCGCATTGATGTACGAGCTGCCACCCCCACCAGCAACAACTCGCTTTGCATTGGGACCAAGGACAGCGATTCTACTAATTCTCTCCGACGGTCGGAGAGGGAGCGCTCCCACATCATTCTTAAGCATAACGATGCCTCCCGTTGCTGCGCGCAGCACAAGCTCGCGGGTTTGATCGTCATTTTGGCAGTATTCAGGCTCGTCCGGCGCATGTTCAAACCGACCTGTTCTTTGGAGAAGGCGCAAAACCCGCCCTGCCGATTTTTCAACCTGGTCAAGATCGATCCGACTTTCTGCCAAGGCACTCTCCAATAGTTGCTTGCTTCTTCTGAGCGGAGGTCCTGGGAATTCGAGGTCAAGACCAGCGTTGATTGCCTCAACGGTTGTGTTGGTGCCTCCCCAGTCGCTCATGACCACCCCTTGCCACCCCCATTCATTTCGGACTATGCCTTCGAGGAGTTCCCTAGACGAATCACAGTGCTTGCCATTAACCATATTGTAAGAACTCATCATACACCAAGGGTCAGCGTCGCGGACTACCATCTGGAATGGAAGGAGATAAATCTCTCGCAGAGCTCGCTCGGCGATGACTGCATTGTACTTAAAGCGGTCGGTTTCTTGGTCATTCGCTGCGATCGCTGGTAAGCACGCCAGAAAGCCAATTAAGTAGAGTTTCGACAATGACCTACCGACAAAATGTTTAGGAGTTGCTCCGATTCCCTTCGATTGGACCCCTTTGACATGTGCTGAGGCTAGTTTGCCTGTGAGAAAGGGGTCTTCACTGAAAGACTCAAAGTTGCGACCGCCCAGTGGATGGCGATGGATGCACATCGTGGGCGCCAGAATGACGGAAGCCGACTTTGTCTTGGTCTATAGTTGAGACGTGAGCATATTGTAATCAAACGACGCGAGCTGTTACTGCCAGCTTACTTGCTCTGCAATGGCCTGCCCAACCTCATACATGAGTTCGACGTCCCATGTAGCCCCCAAACTGACGCCGCTGGGAAAGAATGTGGCTGGGACGCTTTCCCCAAATATTTCACCACGGGCACCACTAGGGCCATCAGAAACCTAGAACGATGGACATCGTCAGAATCCAACAAGATGAAACACTTGATTGAGAAGTAAGCTTGGGCGATGTTCACCTTGAGCTTTGGCACGCCCAGCCTTGGAATTTGTGCCGTCCGCCATGTCGACTCCCCTGCCAGGAGAAGCAGCTTCTCCTGGAGAGTCATCCGAGCCAGCAGATTCTGAATGTTCTCAGCCATGTCGAGTGATTGTCGGTGGATCTGAAGCAACGTGTCTATATCCTTATTGAGCTGCTAGCAGAGGGACTCGATTCAAGGGACAGCACAGCGTTAAGCGGCACCCTAGCCGTCTCAAGCATCGCCTATTGTCGCCGGATATTTATAGGAATGCCACCAATGTACAATTCTGGACAACAGATTGCGGGGGAGAGTGTTATGAGAGGGTCGAGGAGTGGAGCGGCAGGCGGAATTCACATTCCTAATCCCCCCTCATGGGTGGATGTACCCCAGCAGCCCAGTTAGGCTTTTCATGCTCACTCAGAATCACCCGAAGAACCTAGGTTCCACCCCGGAATTTACAAGCCTACACTGTCTTTGCAGCCTGCATTGGTCTGGAAGGTGGAAAGTATATTCCTATCTGCTACTAAGTACCCATCCTTGGTAGACTCCGGGCGTAAGAATCGATGTGGACCAGCACCGGTATGTATGCTACCCAGGCGTCGACCGGCGAAATGCCCATAACTATACGGCATTTCATCTTAGATGGCTGGGCGCGCGGAAGCGTAAAATTGGTCGCCTCGAAGTTTCATAACCTATCAACAAGGACTATCATGGCAGATAGCCAAACCCCGTGTCTAGTAGCCAATGGGCCTTTTTCTAGCTCCCAACAGGCCATCGTGACGAAAGAGATGGGACTGGAGCTTAATCTCAGCTTAAGTTGCATCGAGATACCAGAGCCGACTGGAAATGAATCTTTGGTCAAGATTATTTGCACCGGCATCTGCCGAAGCGTAGCTATGCCCCCATCTTGCGCCTAATTACTCCTGCTTTCAGCCAGTAGCAGTCCATGCTGACACTGACTTTTAGGATATCTGCTTCTCCATTGGCCCTGAAGATGGTTACCCAACGCATAACCACATCGCTGGCCATGAAGGCATAGGTCGGGTTGTGAAATCAAGCGATTCTACCCTGGTTGGAAAACTCGTTGCGACACGGTTCTTGGCAAGCTCGTGTGGATGCTGCACCTACTGCCTTAGGAATCTAGAGACGTCTTGCGTTAACCAGTACAACATCCCTAAACACAGAAACGGCACGCTGCAACAATTCATGGCGGTTCCAACATCGTACCTCATGGAACTGCATGGCCTCCCCGAAATTGACAAGGATTTGTCAAAGTACTGTGCGGCGCTGTGCTCCGGCTCCGCCGCACTAAGAGCTATTCGCAATGCAAACACAAGCCCGGGAGACGTCGTTGTGGTGGTGGGCATACTTGGTGGCATCGGACATCTGGTTGGCATGTTGGCGAAACAAGTGTTTGCCTTGAAAGTAATTGGTGTTGATTTGAAGTCGAAGATTGATGTATTCCCTGCCAAACACACCGTTATGGCTTGCGATGTACTTCTACCAGCTGTAGAAGATCAAGATCCGACGGCTTTGGTGAAATTGCAAGACAAAATCGCTGTCTCATGTGCCAGGCTGAGGAACGACACTGGTACTCCACGAGCGGCCGATGCAGTGGTCGTTACCTCAAGCCGAATGTCAGGCTTTCAGAGGCTAGAGAATTTCGTCTGTGATGGAGGATCAATAGTCTGCGTGGGGTAGGTCGTTCGCCCCCTATGATCATATTATATGAGTCTTGTGAGAAAGAGCTCGTTACTAATGAACGACAGTGTTCCCCGTGAGAGCAATACGCTGTCTATTCCTTTACCATCTCTTGTCGAACGGAGCTTGCGAATCGTAGGAAGCTTGATGGGTGGTCGTCGGGACGCATTGGAGATGATACACTACATCAAAAGCGGCCAGATTGACCCGATCATAACTAAAATTGAGCTGGATCAAGTCCCGTTGTATATGGCAAAGATTCGAGATGCCGAGATTATTGGTAAAGTGGTGGTCCAAATGCCAGTACGTGGCTGATTATTCTGTCTTAACAATGAGCTGGTAGCCCTGGGTAGGCATAATTGAACACCTCCAAATCCGATTCCTTTAAAGTATTTCCCTATAGTATTAGGCATTCGCTACTTTATTCTTCCCTTAGCCGGCTCGTGTTATCTACTTTATCAAGCTAAGAGCAATATATGGACAAATTATTCCCCACTACCTTCATAAATATCACTGCCACGACATAGACGACGGGTACGGATGGGATGCCTCCTGATCGATATCGAGGGGTAGGTCAAATAGTCCCATACCTTCGATATTCCCCCACTCGGTATCAATCGTTGAGAGCCATGTCAACCAACTCAAATCCTCACCTGAAGGATTTCCAACTACATTGGGATCGGGGTTGTCTGCCCAATCGAGTGAGGATTTGTCGTTCAGTAAACCCGATACTGGAACTTGTGGGTTAGCGTTGGGAACCTCGATACCTCTATCCTTGATCAAATTCCTGAGGCTCTCATAGTATCTGCGTGCTGGTGTCCAAGATGTCGACAATTCGCCTAGCGTTTGCAGACATGCCCCGATACGCTCAAGAGTACCACAAGCTGTGTTGGTGCTATTGCTTGTCTTGGAACATGAACTCAACAAGGCCAGGGCGGCTGACAGGTTCGAATGGGTAGGCGTGATTGGACTGAGACGAAAGCTGCCAAACACTTCGCGGTACTGGTCTGACAGAACGCTCACCTCACGAGCAGCGCCTATGTAGAGCGCAATCGCTGTCTTGGTAAAGCCATTACTAGACTGCCCTGGCTTTGGTGGCTCTTCTTCACATTCTGGGTGTCTGTATATGAAAGGCTTTGCAAGCAGTATAACTGAGGTATGGTAAACCATTTGCAAGGCGACAACTTGGGGAAGAACCCCCTTTCGAGTAGCAGCCTTGTGAAACTTGAACTCTTCGGACAGCTCATAGAACCAACTTCTAAGAGACAGTTTACAAGTTTCAAATATAGCATGCTTTTGGTCTTCGGACGCCAGATTCTTTGGTGCATATCTAAAACAATTATTAGGTAGATGTTCGTTCTGTCACAACCTCTTAATGGACTTACAACTTGATGAATATTTCCTCGAGAATTTTGCATAAGGAAATGAGGGAGTTATGAAAGGATACTAAGCGACGCTTCTCAGCCAGGCCTTCCGAGTCATTATCAATACTCGCCGGCGACTCAGTAGGGGGCGAAGGCAAATTCACAGCGCCCTGAATGTCCTTTGATCACGAGTCAGCACCTCTTATCACTGGAGTATATGCAGTTGAAGAGTGTGAACTCACCAACATCATGCAGACACGGCCAGTATAGCCAGATGCCAGTTTATCAACGCAATATAATGACCAATATATTTGCCTTCTCAACTCAGCTTCTTCTGCAGTTAGGCGTAGAGAGTTTGGAAGTGCACTGGGGTCAATATTCAGACCCAAATCATAGAGCAGGCGATTAGCCATACCATGGTACATCCATCCCGTGGCATCTTGGCCCATTGCCTGTCGACTTTGTAAGCAAACACCTTGGTACATATGAAGGATATGGAATATACTCACAATACAGACTGTTCCCAGCACTGTCAATGCCTGTAGAGTAGTTATACCGGGGTGTCTCAACTCATCATAAAGTAAGACCTCAGCCTTATCCTTAAATGCCCGACCAGCCGAGTTGGAGTCAGTGATATCTGTACGAACATCGACACGATCGCTAAACCTGCTCCCGTTGGCAAGGATAGAGTTAAGCAGCAGGTCGCTGCAATACCGTCCCCCAGTTTTCCTACTCCATCGGAAAAGTGTCTCATCAACTACTTGCAGCCAGGGTTGTTCCCACCTAAAGTAGAGCTCAAGAAGGTGGTTTTCTAAGTCCTCTTCTGACTGAAGACTGGGTTCTATAGCTTGTATAGAGTGGCCAGAGGGCAACGCCGACGAAGGAGGGAGAGGCAATTCTTGTGCGAAGATTCAGCTGCTATGTCCACCATTCAATACCGAGTTTATACTGACCAATTTGGCGACAGAGGTCGTGACGGCCGCTTGTCGATCCAAAATATCTTGTTTCACCATTTCCATCGACGCTGAGCGGCTCATCATCAGTAAGAATCCCCTGTAAGGCGGGGCTCGGGTTTTCGGGCGAGGAAGAGCAACCGGCAGCCTCCACGTTTGAATCCGTACTTGTCTTTTGAGGCTGTGTGAAACGGGGGGATAAGTACGCAGCCGAAGATTCAATGTCGATTGAGTGAAACGACAGAATACGCTCGAGAAATTCAATTCGGGTCTGTAGTAAACGGACATATGACTTTTGCGCAGTCCCACGTCCATCGCTCTCAGTTGTGTATATGCACGCTATCTGGCGCGCGCCGCATCGTGAGCAGCTTGGCCTCTCTCCGCCACACTATATCGAGAGTGATAGGTATGTCAGTAACGAGAGGCAATGCGTGCAGCTGTTGATCACGGACCTTTGCTCGCCGCCGGCGACACTCCTGGCAGGCTTTTGGCGCATACTTTGTTCTGGTTCCGGGCCTTCCAGCCCGTATCGAGGATGCAGACAACGGGGCCGGTACGCCGCCATTACTTTGGGAAACCGAGTTGATCATCGCCAAGAGCGGGCCCTTGGGAGCCACCTGGGATGGGTCAAATCGGTCTCGTCAGAGGTTGCGCCCTCAGGCGGTCTGCGGCAGTGCAATCTACAGGGCACAGTCGATCTCCTAGCTTGACGAAGGCTGTCGGAGTGATGGTGTATGAAGAGGAATTCATATTCCTACCACGCGTTGTCGGACAACCCGACCTTCAGCTCTGACAAGACGCAGATTTTTGGCGTCGATTGCAGCGGAATCTAGATTCCGCACTGGGGCAAGTGTCCCACTAGCGGCGGAGAGATGCTTGCACTGCTTCCTTGTCGCTGCTCGCCTTTATGCTTTTGAGTTTAGGCAGTGTGGCCTTGAGTCTATGTGCTGTTGTAGGTGGACAACTTGCGGAATGATGTGAAAGCTCTGGCGCCTGGTATAAAAGACGCGGCTGTCAGAGCAAAAACATTCCATGATCTCAGGTCAAGCTCCATATCGTGCAACTTTTTTTTCTTTTGCACACTTACCATCACTTCACAAACATGTCTCATCTCAAGAATTACTCTTATCAGAAACAAGGAGTGTGGAACAGGGACAACTACCATTACGTCCAGGCGGTCCGACTGGGCGACGTCATCCATCTCGCTGGGCAAGGTACATCGCGCGCCTGTCTCTTGCCCCCCTATCAAGTTGGTTGCTGACACTGAATAGGAGGCTGGGACACCGACACTGGCGTCATTCACAAGGAAATTGGCAAGCAAATTGACCAGGCATTCGCCAATGTCGACTTTGCTATCAAGGACGCCGGGGGCAAGGGATGGGAGCAGGTCTTTCGCATCAACACATACCATACTGATCTGAGCGACGAGGTCCAGGAGCATGTAGTTCGCAACTTTCGCAAGTATATGCCTGTTCCTCATGCCACGTGGACTTGTGTAGAGATCAGGCGGCTAGGGGGCGGACCGGATATGCATATCGAAATTGAGGTTCAGGCTCATGACCCTGAGGGTGCTGCAAAGGCCAAGGCGACATAGATCATAATTAGTACCTCAATATGAAACGAGCCCAAAGGCCTCAAGTATCAGGCATTTCCATGTTCCATATCATATGTGTTTGGTAAAATCTATGAAAGTAAACGAATAACAGCAAGGCGGAAGCAGGCTGATGTCAAAAAATGCTAGGTGAGAGCATTTACGCCGTGCCACGTTGAAACAAACGCAAATTCTCTTCCCCTATCCCGCATATACTCCACAACTATTCTTTGACCTTCAGTATGAGAAACGAAATTCTACTTGAATAGTTATAAGAAATAATAACATATCTACGACGATGGGTGGGAAGAGGCAAGGCCGATTTACTTCTCCACTGTAAAAAGAGATGTAGTGTGTGTGAGACGCAATCTACTTTCCGCCATTGAGGAGATCTAGAAGGTTTTAGGCTGCCAATGATGTTATTAGCTATGGTATACGGGGCCGGACGCATCCATGTGAATCTGAGGGATTTGCATTCCGCCCTCCCCGCGAACTATACGGGGTGGCCGGGCCCATCAGCTCTCCTCATTACGGCAAGATTACAAGTGACTGAGCTTTTTTTTTTTCCGCATTGAACAATCCAAAAACCTCCCAAAGTGCTTATTTTATAACCTAGCCAGACGAAAACGCGGTTTACTCATTATCTCAGGTTTTGTGGTGGCTCCGAAGTTCGCCACTTTAGTTCTTGACCTTTACATTCACTGAGAAACGTTCAATTTATATTTGGCTCAACGACGATCAAGATTAGGTTTGAGATTGAGCAGTGAAGGCCTTTTTTTATCTTTGAAAGATGTTATTCTTCGTCGACAGTCCTGCCTGGTGGGCTCTCAGAAAACTCTTCGGCAAGAAGAGTTTCCCCCATCCTGAAGAGACAGAAGATGTGGTTAGACGTTTCGGGGAGTTCAAGCCAGAATGTCCACCCAGTGCGAGCCGTCATTGCCAACTTGACAGTTGCACCAATTGCCGAGATACTGCACCAAGTCTGCCGGATCCCATGTCAAGAGTGGACGTCGAGCAGCTTGGTGATACTGAAGCTACAACCGACTGCAACGCGGCCAAGCACGATGAAAAGAAGCGTGGTGCTCAGAGCTGTGAGTCATTGTGTATTGTGGACTGGTATGACGACAAAGATCCTAGCAATCCAATCAACTGGCCTTTCTGGAAGAAGACGCTGCTGAGCGTGACCATCAACTTTACAGCCTTTGTCGTATATATGTCATCGGCCATTTACACTCCAGCTCAGCCAGGCATACAAAATGAATTTCGTGTTTCCCCAACCATCTCTACACTTGGTCTCGGTGTTTTTATATTGGGATATGGCACAGGGCCCTTGTTCTGGTCACCATTATCGGAAATGCCTGCCATTGGTAGGAACATACCTTACGTCCTTACCATGGTTGTGTTTCTAGTGTTTACTGTCGCCGCTGCTCAATCTAATAGTTTCGGCATGCTCCTGGCATGTCGTTTCCTTCAGGGATTCTTCGGTTCACCAATTCTGTCGACAGGCGGTGCTTCCCTGAGTGATATAGTGAATCAGCACACCAAGCCATATTCGCTTTATACGTGGGCTGTTTCGTCTTTAGCAGGGCCTACAACGGGTACAATTATCGCCGGTTACACTGTTCCCAGCTTGGGATGGAGATGGAGTATGTGGGAGATTCTGATCACGAACAGTCCTGCGCTTATTCTTCTGGTAAGTCAAGCAACAGAAAACGGGCAAATGGCAATGTTCACCTGACTGATTGTGTAATTTGACAGCTTCTTCTTCCCGAGAGCTCACCTTCCACGATTCTCCACTGTCGAGCCAAAATGATACGGCAAGCAACAAACAAGGAGTGCTTTGTGACCCGGGCTGAAATCGAATTGGCCAATATTACAGTCTTTGACCGCTTCTATGCTTCTCTTGTCGTTCCCTGGCGAGTCAATCTGCTGGATCCAGCCATCATGTTTACAAGCCTATACACTGGCCTTGTTTATGCTATATTCTTCTCCATGTTTGAGTTTGCGCCCATGGTCTATGGAGAAGTTTACGGCATGGAGCCGGGCCAGATTGGATTAGTCCTCATCTGCAATATTATTGCAACATTAGGAGCAGCTGTTCCCTACCTCGGGTTCATTTACTGCGTGGTCAATCCCGCCATCCGTGCGGGCAAAGAAATTTCTCCTGAGCGGCGTCTGGTACCAGCTCTGTTTGCATCTATCTTGATACCGTCGGGCATCTTCATATTCGGCTGGACGTCCAGAGCATCGATCCACTGGATTGTCCCAACTATCGGCGCTACATTCGCGACTGCCGGCTTTGCTATGATTATACAAAGCATTTTTGTCTACATATCCATGGTCTACCCTCAGTACGCTGCGTCACTTTTCGGTGGTAATGGTTTTGTCAAGGCGATTGTAGCCTTTGGTGGGGTCTTGTGGTCCCACCCTCTGTATAACACACTGGGCCTGCCTATTGGTATGTCAGTCTTAGGCGCTATTTGTACTGTCTTTGTGTCTGGGATTTTCATCTTGTATGTATGGGGAGAAAGGCTGAGAAAGCGGAGCAGATTTACTTCATCGTAGAGATATCTTCTTAACAATAAAACTTGGAATGTCTTCCAGTCATTCCATAACTGGCCAAGAAATAAAAAGGGAATTTTCTGACCTCAAACTCTTCAAATAACTGGTTCGTAATTATACACACTTTGCATTGTGCTAAAACGTCGAGTCCACTGTTATACATTACTTGGTACCTGAACTCTTTCACCTGAGGTATTCAATAATCATACGTCTTTGTTCGATCTTCCATATCACCCCACTTGTCACGAGTGTGCTCGAGGGCCACATTGAACCTGTCAATAGCTGGGCTCTTGTGACAAATTTTGGTCGAGTTCCCTTCCCCTACATTTTCCGTCCATCGAAGATAATAGAGAACTCTGGCAAAATCCACAAATGAGGCTAATCTAGACCACGATAGCATAGCAATTGGGTTCACGCTAGTGCATTTCCCTATCACTGAATCATGCTAGCTTCGGAGTTGCGTTGCTACTGAGGGACAGGTATCTACATTCCGTCTCTCCACTCTAGTCGTCTTATCTATCTCCAGCTTTTCATTTCGCCAACCTCACTATCAGGAATTCATATTCCGCCTCGCCCCAACGTCCTCTACCCCAGGTCGACTGAGGTCTGGAGGTGACATCCCCGCATTCGAGGCTGTATTTCACCTAGTCTAGTGAAGTATCGTCACGATATCTGATAGCTTATCATCAGGGGTCAGCAGGTTGCACGCAAGTCCGTCAGGCTGATCGAGAGACATAAAACCTCGACGTCTTCTCCCCCAAATCTTGCCAAAAAGTTTTATTCAGCACTCGGCACTCTCATCAACGTATATATACTCAAACCTTCCTTATCCCTTAGTTATCAACACTACATATCATCAATCGCCAAAACAGAAATGGCGGCCGTTGCAGACACTAAAATGCTTGAACTGCAGCCCAAAGCCAGCGAGCAGGAAGCGAGCAAAATGTCAATCGCTGTCGACGAAGACGCAAACTCTTTGACCTGGACACAGCAATTTGGTGAGCTAAAGAAGTCATGGCACAGTGCCTGGGCTTGTTTCAGCTGCGCGTCCATCGCCATTCTGATCGGCTATGACCTCAACCTCATAGGCTCCATCATCGCCAACACTGAGTTTACTGAGAGTTTTGGAGAATACGACACAAGTCTTAGCGTCTGGACACTACCTGCCAACAGACAGCTGGCTTGGACGATCTGCCAATTCGTCTCGGCCATGCTTGGAGCGTTCACTGTTGGTATGATTAGTGACAAATGGGGCCGTAAGCTCTGCGGATTCATTACCGTTTTGTAAGTGAATGAAGGTTATCTTTGACTCAAACTCGACCATTTACCAACATTTTCCAGCCTTACTATTCTTGGTACGATCATTGAGCTTGTGGCACCCAATTGGGGCGTTTGGGCGCTTGCTAAGGTCATCTTTGGCCTGGCCATGGGCTTCATGCAGGGAAACACTCAGACCTACGTCTCCGAACTAGCTCCTCTCCGAATCCGAGGGTTCATGCTGTCTTTATTTCAGCTCTGGATTGTCTTTGGCAGTTTCCTCTCTGCCTGCGTCTTGGAGGGGACGTCGAACATTGAGGGGCCATGGTCTTGGAAGGCAGCAGTTGTTTCGCAGCTTGGCATTGGCGCCATCGTAGGATCCCTTTTCTTCTTCTTTGTTCCAGAGTCTCCATACTATCTGGCCAGTCGAGGCAAGACGACTGAGGCCAGGGATGTTCTCATCCGACTTCGCGGCAAAGAGGAAGGCTTCGATGCCGATGATGACCTACAAACAATCATCACCACCATTGATCATGAGAGGTCTAATGCAAACGAGAGTGTTTCATATCTCCAGTGCTTCAAGGGAGTCGATCGACGCCGGACACTTCTCGCTTGCTTGCCCATGGTTATGCAGCAGTTCGGAGGATTCCCCCTGTGCACAAACTACATGGCCTACTTCCTCAAGCAGTCCGGACTTGAGGATGCCTTCCTCATTACCGTCATTGCCAGCTTGCTCTCCATTGGTGCTGTCATGGCGTCCTTTGCTCTCATTGAAAAGGTCGGTAGGCGACCCCAACTTCTGGCCGGAATTGCCCTGATGATCCCCTGCCTATTGGCTATCACGATCCTAGGCTGGTACGGAGGGAATACCTATGCCGGTGGTAGAGCTCTAGCGGCCATCACAATTATCTGGAATATTCTGTATTTCGTGTCTTTGGGCGCAATCGGATGGACCATTGTCGGAGAAATCTCATCGACTCGACTGAGGGCCAAAACCACCTCCATCGCCACCATCACCAACGCCATCTGCAACCTCATTTGGGCCGTTGCTATCCCTTACCTTGTTAATGCAGAGGAGGCAAACCTCGGTCCGAAAGCAGGCGTCGTGTTCCTAGGCCCAGCCTTCATCTTGGCTATTGCCTCCTTTTTTGTTATACCCGAGACGAAGGGTAAGACTTTTGCCGAACTTGACTACTTGTTCGAAACCAGGACTCCGGCCCGCAAGTTCTCTCAAAGGGGATGAGGATAGATAAGGTTTAACCTACTTGGTATTCCGGTACAAGGTCACATTCTTGTAAGAAGGACAATTTTCCCATCTAGATCGACTAGGTAGAAACCAAAGTAGAAAACAAACAGGACTGCAGCATGCGATACAATACGCGTTACCAATCGACGTACACTTAATTCATCATGCACCTCTCTCACGTGAATAACCATGGCAGGATGACCCATACTCTTAGGAACAACCTAAGCTAGACATACGAACTCTATTCTGATAATTGTACAGCCCCTCTATTTGAATTTTTGTTGCTTCGCGAGCCGAACTTTCAGGGACAAGAAACCGATCTTAAAATGAGTATTTCAATGCTCGCATTGAGCCATTCTCTTTATTTGAGGCGAACATAGCGTCCAAAAACTCATGTCTTCTCACTGCATCCTCAAAACTGGGCACCTGTGCTCCTTCGGCATATTTCTTGTAAACCATGCCGACGTTCTGCGCCATAAGCGGAAGAGGCAGCTTCTCGTGCAAGGGAATAGTTTCTATCTCTCCAGTCTCGTAATCCTTAACCTGGATCTTGTAGTTATCCGCACCCATGTTGAACATGATCGTAGCTCCGGTGATGCGAATCTGGCCCTTGTCGCCAATTATATCCCATACCAAACCATTTCCTTTCTCAAATGCGTCTCCGCCGCGGAAGATGTAACTGTAATTGACATCTTCGCCGAGCATTCCATGAAGAGAGGCATAGTCGTCGGCTGTCTTCTCAACGTTTCTCTCGACGACATTGTCTCCATCAACAATATCCACGTGAGGCCACGTCACTTGCAGCTGCGCAGAAACGGTTCGAGGCTGGCCCAGCAGTGATGCAACAAACTCCATGGTCTGTCCGACGTAGATGCTCAGAGCGACCTGGCCCCTGGCCCCCTTGGCTTCCCTATCCTTGAAGTACAGAAACTTCCTGTCGATTTTATTGCCCGTCTCTGGACTTCCACCGCTACCAACAATGTGTGAGGCTAGCACGCGTCCGATTCTGCCACTTGCGAGGACTTGTTGCAAGGTTGAATGAACGTGGCCTGCGCGTGACTGAAGACTAATGATGGTCTGGACTCCCTTGGACTGGGCTAATTCGGCAAGCTCTCTGGATTCTTCGGTGGTTGCGCAGAGTGGCCATTCGACGTACACGTCTTTGCCACGCTCAATGGCCGGCTTGATGAGGTTATAGTGGGCGAAGACGACGACGACACAGACGATAAGGTCAACATTGTCCGAGTCGCACACGGACTCTACCGAGTCATATGCCTCGGCAGATTTGAGTTGGAACTTCTCAATGGCCTTTTTCCCACTTTCAATGGAAGTATTGCAGACTGCCGTGATGGTGTAGTCTGACGAGCTCTGGAGGTACGGCAAGTGAGATACAGGTGCCCAACCGCCTCCAGCCGAGAGGCCAATTATCCCAACACGGATTGGCGATTGTACAGACATGGTAGACTTAGAGTTTCAGACAACTGAGATTGAATATGACGATGAGCTTCTGCGCCCTCCCCATTTCATTCGTTTCTGATACTAACACATTAGATGCGTTTTATCTTTTCGGCGGCAACTTACGTCACGACAGACAATTTTTAATCTAGCAGCAGCGGAATCTATATTCCGCCGGGAGTAAACCCTTTTATTAGCAAAGATTTAGGTAAAAATCATAAGAGTAAGCAATGGCTTTGAGATGGTATTTTGTATTTAAAAATACTACATAAAAACCTAGGCCCAAGCCACTTAGTACCAAGCCTTTCTTTTCAGTTGGTTTCTCTTCTAACATTGAGGCTAATAAAATGGAAGAGTCACATTCTGACCTGTTCGGTTGTTTATTTGTCTAGCATCGCTGCAAGAACAAAGATGGCTGGTGCATAGACTACATACATTTGCAAAGGGCCAGCCAGCCGGAAAGAGAAGATGAATAAGCGGTAGTTTATCGAAGCAAACATATTGAAACCCCATTAACTATCTAAACCATATTTTACATGGTAAACTGAAAAGATTCTGAAAACAAGTTAAAGAAACAAACGATATAAAAGCAGAGATGGATTAAAGGTATTCATTGGGGCCGATGGAGCCTCCTGGTGGTTCCGACGTCGACTAGTGTAGAATAAAAGCGAGTAGCAGTACACGGTGATGCTAAACATGAAGAAAATAACACACCTTAATAACCAGCGCCCAAAGTATCATTGTTTTGCCAGTCGTCCACATCAAACACAAGCATAGACGAGGGGTTCATCATCCAGTCAGGCGTTTCTAATAGTTGACTGAGGGGAGATTGGCCACTAAAATCCATATCTGGTAGAAGAGACTGTCCCATAGAGCTGTGAGGAAGTTGGAACTGTGGACTAGAAGTAGTTGCGCTGGTAGTCACATACCGGTCCGACATGGTCTTCGAGTTGTAAGTGGTCTCAGCTTGGTTTTGACTACTTTGCTCTGGTATTATATACGATGATGCGCTAGAGTGATGTGACAGACGAGCCTGGATGAGCTGATAGAAGAAAGGATCGTGATAACCAGCTAAGATTTCAGCAATCCCCGTTATCGTGGTAAGAACCTCAGGTGCATTCAAGTCGTCCCGGTGTCTGGACATTTCCAGTGCAAATATGCCTTCAGGGATTAGCTCATGAAACATTGGCATCAAAGATGATGAATACTATACATGTAAAGGTCAGAGATAAAACTGTATAGTTGGTTGCCCATTTGAGATACCACCTATACGACTCTGATTCCAGGATTAATTGCAATTGTTTCAAGGCAATCGCCATTACAAAATCGACCGTATCAGACAAGGCACCGCTCGAGTCCCTCACAGCTCGTGATAATTGTCGATTGCCGCTTAATTTACTAATAGTAGCGCATCCGAGAAAGATTAAGGCGTAATTCTTTTGACCGCGCAGACTTGTTCTCTGAAATGAAGATATATCGTAGCCGTAATCTATTTAGCTTTAGTGGATCTTTCATTATTTTCAAAGCCAAGAGTCGAGCAACCTCTGTGGTGCGCATCCCAATTTTGAAGCCACTCTGCAAACTTGCTCTCCATGTGATGCAGTCGACGTATGCCAGTATCTTGCAGATCCCCCGCGGCAGTGATCTCGGACAAGAACTCATCTGTAAAAAGGTCAGCAGGGGTTATACTTGTGCTATATACATCACAGACCTCGAACTTGAACTGCCTCGACAAGAGATGCAAATCTCATATTGGGTGGATGAGCCAGCGATTGGTGAGTGAGATATGTCAAATCGGCAGCTGAAACTTTGGGTATTCTACAGGATCTAGCAGTTCCAATTGCAACTTCTCTCTCGATAAGACAGAGCGCGAGCCAGACTCTTGCGTTCCGCATCGTTCGGCGCTGCTGTCCAATATTTTCAGACACGCCGGGTTGGTTCAGGACCTGTTGATCGGACAAGAACTGGTCAAGCTTGAGATCCTGGGCCATCTGCAGAGCATGACCAATGGCGAACCAGGTGTTCTCGGCATAAATGACGAGGAGCATCATGCCCTGCACTGTACCAATGGTTGCCCGACAATCAAACAGAGTTCCTGCTACGAGAGCTTTGATTTCAGCCACGCATTGTTCACGCTGCAGCAGACCATCTATACAGCAAGCCAATGTAAGAATTACACCAAAGCAAAAAGGCTCACGAAGACGCAACGCCTCAAAGCTGTCAAGAATTGGATCAAAAATAGGTAGAAAATTCGTTGCGTTAGCTATGAACCTAAGGCGCGTCAGCAATGCTGCATTGTTAAGGATAGATCAATGCTCACGAGGTGAAGAGTTGTCTCGCCTGTTGGTCGTCGATTATGCCCTTAGATACCATATCTTTCTGCTGCACATTTCTCCCGAATAGACTGCCCGAAGGTTTCGCCCGTGGCTGATTGGCGCAGTAAGCTGTATCTGTAGAGGCTCTGGATGAATTATGCCTGGACTCTTCGCTCTGGCTCATATTGTGCATGGCAGAGACGGGAGCACGCAGGTCCTGGGATGTAAGTTCTGATGGCCGGGTCGTGGGCATGTGGTCGGTGTCTGGAAACAAGGGTTGAGGTGGAGGCACACTGTTAGATTGGGACGTATCTGAGTTGACTGCGGGATAAACACGGTGAATGGGACTTGTTGGGTCTGAGGGTGTCACATAGCTATAGTTCTATCAGCAATTTCCAACTCTGACTATGCAGAATTTCATGTCACCAACTTCCTTGAACGTGAATTGTGTCGCTTGCTGGGTATATCTCTTCTTCGAGAACCAATAATATCATACAGACATTTGACTCCATTGTCGTGGCAGCGTTGACAGGTGGAATTGTCTTTCCGCTCACACTTGAGCTTATGTTTCCGACATACGCGGCATGCTTTAAACCGTTTCTCGGAAATGGCGTTGGACTCAAACGTCGACTGGAAGTGAGACAGAGGCTCTAGTGATCCTCGAGGATTTGGGTGTTCACCATGCTCCTCCAATCCTACCAGCGATGGGGGAGGCATGGTATCACTAGCAGGATATCTGGTCTTGATACTCGATAAACGTCGAATTCAGGGAATGACAACGAGGATTTTTCGTTACTTGCGATGAGCTCATATGGAGATGGCGGGCAAGGAGGAATGTATTTTTAGCCCCGCGAATTCTGGGGCTTTGGTACAAAGATGCGGTGACAACAGACAGGTCGTACCTACAGTAGACCAATGACGAGACGTCTTTTTGACTTGAGCCCCAGTAGTAACACTTCATTTCCGGCTACATCCTCAGCCAATGCGAAGCAGGAATCACGGTTAGTGCTTACAGAAGCATCTCACCAATGCCGCTAAATTATACGTCTGCCAGGCTCCGTGTATGTATTGTTTCACTTTCTGTTCTGATAAGCTACAGTCTCTAATGATGATAGTGGGAGGGGAGCTTGGTGTGGCTGACAGCGTACGAGTCTTGGACTATGTGTAGGCAGACGCCCAAGGCGCGGCGGCGAACGTCGGTGAGGCGGTAGCTCAGTGTCGTGGCGACAAGAAGGGCGCGCAGCGAGACCGAGGCCCATTCTGAGCGCGGGAACAGCGACTCCGGGAGGTGCCTGGACACGCTGTCGTTCTTCGAGGCGCCGTCCTGGTCCAGGGAGAGCTGGCACATGATACCCATCCACATGAGCAGCTTCTCGCGCGTCACCTCAGGCTTCTCTCCCACGGCGTTGCCCATGAAGTGAAGAAATTGAAGGTCACCAAAGTGGGATCGCCGCGTCATGGTCCACGGCTCGCCGAAATTGAACTCCTTGAGCCAATCTACCCCCTTCCCCTCGTCTCGGTTGTTGTGCCGCCGGTCATTGAAGAAATGTCACTATTCGTTGATCATGCAGTGTTCCAGCTCAGCTCCCCACAGATTACGGGCTACAGGTGCGCATGTCTCAACATGGGGAGATGTCTCAGCATGCACGAGAACGCACAGCCAACCCAGTAGGCACGACGTGATCATGGCCAAGCCACTAATAGGACACAACGGGCCCTAACTGACGGCCCGACCACCGTGCACTGCGGTTCGGCGCGTCCGAGGCTTCAGCCTCCCCCGATCAGGCATACACCCCAACCCTTGAATAATCTGACCAAGGTGATTTACAAGGGGCCCCGGCCGATCGCAACGAGCCAGTTACAATATAAGGAGGGAATACAGTAGGCTATAAGAGATATATAGAAAAAGCTAGTTAACTAAGAAAATAATAAGATAATCTGACTAATTAAAGTACTAATTATATATATATATACCCTTTACTAGTAGTCCTAATATAAGTAAGGTATTTAGATATACTATATACTAATTTTAATAGGAACTCTTCTAATACTACTTTCTATATATTCCTAATAGTTTTATATAGCCTCTAGCCTATAGGCCTCTATAGATAATACTCTTAAATCTAATTCTTTATCTAACTCTATATATATTTAATAGGATTAAGATTAGAGCTATTAAAAGGCTAGAAAATAAATTAGATCTTACTAAAGAGCTTATAGATAGTCTCTTTAGTTTCCTAAGAGCTATATAAAAAAATATTATCTTACTAAAGTATATACTCTTAGTATTTAAATTAAAATTCCTTTATAAGAGAAAGAATTTATTAAGAATAAATAGTTAAATTAATATTTCTTTATCTCTTATCCTATATAAGAAAGATCCCTTTAATCTTTCTAATAAAGTAGATCTAGAATATCTATTTATTTATATATATATAAGTCTTTCTAAATTTATAGATATTCTTATCTAAAGATATAATAATTATATTAATAGAGGGGAATTTAGAATAATTTTATCTAATAAAAAGACTTACTAGAAAAAAGAGTTATATAATAATAGCTATCTATACTATTAATTTAGATCTTATTAAACTAAATCTAAATCTTTTATTCTTCTAATAATAAATACTTCTAGTTAAGAGTAAATTAAAGCCTTTTAATATAAGTTTCTATATTTAATTTAATCCTAACTAATTATAGCTATTATTAAGCTCTAAAGGATTTAAGAGTATTAGAAATAGCTCTAGGAGAGAAAGATTTAAGGAGGTTAAATAGTTTAACTTTAAGCTTTTTAACTATAAGGAAATACTTTAATTTCTAGGGTATTTAAATAATTAATTAAAATTATTATATTATCTTACTTAGAATAATATTATTATAGTTATAATTACCCTTCTATAGTTTATTAGTATAATATAATATATATTTAGTTTAGCTAAAAGATATTCTAAGTTTTAAAGTAATTAAAGAAAAAGATAAGTTTATAATATTATAGAGTACTTTAACCTATACTTATTAATTATAAGAAATAGATATAATCTCTATTTTTTTAAAATCTTATTCTCTAGCTTTTTCTTTATTAGTAATATTAATTTTAGATTTAATAGATATTAGGAAGAAAAGTAATTATTAAGTATATAATTAATATAACTCTTTTAGTATTATATAGATAGCTTTAAGATAGATCTAGAGCTTCTAATAGTTAGATTATACTAGTTAGAAGATAAAGTAATTATAAGAAAGGAAAATACTTACTACTAATCTATTACTATCCTATTAATAATAAAAAAAGTATTAAAATAATTATCTTTATTAGGTAATTTAGATATAATTAGAATTAGCTTACTAAGATTAGTATAGCTAATTAGAAGTACTATAAAAATTAAAGTATTTAATAGGAATTCTATAGGATTAGATAGTACTATAAGCCTAAGATTATAAATACTATCTATAAGGCTACTAGCTTTAAAAGATAGTAAATTAGGATTATTTATAATAATTAAGATCTAAAGGGATAAAATTATTTTTCTATTAAGATATTACTTAAAGCTATCTAGTAGGTCTATAGAATAATAGTTTATAATATTCTTATAGAAAGAGTATATAAAGTTACTATTTAGTATATTTACCTAAAGTTATACTATTATAAAGAATTTTAGTTAAAAAGTACCTACCTTAGAATATAGTAATAAAAGTATATAATAGAATTAAATATAGAAAACTTTATAATTTAACTATCTATCTAAGCTCTTAGGTTTAGAAAAGATATTTTATAATTAAATTTAGTATATATAATTACTCCTATAATTTTAAAAATTAAAAATCTATTATATTTTTAGTCTAATTAGAAAAATTATAGTTAGATATATTAAAAATATCCTATTTTAGGATTTATATAACTTATAATAATTATTAATAGGTATATACCTTAATATATCCGGGGTTTTCCCTACCGCCGAGGGCCCCTGTAAGTCACCGTGGTCAGATTATTCAGGGGTTGGGGTGTAGAGCTGTGGTTGGATGTGGCCTGAGTCCGCCCTTGTCGACGATCTCGATCCAAGAGATCATCTCTTCAGCTGGCCACACTCATCCTCATCCGGCCAGAGTTTGCCTGAGCTAGCTAAGATGAAGTTCCCGCTAGCGACAACCATCCTCAGCTGGCTATACCAATGGCTTTTAGGCTGCCTGTTCTGGTGCTCTCCTCGCAGAGAACTTTCTTAGCGTGTGACACAAACGACAGGAACGCACATCCTCTACGGCCTCGGTCTAGGCCCTTGAGGTTCTATTGGCGGACTATCGGCTGCCCGCAGTCATAGTCTTATCACTTGTGATGACAGCTCTTCATCCTTCTGAGTGGTTGTAGGTTACAACCGGTGGACAGGTGCGGCAACGTCGTCAGACACGCCGCCTCTGAATACGCAACAGCGTGTACTCGAGTGTTGGTATATAATCTGTTTTTTCAGACACCACGCTTAAATTGCCTAGAGACAAATATTCTAGGAACTTTACAGAAGGGAAGACACAGGACTTAGGTAGCAAGGGACTATCCTAGGATCACCTGAAGTCACTATATCGTAACTCATGCTTGTAACGCCGGAAAATGGATAAAAGAGGAGCTTTTAGGTTGAAAGGAAAAACGATCCATTCTATCAAATGAAATTAACTAAATGCATGCATATCTAGCCGGGATATCTATCGATTCAATGGATCTTCTGACCCCGCTTCTCTATTTTATGCTCTCCGCTTTCAGTGTTAGCAGAATGCTTAATTAATACGTCGCGGCGATATTCCCTAACTCACAGGCGAGGTAATTGGTCAAAGTGCTTCATCATTCCGGCGGAAAGATGCCTGTCTGAGACTGTTAGCGTACATCTACGTGCCCAGGACGGTCTGGAATGTGCTGACTGACGCCACCGTAATAACCCTCTTCCGCCTATAGCACCTGACCAGTTATTTTTTCGATAGTGTATGTATTTTGTCTAGCCTAGAAAGTCCTTAATCAATTGCCTCAAGGTACGCCTTGATACTTTCCATATCGCCTTCGACTTCAATATGAAACTTAGGTACCTGTCGGAACATGAAGCAGTATTCCTGATCGTTTCCAATCCAAAAAGTATTGTCTGCTTGGCTGGACGGTGAGTACAGTGCATGCATTCAAGGCAGAGAGCCTAAACAGTGAAGTTCAACTTAACCCGAAGAATGTGAAGGCTGAAAACAGCGAGTGATGCGGCTGAGTTGCGGCTGGACACAAGGTGGCGGCGAGCTGAAAGCTGAAGAGCTCCTATGTCTCAGATAAGCCACTACTTCTTACGGCTGAAAAGCCCGACAGCCTGATTTTTGATTTTGTTTCACATTTCGTCTTTGCTTTTGGCCGAAACTGTGCCACTGCTGTGTGTATTGTGTTCTAGATTGATTATTTTATTTACGTAAAGTCCTTCGAGCCACAATCGCTAAAAATCTCATGGCCAACAGCTTCTCATCTGGGCTTCTCTGACACGGCATCCTTCTTCATAATTTTTCAAGGCTTGACTATGGCTTCTCCGCCTCCTCCATCCAAAGCATGGGACCACCAGGTAGACGACCGTGTGAACCACATCGTCGAAAAGCTTGACCAAAACCCCGAATTCTCTGAGAAAAACGCACCCGGTCTTAAGGACCTCTTGTCGGACTTTGCATCCCCCGATGTGCTAGTCTCGGGTGTCGAGTTTCATCGGCGCCTTCTTCAAGTGTTCAAGGATTCAGAAACCGATGACACGTATTCGAGGACGCTGAGCCAGTATACACCCGAGGAGCAAGAGCAGATTAAAAAGTTTGCCGAGGGAGCCGATCCGAAAGACCTTGGTCAGAACTTCACCCTTGGGCCGAGCCTTGGCTGCCGGGAGGAGCTTGGAAAGCTCCAACAAGCAGATTCTATTGTTCAAATTACCCCCCACAGTGGTGTCGAGGATATCACTCCCACCCACCTATCAGTCACAACCTCGAGTCTCAGCGTGAGCTCGAGAAGCTTCAGGGTTGCCAGCACCAAGCCGGCTGCCGATGACTGGTTTGACAAGGCTGTCAAGAGTTTGGCGGAGTTTCTCGATGACGGCAAGCCCGATCAGCTAATCAAGGTATAGGAGTACCTCACAGCCCTGGAACAAATCTGAAGCTAACTTATTCTTAGGTGTATAAAAATGCCATTTTCCAGAACTGGGGACTGAATATTACCTACACCCCTGTCCTTACCTGCGTTCCCAGCTCGACTGAAGATATACAATCAATTGTTCAATTCGCTAAACTACGCAATATGAGCGTCAGGTGCTCAGGATATCGTCAGTCTACTGTAAGCTATCAATTTGGGCACCGGCTAATGTTTTGACGACAGGACACTCCTGGTCGCCAATCTTTGGTAAGAATGGTCAAATCCTGATCTCCATGCTTGATATAGCGACGGTCACGACACTGCCCAACATTGCAGCGCTCCCACTTCCAGAGTCGCCACCCAATAAGCTACAGGAGATTAGCTTTGTGTCCGGGGAGCCTCGCGTCCCCGGAAACAAACTTGTCCGCGTGGGTTGCGCAACAACCAACGAACGGCTGCGCCGGTGGTGTATTGAGCAAGGGACTGTGACTCTTCCTCTCAACGTTATCATGGTTGAGATCACACTTGGTGGCAGCAACGCACCGATCTGTCACGGTGCTGGCCGCCAGAACATGACGCTGAGTGACCTTGTCCGCAAGATTGAATACGTCGATGCGAACGGCGTGCCACGATCTGTTGAGAAACCCGAGCACCTGCGCGCTGCGAGTGGCTGTTTCGGCCTTATGGGAGTCGTCACATACATAACGATGGAGTTTGCGCCTATGAGCTATGCAGAGCTTGCTCCCCAGAAGATGCCCGTCATCCGGGCTGTACCTCCACCACCAGGTCTTGCTGAGGAGGACATTCCCCCTGCTCTTCTCAAGTACTGGAAGCCCTTATCTGCTGCCGAGAAGCAGAAGTGTCAGGCGGACTTCGAGAATCGGGCTACCAACGACTACTATGCTGAGTGGTTCTGGTTCCCATATTCCGACTATTCCTGGGTAAACACGTGGAACGCCACCAAGGATCCTAAAGGCGCAGTATCCTTCCCAGATAAGACCCATATTTTCATCTCGTTCCTTCAAACAGTTACGATGAACATTCTGCAAAACGCACCGCTAGCCAAGGACTTGATCCAACTTGCCGGCCTATCAGAAGCTTCAGTTACACTCATCTCAGCCGCCGCAATGAAAGCACTCCCGGAGAAGGCTGTCAAGACCTTTCTCCCGGATGCTTTGCACTTTCAGCGAGCAATCCAGAATGTCCGAGTGCGGGATATCGAGGTTGAGATGCCCCTCGTTGCAAAGAAAGGAGGCCCTGGGAATGCAATAGACTTTACTCCGGTTCAACAGGCTTGGTGGGATGCCATCCTTCTTACCTACAAGAATAGCGACAAGTGCCCTATGCGCATGCCTCTTGAAATGCGCATCATGGGTGGAAGCGACGTAATTATGGCGCCCCAACGCGGGAATTCTCTTGGTACATGCAGTATCGAGGTCCTGACTCTACATAGCGCGAAAAACATTTGGGAGCCATTCGCACAATCAGTCCTAGACAAGTGGATGGCACTCAAGGACCCCTCAACTGGCGAAAGGCTGAAGATACGCCCTCATTGGGCCAAGGAGTGGTACAACTACAATGTTGACGGCAAACCATGGATCGACCGACTCAAGTCTGTGGATTACAAGAACGAGAGACAGGAGTTTCTCCAGGTGCTTGCCGAGATTGGAAAAGATGCAAACTGGTCGTTGCAAGATCTGCAAGCCAGATTCTCTAATGAGGTTTTCGACAAATTCTTCTTCGATGAAACGGCATAGGCGGAAAGCGGAGAGAACGAAACAAATGGGATGAATGAGAAGGCTCGTTTAGTTTGATAGGTGAAGAAGGGGTCCTTGGTAAAACTTAGCTAGTCTCAGTTTCGGAGTTCAATCATCAATATCAGCTAATACTGTACGACGTGTTAGCAATATACAGATTTTCGCGTTTCAGAGTTGCTTAAGAATATCGGGCAAGAAACATCGGCACTATAAGACTAGTTAAAGTGAACTCTTACTGCGCTACTAACTCCTCGAGTGTGAATTGCCTGATGCCATCATACCATGGCCATTCCTCTCTTTTCTCCCATCTATCCAATCGCACAACTATGGGCCCTACGAATTAGTGAATAAACTCGATGAACCCGGCGAAGTCGAGCACGTTAATACAACTAATGTACCTAGACGTGTTCGGGTTGACCTACTCCATAAGCTTTTCACGCCATAGATATGTGCAAAGCCATGTATTGCCGAATCGAGTAATTTCGTAATCACTAGCTTACTTCCGAGGCATCAACCAAAACAAGGGTGAAGAAATCAAGCCATTCTGTCAAGCGGGTCCGCTTTCAACATTTGTTTCTGTTGGTAAATCTTGATGTAGAACAGACTTGTCACTCCGGCTAGGTTTCAAAAAGAAAACATGAATAATAAAAGCCGGATAATCGTGCCCGTTGAGGTCAATAATGTACCTAAGTCATGGAGCTTTCAAATCTCTACCTCTTACCTTCCAGTGCTCATTGAGATGTTGTCGTGTCAGCTCACTGGTGTCCTCGTGTGGCTGACCAAGCGGCATTGCAAGGGCCTCAAAATCATCCCACCCGCCCCTCCGGCCGGCCCGTGTGTCAACTTGGCACCAAATCCTTGAAAATACAATTCTATCTTTCTGCATGAAGCGATGCGGGAACTGGGTCACTCTCTGGTTCACTGGGCATTCCCTAGAGAGTATCGGAGGGTCAGGTGGGATGATTTAGCATCTTCTCTATATTTCTAATACGTCTGGCCAGGGGACGGTGGATGATTTGAACCGCGAAGCATTATAAAATAGCCAGTAGTGCAACCACCTTGATACTCACGATTTTCAATCACCACCTCAGCTATAAATTAACACTTAACTATAACTTGAGCAAACAGCGCACAGTTCGTCTCCATTCTTTCCTGGATCATCACACTTTGATCAAGATGAGATTTCTTATTATCGGCGGAAGTGGTCGCACTGGCCAGCACGTTTTGAATGCTGCATTAAAAAAGGGTAAGAGGGACTTCCAAGGCCATCATCCACGTGCCTAAAAACCAATGAGAAGCAAAGCTGAGACATCTTCTAGGACATCAAGTCACAGCCCTAGTCAGGAAGGAAACGTCTCTAGACAAGCAGAAAGGTCTCGACATTGTTGTGGGGTCGCCCTTTAACAAAGCCGACATCTCTAAGGCAATCTCATCCTCCGGCTCCCCGGTTGATGCGGTTTTGGTGACTCTGAACGCACCGAGGGCTAGTGATAGCCCCTTCTCTGCGCTTGACCCAAATCTACCACTAGACTTCCTGACCCAATGCGCTCGAAACGCCATCTCGGCTATGCGTGCTGCTGGTCCCCCGGTCCCAAAGATCGTTGTCATGTCTACCGTTGGCACCGCAGAGTCAATCAAGAGTTCGAATTTCATCATGCGCTTCATGTTCACTCGCACCAACTTGCGCTATACTAGAGAGGACCATGAGGGGGTCGACCGGGAGCTCCGAGCGCTCAAAGACATCAAGTATGTCGAGGTTCGATCCACGATATTGACGGATGGCGATGCCGCACCAGTAAAGGCGTATCCTGACGACGGCACCGGATCTGGATTTATGCCCAAGATCTCTCGTGCCAGCGTGGCCGAGTTCATGGTTGAGGCAGCCGAGGGCTCAAAATACGACGGTTGCGCACCGGTGATTTCAAACTAGACTGAACTGTATGAGTGGCCATCATCGAGCCAAGCGGCTTGTAACTATAGAGAGTGTTTAGACGGTTCTGTTTTTGATTATATTATACGCGTTCATTGTGAGAGTGCCGACTGTCATACTGGGAGTGAGCAATGTGTAAATCGCCAATAACATTCGTTCTCACGAATAAATCAAGCAGTTTGCCGAGCAGTTTGTACTAGGCTAGGCCACAGACCCAACCAGAAATCGGATACGGGTATCCTAAAATACCAGCACATCGGCACATGTCATTAAGTGGTCCTGGAAGGTGTGGTCGCTCAATAATGCATTAAGCCCTGGGCGACAAAAGGAAAGTCATCTAAAGCTTATGAGTCTGAGATATACTATCTCATCACATTTATTAATGCGTCCTACCATGGCCTGGGCAAACACACACTTATTCACGTATTACGTTACTCTAAGACGTTAGGGACTTGTCTGGAGTCAGACATATCGACGGCCAGCATCGAGTCTTTGTCAGCCAAGCCTGCTAGGCTGTACACATGAATCAGGCAGAATAAAAAATCCTGAAGACTCTATATCCCTCTATGAGATTTAATCAGGCTAGTGCTAAGCAGTATCAGTCTCGGTTATCAGCGGCAGTAATAATAGATACAGTGAGGCGTAGCTCAAGAAGGAGGCCATAGCTGCCTACTTTTCCCGAATGACGGCCTGTCACACTAACGTGATGGCGGAAAACTCTGAAACGTTATTGCTAGCACGAGTACGCTACGGGTAAGGATGGCAGAAGTAGAGCACCTGGCTAACTCGTAATAGTTGCCGTTGAAGCAGTCGCATCGTGGTGCTGCGGTCTGGGCGTTCGGGGTAGCACAAAAAGGATCATGGCTTGCATAGGCGATATCCGTGGCGTCCAACGGCAAGCCGCGTAGCTCGTGGTCCGTCTCCACTCCTGAACCCAAAGTGTCGGTTTATGCCTTGATTAGGAAAGGCGACCAGCTTAATGCTACTCTGCACTCTAAATGCAGCATATAGCCAACGCCACGGTTGTCACTCTCGACTCCGACGACATACACACATGACACATTCCGACCCAAAGCCATTGACTCAAGAGGTAAGCACAGTAAGGATCCAGAGCTGAGAGACCAATCTCCCATGTGATACCTGGCGAAATTACCTCGTTTACCCGGTGCGGGGGATTGTACGCTAACGAGTTCAGCTGTGAACTAGCGCAGGGGCTAGGTGCATCCTCCAACCGCTGCCACTCGGGTAAGCGGTTGTGGCATGAGCGTCGAGGACACGACGAGACACGCACTGACTCGCGGACCGCGGAGCAAATTTTCCAACGGTCTGGATGGCTGGGTCTGGTCTGGCCCTCATTGCTGCCAACCACGCCACGAATCGGCGATTACTCGCTAAGCGTCATACACACTGTGCACATGCAGGGCCTTGAGGGTGTCGATGGCAAAATTGGCTTGGTCTAAGCCGCGCTGGGCCAAGTCGGCGTAAGCAGGCCAGGTTCATGCTTGACCGACGGGTCTCAGATCCAGCACACCGTTGAGGGGCTTGGGAGGCTCTACGGCTGCTAACATGTACCACGTTGCCTTGGTCTCGCAGGGCAAGTCTTATGCCGATCGTGATTAATAATATAATACAATAGCCACTTCAAAGCCTTCTTGCATTCCCTTCGGTCAGCTGTAGGCTACTACCTGTAGCCTCGGGTGTTATGACTGAAAGCTAATAATACGCACATCCTCCCCCAGCTTGGAGGGCCACCCTTCACCTTGCCGCAATTACGCTTCTCCGTTTCAAGCACGATGAACGTAATTGATACCGTGCAGATGCACTGTACTTATGGATCATTCCCCGCCGATTTCTACTAAGGGGTCCCCAGTGATCTACGTCCCAATGTTCATTCGATCTCTTTTTCATCCCAAGATTGTTATTTTCTTGGTCCGCTTTCATCCCAAGCTCGGATCATGAGTTCGTTCTTTCTCTCTCTCCAGTCCCGAGAGCTCTGAGAGAGGGCGCAAAGGCCAACGATCCCTCCCTTTGTCGCATCGACATACAAGGGGAAAGGGCAGGGAATGCTCGTATGAGCCTTGCAACGTACAGTCTCCGACGTTGACAAGACGTCGATTGGAGGAGACATGGGCTACGCTGGGACAGGCGGCGACTCGTCGTCGGAGAACAACTACACCATCACCATCCTCATCGCCATGTGCATGGGGATATCGCTCTACAACGTCCTCGAGCTCAACATCCTCATCGCTACCACCTTTAGGAAACGCCACAGCCTCTACTTTTGGAGCTTCCTCGCCGCCACCAATGGCATCGCACCCCACACTGTCGGGTTCCTGCTCAAGAATCTCGCCTCGTCGACAAACTACATTCTCTACATCACCCTCGTAGCCATCGGGTGGGTCGCGATGGTAACGGGCCAATCCCTCGTTCTCTACTCGCGACTCCACCTCATCTTCTGGCACAAGTTCTACCTACGCCTCGTCCTCGCCATGATTATCATCAACGCCGTCATCCTGCACGTCCCCATCATCGTCTTCATGTATGGCTCCAACAGCTCCGACTCGAACCCCTGGGTGCGTCCATACATGATCTACGAGAAGGTCCAGGTCACCATCTTCTTCCTCCAGGAGCTCATCATCTCGGCCATATACATCAAGAGCTGCTCCTCCTTCTTCGGCACCGACAGCATATGGCACCGCAGTGGCGTGCAGAAGATGCGCAAGCACCTGCTGCTCGTCAACGTCATGATCATCCTCCTCGACATCCCCATCCTGGCCCTCGAATACACCGACTACTACGACTTCCAGACGGCGTACAAGCCGCTCGTCTACAGCATCAAGCTCAAGCTTGAGTTCAACATTCTAAATGACCTTGTCAACCTGACCATTGGTAACGACCGCTCCCGCTCACATAGCCAAGGAGCAGCCAGTCGCGCTGCAGCATCTGGTATCAACATGAGCGCCTTCCGCGGAGATGAAGCCGAGTATCGGGCCACGGTTCATGGTGGGAGGAGTAGAGTTACTGAGCAGGACAAGTCGGATACGCGACCCAGCGTCGAGAATGCCATTAT